GAAGTTTTTGAGCTCTGTTCCTCAATAATTTTAATTTTAGCTTTCACTTCGCCAGTTCCACGTCTAGCAATTAAAAATTCTTCGTCAGATATTTCAGGCATTTCACTAACAGACATCATTACATTTTCATCAAGTGGACTTGATGAAGCATCCTTTGTTTCAATTTTATCTGTTATTGTAGCTGCTTCGGAAGTATCATGTTTCTCTGATACTTCATCAAATTCAACAGGACTTGTTGCTGTATTAATATAATGAGCTTCTTCTTCAGATGCCAACTGAAAAGCTTGATTTATCATATCAATGTCATCGGCTTGAATAGGACTCAAGCCAGCATCAGTCAATTCTGTTTCTTCATTTTCTACATCCAATGTATCTAAAGTATGTTTTTTAAGATCTTTTTCAAGTTCTATTCCTGGACTTGTCGTTTCTGTAAATCCTCGTGTCATTGATATACCAGTATCAGTAACATAATGTGAATGTGAAGCAGGTGATTCAGTTGCAGGTGAGTCTGCATTAGAATCGAAGCTTCCATACATGTGTATACTTTTCTTAGTAGCAAATGCAACGCTGTCGTCACGCTTACGATCAGCACGATTAAAATCACCTTCCTCGTTCTTTTCATCCTCAATAATCGTGTACCGTTTATATTTTCTTGGCGTATCCTTTAAATCCGACGGTTCTTTTTCTTGTGTGGTAGTCACACTAATACTTGATTCAGAACTAATTTTTATATCCACATCTTGAGTACCATAGACAGTCAAATGACTCTCAGTTATGGCTGATGTGTCAGTAGTTTTAATTTCCTTACGCCCAATTAATAGCTTAACTTTTGGTGATGTTTTATAAGATGAATCAGATTCAACGAAGTCCGAATCTGTCAATGGTGATTCATCGATTCTTGTTATTCGGAATTTGTCCTGCGTAGATTTTTGTAAAGTCTCTAAACGTAAATTTATATCCTTTTTCGATGTAGCCACTGTTTTTGTAGTTTCCGTAAATGCTTGACTTTGTGATTGTTGTGTCCGTACAGATGCCTTTGACGCTTTTGATTTAGAAGGCAAGTCACTATCATTTTCATCGTCGTCGTCGAAATCCTCTTCAGTAGCCAAATATTTATTATCCACTGATTTAATGGACGTTTTTTTAGCAGCAGTGTCTGTTTATTTATTAAGATTTATTAAAGTGTTTATAATTTTTCAATTATTCCCACAAATTTCAAAGATTAGTATTCAGCCATTTGCATTATATATTTTTTTCCGTAAAATCCAGATAAAAGACCAACATCAGCATCATCATCATCGATGACAAATCATATTATATTCGATAATGATATGTTTTTTTTTCGTGCGAAGTGCCGCATGCAGATATTATTTATTAGTTTTGACAAAATGTTCGAGATATTTTTGATATATTTGAGGGGAGATTAAGATTTTTGCAGCGTGTAATAATCATGGGTAAATAATTGCATAAATTAGATTTTTTTTTTGAATTGATACATTTTAGAATTAATAATCCCTGAAAACATCGACTGCAATTTTTTGTCAAAAATTAATTTAAAAATGAAGTTGAAGTTGTCGTTGACTTTCAAATATCATGAATTGATGAAATATCAATTAATATTAAGCATATATGCAGTTCGAACATTTTTCAGAGATTATTAACTCCGACATTTTATTTTACAAATCATATAAATTATTAATATTCCAATAAATGTTATTAGGTAAGATGATTTCTTATTGTAGATTGCATACTACACGAAGTGGATTTGAAATAAATTATTAGCTGGAATTAGCTTTGAAATATTTTATAATAATAATATATGATGTCGTGGTTCTTAAATTGCCCAAAAAAAATATGAATGAACTATATTTGAAAAACTTTTTTTTAATTTAAGTGAGATTTTATTTTAAAATGTTCCATGAATTGACTACTGAACATACAAGTGCAGCATTGATTTGTGTCAATTTAAGCGTAAAATTTAGCGTTTATCAAAAGTCATTGCGAGTAGCATGTAGCTTAAAAATGTTTGTTGAATTATATTGTGAAAAAATAAATATTTATGAATGGAGCTTACTTTAGCCAAAAAGGAATAAGCAAAAATAGTAGAATTTTTTGAGTGGATGGGGTAGGAACCCCCCTCCAACCTTTATCACTGACCAAAACAGTGTCAATATGTTACTCGAATGACTAGTAAAGTTTCATAAAATGTTTGCACTAATTTTTATGCTCTTTTTTTGAGTGTACAAAAAATATTGAAAATCCACGACCTCATATATTATTGAAATTTAAAATCATTGGTTCTAGCAGGTTTTAGCAAAATTTTTATAAATTAAAAAACTATGTTTTTTGTAGAAATGGTAAGTAAATAATTACACTTAATGCGAATTACGATGACAAAAGGACTAAAATTTACACTTTATTTTTTCTAAAGCAACAAAGATTAAAATTTCAAAATTTAAAAGCAAACCAAAATTTACCAATTTTCATAAAAAATATTTCAATTTAATTATGTGCGAAAACAAAAATTATTCTTTTCTTATAATTAATTGAAATATACACAAAATAACTATAAATTCATAAAATGCTTTATCGTTTGATTTTTGCAGCCATGCGACAGCCCAATTGATAAAATCGTAAAATAATACATGTAAAACCGAATATAAAATAATAAATTAAATAATAGTAATAATAATAATAATTTTTTCGTTGTTAGTATTGGATACACTAGCTATGTACTTGAAAGTTTGCAGTGATGTCATAAAAATTGATTTTTGTTGTCTTCTAATAGAATTAGAATACTTTGCTTAATTGAATTGACTATATAAACTAGAGTGAATTGATTTTTCAACTAGTGTTCAATCCAATTAATGATTTTTTTTTTCACTTTCTTTAAATCGCTTTAATTGAAAAAAAAACTTGCTATAACTTTTGAAAATTTTTAAAAATTTCAAAATAAAAAATTTAATGTAAATTACAATTGTGTGTTGTTTGTGTAAACTTTTAAATTATTTAAATCCTGAATTTACTTGATCGTGGAAAATTTTTCTGTACACTCAAAAAGCATTTAAGTTTTTATATGCAATATTCAAATTTTGCAAACATTTTCTTTAAAAAGATTCTCAAATAAGTTCTCTGTATTTTTAATTTAATAATAAAAAAATAAATCTTGTGTTTTTAAAAAGAAATTACGGAGTACAGAAGAAGATAAAAACCTTCAATTGGAATGTTGAAAAATCCAATTTTGAAACTTTTGAAAATTGTCGATTGAATGAAGAAGAAGTTGGAAACTATTTGATTCATCTTTCACTTTGCTAATGGACACTACCCTGAAAATTAATTTATAGATTGTTTTTCCTAATAAAATGGAAAGTAATTAAGAATGTTGCTCAGTCTTTTTTTGATTTGCCATTTTTATCGAAATAATGCGATTACTTTTAGAATTCCAAAACTTACCAGATTAATTATTCAATTTAAAAGTATTTATTCCAATATCTTGAATGAGTTGAACTTTTATTTTTCAATTTTTCAATTTACTTAATTTTTTTAAGTCAAATAAATTAAAATAAGTCAAATAAACTGTTAATCTTTAGTTTAGAAAAATAATCTTAATCTTCAAAAAAACTCAACTAATACACAAAAAACACACAAGTTTTTGTTATTCAAAACCACACATAAAATTTTTCTTAATAGGTTTCAGATTTTTTCGTTTTTAAAAGAATGTTTTCCAATATCTTTAACTTATTTAAAAATAATAATTATCACCCTAACACACTGTACTGTCAGTCGTAAATAATAAAACTGAAAGAAAAACTTTTTACTCCGCAAAAAATTCAATTCCTTTCGTCAGCTAAATGAAAACTAAAATATGATTTTGAACATAAAATGAAAAACAATAAAAAAGATTGGATGGAAGTGGAAAAGACAGAAAATTGAAAATAATTCACTTAGGAGACATAAATAATTGTATAACTGACGGTGGCAATACTAGATAAGTATGTTAATACAATTATAAATGAATTATGTACAAGCATGGCTCCTTAAAAATATATAAACATGAATTACGAAGCCATAGAAATATGTAGGAAAAGTTTGAATTCCTTATTTCAGGTCATACTTTGTTTGAATATAGAGCAAGATTATAACAAATTTATTCTTACAATGCAAAACTAAAAAAGTGATGAAATCGAAAGTCTTTTGATTTTTAGAATGAGGTTTAAATCATTGCTTATGGTTTAAGACTATTTTTGATATTCTTTTTTTTGAAGCAAGAGCAATTAAGAATTATGTCAGCTTTTTATAAGCCCTTTATTCTCACAAAAGCATGAGAAATTTGTTGGCAGTTAAGCATTGATTTTAACATTCCGGAACTGGTATGTGAGTCCTTCTTTTAGAGCAAAATAGGAAAAAAAAAACATTGTGATAAAGGGGACAATGGGATTTTCCATCCATAAATCAAAAAATAATAAAAAATAATCGTCTGAAATAAAAATAACTTGAAAAAATAAAACTTAGTCATGTTGCGTATCCTACCTGTCATAGTTTGTGTCAAAAGTAATAATTGAAGTTTGAATTACAAAAACATAAAATATAATTTTAAAAAAAAAAAAAAAAAAAATAGAATAGAGCAAAGTTAATTTTCAAGAAACATAAGCTATAGGAAAGGAACATTCAATAATTTTTTAAAATATTAAAAGCATGTAGCAAAAAAATAAGTTAAACTGAAAAATTAAATAAAAAAATAAAAAAAATCAAATTATTGATAGAGAGCCAAATTTAAAAGGTTTTAAAAATTATAAAATATTTCAAATATTTTTATTTATTTTTTTGTTTGTTCATAATTTATTGTTTTAGAGTCAAAAATACGAAAGAAAAACTGATAATGGATAGAACAATAGTAATAATAATAATGCGAAAAAAATGAGTTTTTCATTTCATTCTTGCTCATTGCCATTTATAGTCATTTTGCTGCCAAATGCTAAAGATACATTACATCAAATAATATAAGTGAATTTATAAAAACCAAGGAAAGAATCATTCAATTCTGATAAATTCTTAAATAAATGCAAAATCAAAGATTATTTTATTCCTCTTTCAATCCTTGGTTTTTATGAAAAGATATCAAATAATAAAAATTAGAGTAAATTAATAAATAATAAAAGTATTTGCTTAAATTTTAATATTAAAAACATATTTACAAAAAATAAATGACAAATAGCTATTCATAACAAAAGCATTTTTTTTTTTCGTTTCAAAATGTAAAAGATTTCATGATTATTATCATCATTATTAATTTACTTCCTAACACAATTGATTTTTTTTTATAGCTTCTCAAATCAAATTAATAATGATAATAATAATAAGATTTATTTGAATTTTTCACAAGAAACATAATTTTAGACAGAATAGATAATAAAAGGTGATTTTATAAGAAACCAATCAAATGATGATTAACATTAATATGATATTAGCACTACATAGATTGAGTAATATAATATTAAAATTTGTCAGAAAATATAATTTATGCATATGATGAAACATTATAAGTTGATGATGTTCTAAATGTTTATTTTTTAAGAAAATAACAAACAAGTAGGTATAAATCATGTGTCTATATATGTGTGTTTGTGGAATTGTGAACGAGATTAATAGCAGCAACATAAACATATTGAAAAAATTCTCTGAATGAAAGGTCGAACTTTGAATTTTGAGGATTGAAATTAAGCATAAACAATGAATTTCATGATTCGAAATTTATTATTTTAATACATTTATGTTGTTTCTGTTTCTATTGATTTTCTAGCCTTAATGAGTTATCTTGATCAAAAATTTTAATAATCTTTTCACTTATTGATAAATGAATCATCATTTTGCTTTTTGCATTATTTTATGAAATGTCTCAACATTTTTCTGTTTATTTTTTGTTCATAAAATATTTTAGAATTATTGTATTAAATTAATTATGTATAAGTAGTATCTATATTATATTATTATGCATTTATATATTATTTGATCATAAATGTTTTTTTAAAAAACTAGCGAGATGATAAATTTGCAAATTTTTTGTTTTTTAATTTTTGTAATTTTTTACATACCCGGTAATTGCTGAACAGCGCTTGAACGTCCATCAAGAGGAGTTGGTGGAGGTGTTATTGTAGGTTTTTGTGCTAAAAATTTGCATAAAGTATTAGTTCAATTATTTCATAAATTTAAGTTTTTAACAATCAAAAATGATTGATCTAAGATTTTAAAAGAATTAAAAGACGAAAGTTCATTACTTACTTGATTCAACAGTTTTCTTATTCTGAATTAATTCTTCTTCATCGTCATAATTATCCAGCCTGGAGCCACTAACATCGTCTAAATTTATACTTTCAATCGTTCGAATTGTTGTTGTTGTGGTAATAATTTCTTTGGTTTCTCCTGGATGTACTGTTGTCGTTGTATTTGTAACAACTTTGCTTTGAATGTTGTCAGCCTTTTGGCGTGCTTCTTCGAGTATTTCATCAACCAAAGCAGGATCCATAACTTCACGTTCGATTCTTTCAAATTCATCTGTGATATCATCACCTTGATCATAAATTTGAGTCGTTGTCTGTTTAATGCAATCTCCATCACTGCTTGTTGTTGTTGTTGTGGTAATGACTTCACGTTTTTTTACAACGGGCGATTCTTTTCTGATCAAAATTTCATCAGGAATTGTTTCTGTGACAGTTGTTGTTTTAGAAACTGATGTAATAGTCTTCTCGGGGATATCCTTTTCAACAGTTGTGTGATGAATTTCTGATGCCAAAAAGTCCATAGTTACTGGAATAGCTTCATGTGTAAATTTATGCTCAAACTTTTCAACATCACCCAAAGTTTTTTGGAATTTGTCATGTAATTCCTTCTCAAAATCTGATTTATCAACGGATGAGCTGTCATGAGATGTTGTCTTTAGTTTCACAACTTGTTCTGGTACGGTTGAAGATTTATAAGAATTATCAATAGGTTTCTGCATTAATATTTCATCCTCATGCTTTGCCACTGCATCCTCAATTAGACTTTGTCGCTTGATTGTAATTATTTCTTCGACAAGTTCTTTATGTTGTGATGACGGGAAATGCTTTTGTTCGCCTGATAAACGTTTTTCAATCTTTTCACGTCTTTCAGCAACACTTCGTTTTGCAGCTTCTATCTCATCTTCTTCTGATTCAACAACTTTCTCTTCCGCTGAATATTTACTCTCATCATGTTCATATCGTCCATATCTCTTCTTATTAAGATCCTCAAGTGATTCAGAATCTTTAATTAGGTCTGATTCTTCATAACCATTTGTATCACTTGATCGTTTATGTTGGCGCTTAGTAACTGTCGTTGTTGTTGTTGTTGTAGTAATTTTCCGGATCAAACAACGTTCGACAATGTCATCTCGTCCAATGCTACGAAGTCCATTCTCCAATATATTTAAATCATTTTGTTTCTTAGACTGGAAAAGTTTAAGCATAGCTTGGGCTTGTTGGGCAGTACTGTTTGAATAGTTTTCGATAATATCTTCAACTTCTTGCTCAGTCATACCAATTTCTGGAGCAAGTTTAATCCAATCATCTCCCAGATGATTAGAAACATCACTCATTCGTAATTCTGCTCCACGCATATAGTCATCAGGATGTTTATGAATATGTGATGTAAGTCCAATACGATGAATAACTTCCTGACTTCCATCAAGTACGGATATTTGTTCAGGTATAATGTCTTCAGGTAAGACAATATTAAGGATACAAATCGGTGATTGTGGCTGCTCACCTTTAGCTACCTTTGGTTCGCGCATGAATAGAGCTCTTCCAACGGTATCTGCATGCTGATCTTTAACACGAGCGGAGAAAGGTAATCGATTCTCTTTGAAGGCCTTGAAAGGGAATTGCAATTGTTCACCAGACTTTGTGACAGGAATAAGATTTCCTGCTAATTCAAGATATTGGATTTTATTCTCTAAAACTTCTACATCTCGACTCTTTGCAACTTCTGAAAAGTTTTCTTGTTGCTCTAAAGTTTTATCTTCTCGGTCGTCAGTCATGCAAAATACTCGCAAGCGTGCTTCCATTGGGTCAACTCGTTTAGCAAAAACGACGAATTTAGCCATGAATGGGACGTGAATAGCTTCCCTGTTTAAGATTTAAATTATGTATTTCAAAATTAAAACAAAAAATTAAGGTGACTTTACTTGTAAAGTTCTGTTGCCATTTTAGTAGCATCGGCAATATTACGACAGTCCATCAACCAAAATCGTGCTGATACAGTTGTGGTAAATGACACACAATCATTTACGAATGTAAGCGGTGTTGATCCAGTAACATCTTCCCATTGTGCTCTTGTTGTTCCACCTATATTGATGAAATTAATTATTAGAATTATTTTTATAGCCTTTTGAAGTTTTATTTAAATTTTCTTTTAATGCAATTATTCTAATTGAAAATAATTGTAGAATTTTGAAAATGCATTGAGTAACATTTAGTGATATAAACTTAATCTAAACATTATGAAAGAAAATTTATTCATTTTCCATCAAAAATGTTTGAAAATTTTAAATTTTTTGATTTTACTGGATTTTACAAAATTCTACAAAAGCATGCATCAAATTTCTATAAATTAACTAAAAATGGAACTGTGTTGTTCAATGTGAATGTGAAAAAGTTTCAAACAAAGATATGAAAACGAAAAAATATTGCATGTGATGTGTGAAATGTTTAAATTAAAATAAAAAGAACTTCTAGAACTTAAATGCAACTGTTTTTTGTGTTCACAATCAAGCATATTGACGAATAAAATAAAATACGGGACAAATCAATAGAAATGGAAAGCAAGAAGAACAAAAATCATGAAAATTGGGCTTTTAAAAAATATAAAACTCAAAAATATTAAACATCCAATGCCAATAATCAGTAAGTCATTTGTATAAACTTTAAATTAATCCAGATTGAAACCATTACTATTTTTTATCTTCACAATATTCAGGAATATCTTGAATATCATGATGATATTAACAAAAAAAATGATTACACTGACAACAAAAGTAAATTTAATGTCTTTGTTTTGAATGTTTCTAAAGAGTATAACAAAATATAGCAATGATTTACAAAAAATAAATTGTTTATATTTATCACATTTAATACGGAAAAATCGGATTCGATATATTTTAAAAAAAAATTGATTTTTCAAAAAGATTTAAAACTTTTTTCTTGTGTGAATTATTTTTTTTTTTGTAAATTTTCAAAAATTGAAGGATTATTATTATGATTATAATTTTAATAAAATGATTTTTCAACGATGAATTAATAAAAATTAAAGAAGAAAAATAAATATTTGTGAATGCTTAACGAATGTGGAAATTGGATAGAGTTGTAAATATTTGAGAAAAATAATCCATAAGAAATAAAATTTATTATCAACTTTAAAATAATATATTTCTCATAATAAGGATAGCAACGGTTTCAGAAAAGTTCTCCCTTCGATTGGTCTTATGATATTTAGAGCAACTAACAGTAGATTACTTCCATTACAATTATTATTGAATTAATAAATTTTTTTTGGAATTGGCCCACAAAGAATATCCAAAATAAATTAAAGGGTATAAAATTAAATTATAAAATGAAATTTAAATTTAACCAAGCAAACTTTAAAATGTTTTTTTTTTTAAATAACTAAGCTCGTTATTTAAAGGAAAGCTATAAAAATCAATCAAAAATTTTGTGACTGATAAACTGATTTTGCTGCGCCAAAAGCTTTTGATTTTTGAAAGATCAAAAAAGGAGCTACAATTAAAATAAATATTTATTTCTGACAAAAAAAAACTTAAATGATTCCAAATGAGTGAAATTTTCGATAGAGGATTTAGGAATATAGAGAAATGATTGAAAAGTAGATGGAAATGTAAGAAAATGTTTAAAAGAAAAAAGGATTGAATTGACTGTTTAAAATTTTTTTATGATTATTTGAACTAAACAATAAATGAATAATGTTTAAATTAAATTATATACGTTACTAAATATCTTAAAATATTCATTCCATCGGTCCATCTAATTCATGCTAACATATTTATATCACGTAATTTTCAACTTAGTTGTCACTGAGCTTAATCAAATGAAATCCATTAGCATAATTGACGCAAAGAAATGATAATGAATAAAACGAAAGCAATTTAAGCAATCAAGATATTGTGCGAATAAATAATTGAAAAACTCGTTTATGAATGTGATGATTTAAAAAAGCTTTTTTTTTGAAAACTTAATGTCAAGTTTTTCTTGACTTTTGAGTTTTGTTTTAAAATAACGAGCTCATAAAAAAAAAATGTTCAACAAAATGTTGGATATGGAAATGGGAGACAATTTTTATAATCAATACCATTTAAATTTTTTTATATTTATATGTAACGTATATAGTTTAGTACACAAAAAATAATAAATAATAACTGACTTTAGTGAGCAATTTTAAAACATAAAAGATTAATAAAGATTTCGAATTAAAACTTTTAGGGGTAAAATGTACAACGTATAGATACAGAAAGATATTATTTCGTTCAATTATTTCGTAACATAATTTTTAAATCAACTCCCTTAGACAAATCATAAAAATGGGCTAAACCATCTCTCCTCCCTTTAGTTTGTTTTAAAGATTGATAAGATTGTATTTAAACAAGGGTTTGGAACTGATTAAAATAATCAAAGAGATTGAAAATATTCTAAAATGATTCAAAATCAAGAAAAATTACCAAAACAAGATTTTTCAATGAATTTTGCAAACTTTGTTCATTTTCAGATTGTACATTATTAATTTGAATGAAAAATCTAATAATACATTCAATTTTAGGTTTTGAAAAATTCAATAGCTTTAATCAGAGATTTGCCAGGTAACCAATAAGTAAAACTATAACTTGGCCGATATCAGCCTAGTTTCAACATTTTCAAATTTGCATTTTTAAGATTCTTCTGTTAATTTATATTATTTTGAGGCAATTTAAATAGTCGATCATTTTCTTCATTCAAAAGAGTTACGTAATAAGTGAACGATTTTAAATTTGATGTAATGAATATAATAATGAAGAACATAAAAGTGGTTTGCATAAGGGAAAATTATAATATATCTAATTAGATTTTTAAAAAATTATGTTAAAATAAACAAATTTTGAACTTTCAGAACGAGAATAAAAACAAGAAAAATTAAAAATCCCAAAATAATTCTTAGAGGTTTTTTTTAACAAAAAAAAATATTTTCTCTTTTAACTTTAGTTTTTTTGGATAACATTTTGTTTCATAAAATTCGGATGTATTCATCGTTAGTTACCTTTTAGAGATCTTTTCCGAAACACACCTTCAAATTTGTTTTATATTTTTTTTATTATTAATTTGAATAATAATTGTGTTTTATATTTTTTGATATATTATTGATTTTTTTTTATATTTCGATTGTTTTTTTTTTCAAATATTATTTGATTTGGAAGATTTTTTAAGTTTGGCAGAAGAAAGAAAAGGGAAGAAGAGAGTGGTAGCGTGCATTAATTAAATTTTATTTGATTGAATATTAAAATTCAATGAGATTTTACTCGTCTGTTTTTTTATTACGACTAAAACAAGCATATCAACATTTATCATTTCATTTTAATCGCAATAACAATTCCTTTTTATCTAAACTGCTATTTTTAAATATATTTTAAAACTAGTAACAACTAATATTATTAAGACATAATGTCATTGAATCAATACTTTTACCCTTTTTTCCTATGATTGATTCATGTTTGAAGTTGAGTAGTTAAACATTAGTTACTAGTTCTACATAAATTCTAAACTTCATTTGATATTAAATAGTGCACTCATTATGGTATTTTTGATAGGTTTCAAAAATGTAATGAACATATGACGCATGAGTCATATCGTTAAAGGCTAATGAAAAAAAACTTATTCTAGTGAACAATTTCTGAATTAAATAGCAATTGAGATAAAATTGTAAACAGCAAAAAAGGTCTCTTTTTGCTCAAAACAAATAATAGATCAACTCAAAAATTGTTGAAAATTCAACTAAGAAAATTATTTGTAAAGTTTTAAAAATTGTTTCATGTCATGAAAATAATTTTTTTTGTATTTTTTTAAAAAGAAAAATAAAAAGGTTGAAATTCAAATCCAATTTTTCCTGTATGTTTTTAAAGTTTTCCTTTCTCAAAAAAAAAGTATTCAACAATTTTTCAAAAAAAATACTTTCTTTAAATATTAGTCAAAATTCCACCAATTTCAAATATAATAAAAAATCTATTTTAAAAATCTGTTTTTAAATACAAATTTCAATTTATTAGAAAAAAGGAAAACTTAATTTACAAAAAAGTGTTGCACTCAAAATTTTTAAAAATATTCAATTCATGATTTTGGTAAAACTGAAAATAAAAATAAATTGACTTACCTGTTATTGAACATAACAAACGAAGAGTTGGTGCATTTCCGGAATATTGATTTATCATTCCTTGACTATGAGCACGTGGTGTTGGAATGCTCAATGTTATCGCTTTATGGAATTTACGACGACGTGGTTCAACTGTCACGACTGGTGAAACAGCTACTCCACGACCCAATAATTTTGCTGTTAATTCAGGATCAATTGGTTGCGCCTATTTTGTTTCGAATTCAAAGAATGGAATATCGAATAAAATTTAATCACAGACCGACACAAAAATAGAAAAAGAAAAAAAAAGAAATTATAATTAAAAAAAAATACTTAAATTTTTTAAAAGGAATATCCTCTTAAATGTTTATAATAAGCAGAAAAAAGGTCGAAATAATAATTGTAATAAAATATTTTAGGAGAGAAATGAGCTAAAAAATATGAAGCAAGGCTCGAAAAATTTAAAATTATATTAAAATTTTGATTTCCTTTTACAATTATTCTTTTTGATATTTTTGCATTTTATAAAGTAGAATGGAAATAAGGAAGCAGTAAACTTTTTCAATTTAAGGAACTTAAAAATTATTTTTAAATAAGCAAAGGAGCAAATTATATGAAAGAGTCTTTTTTAGCATTATGTCATTACAAATTAGTGTTAATTTTTTCATTTTGTTCTTTTTTTAAAAAAAAATGTAATTTAAATTGATTTGAAAAACTTTTTAAAAAAATATTTGATATTGCAATAATCATGAGCTTTCAAAGCCCAATAAATTTAGTACTTTTCAAACATTCATTTCCTTAAAAACTAGCTTAATCTAATTTTAATATAATTTTGTGTTAATCTTGAATTTAACTTATTTTCGAACCCTGTTTCATTTTTCAAATCACACAAAAGTAAATTGTCGTTTGATAAAATCATTAAAAAAAGTTCAATTAAATACACCAAAATTTTATTTTTGTTAGTAAATTACATTATTTATTTCAGAATGGAAGAAAAATAAAATTATTCAAATCTTTTTTGTTTTCAATGTTGAGTAAACTAAATTTATTGGGCACTCAAATAAGTTTCATCTATATTCTATCGATTCAGATTCTTTCATTTTATATCATTTTTATTCAATTATTTTTTTTTTGTAAATTCTTGTGAGATCAAAGTTATTTTGCAAAATGATTCTAGACTCTAGAAGTAAAATGCACTGGATAAGTTGACCAGTTTTTTACGATTGTTAAAGATGTTATAAATATTAAATTTTAATTTTATAATGACTAGATCTATTGGCTTCACATTTTACGTACGGTTATATTGTACAAAATTTTTGACTTTTAGTCGTATAATAAATTCCTGAACTGTTGACTAGTAAATTAGTATTTTTAAAAATCTACTTTTTCATTATAATTAAATGAAATGAAATCTAGTTTTTAATTATGTTTGCCTTTAAGTTATTGTGATGCTACTAATACTTAACTTTAAAAATGTTCAAAATTTGATTAAATGCTATATTAGGTATCCTGACTAGTAATATTTTGTTTCATTTGAATGAAAATATCTTGAAAAAACTTAAATATTCACTAGAAAAAGTTTAATACTGGTTCACACAAAAAGTTAAAAATTTAAAAAAATTATTTTGTAAAAATGTGTACTTTCTTGGGTTTAAAATTAATAAAATTGAACACTTTTATTGTCTGACAAAACTTAAAATCACACAAAACTTGTAATTCGCAATAAAATTACAAATATTGAATTCATAATAATTATAAAGTTTGCATAGTCATGTTAATATAAAAAGAAGGGAGATTGTCATCAAATATTTTCATTTAATGATTAAAGATGGTGCTAATATGATTAGTATATAATTAAGTGAGCAATGTGATCAATTGTTAAATTAAATAAATATTAATATTAAAGTTATGATAAAATTGAAATATCGTCAATATTATATTTTCTACGCAAATTTAAAGATTCAATCTAAATCTAGTAAATGTATCTAGAAAGATGAACTATTTTCGCAATTTTTGTAATTTTCAAATAAACTTTTGGAATAATTTAAAATTAATCTTTAGTTCAAAAGATAATTCAAGCTCCCTTTAGTTCGAAATCTAAATTTTTACTTGAAATCGACAAGAAAATATTCCGGTTTATTTTAACAAGTACTTCTTTGGAAGATCTGACACGATATTCACCATGTTTTGCAATGCTTTAGAATATTTTAAAAAAAATTTTAACTTCTTTACAAAAAGTTTAAATGACTAGAATCAAAAGTTTCATGGAATGTCAAGTTTACCAAATCAATGAGAATCTCTTTTTCTTTGGAACATGATTAACACTAATTTTACGTAATTTATCAGGCGCAACGCCTTTACGTGGCTTAAATAAATTTACCTGTAGTCCAACTTTAATTTTTTTGGTGAGTGCTCCTTGAGGGAAAACTGCTTGAACTTGTGGAACGACTGTACTTGAAACCATTCCACCCTCAGGTCCAATAGCATGAACCTCTTGATGTATACGTGAAATTACAGCAAAATACTGTGGAAAATCGTATGTGACAAAGCGACAGATTCGTCCTCCACCTAATTCATCCATTTGAGCGATGTCTAAAATAAATAATCAAATTAAAATTAGAATACAGGAAGACGGTGTTAGCAAATTAGCTGATTCATACCTTCAGGCTCAAAGCAATCATTCAGAACTTCGCTGACTATTTCTTCAGAATTTTCGATAGTATGTTCGCGCCATGTTTCACCATTGTCTGATCTTAAAATGACAATTTCACGTTCCTTTCCACGTAATGAAGCAAAATGAGGAACCTCCATAATTACTGGTCCCAAAAATTTAGCTCCAACTGGTCCAAGCTCAAGAACACGACTGGCTAATGCTTCTCCTTCCATTAATGGTGGAGGATGCATTGTTCGTTGTGGCTTAACATAACGGCATGTTATACGAGTTGGTTGAGCTGCTGAGCGAGCAGGCACAATGATTCGAACTCCACTATGACGACATCCTCTCATAGCTCCACCTCGAGCATCAACAAGGAAGGACACCAAGAAGCTGTAATCAGTCAAAATTTGCCTTGAATCATCAATTAAATCATGAATAGTTCTTTCTATTTTTGAATTGAACTACTTGAAAAAAAAAATATGTGGTTTAATTAAAATAAAAAAATTAACACAATCTGCATGATTCACACATTTCAAACTGTGCAGATGTGGACGTTATGAATATAAAAATTATAAGACATGAATTATGTGCATAATCAATCAGAAGATATACTCACTTCTTCCAATGTAATTTACTATAGTTTTATGATTTATGATATGGGTAAATTTAATGAAGGAAATATGTTTTTTGTTAATTATATCCGAAAGTCAATGCAGCATTTAAAGATACAGTAAAGTTTATATGAAGACCAAAAGTTTCAAAAGAATTAAATTGATTAAATTTGAATTAAACTTACCCGACATGTTGAGGATGTCGATCAATGACAATGTTGTCAGATGTTACTGCATAATCAGTTACAGTATGTCCAACTGGAGCTTCAGCATGCTGCATTGAAACATGTTGTGGACTAATTGAATCTTCTAATGCTTGTGGTGGTTTAGCTGTTGTTGATTCAATGGAACTGATCATTTTGTTATCAACACGTTCATCACGTGTAACATCAATTGGAAGTGAGTCATCACCTAATGACTTCATTTCATCTACTGTCAAGTATCTGTAAGGTTGATCAGACAAAGCTGTGTCTTCACCTAAATTGAGAAATAGAATTGAATTTAAATTAATTAAAGTAAGAAATATGAAATTTAAAAAAAATGAATTGGTCGGATTGAAAATGGAAACAAAGCAAATAGAATGAAGCTTAGCTGAATAATTAAAAAGAATTTTGATTTAAAATGTCCAGTTTCTTGGAATAGTGTTCAACTTACGTATAAGGGTATCACCATTAAAGTAGGGGAGATAAATATGACTACCATTTGATTGTTGGTCTAAGTTAAAGCCAATGGAAGTGCCAAGCACTAACTCATTTGTGTCACCTTTTATATTTTGTCAATTCATGCATGAGTATGAATTTTTGTCAATTTATCAAAATTAGAATTGTTGAAATTTATTATTTTTTCACACAAAATAGGGAAAATTGTTGAAAAGATAGAAAAAGGAAAGGTAGAAAGAAATATTGGCAGTAGATTTTACGTTTAAATTCAGTAATTTTTAAAACAATATTAAAAGGTGTATTTTTATGTTCAACCAATCAAATGGGATTCAAAATGAAAAAGAAAAATCGTTATTTCAAGCAATTAAATTTAGAGCACGCTTGTGTCTTAGATGTGTGGAGCAAAAAGTATGAAAAATGAGAAGCAAATGTCGATGCTTTTTTAAAATACAAACCTTCTTCTTCTGAATCCGACATGAATGTTTCATGCATAGCTTCCGGTGCAACGACTCTGTATTTTTCATCGGTCATTGATGTTGTCATAGCAACTTCCGAGTCAGTTACTGGTTTCAATGAGTCATAAACACTAATGTAACCCAACTTTTGTGCAATATGTAATGGAGTTTGTCCGGTCTACAAAAATAAAAATCGATAGTTTCTTTGTTATTTTAATACACAACTTTGATGCACTTACAGTAGTTGCTAAATTTGGATCTGCCTTATTTTCAACCAAGACTTGAACAATTGTCAAATGTCCTTGTTGTGCTGCTTGATGTAATGGTGTGTAACCGATTCCAGTAGCTGAATTTGGTTCTGCACCTTGCTCTATTAGATATCTAACCATATTGGCTTGACCAAAATGAGATGCTACATGCAATGGTGTATATCCAGCTTTTGTTGGCGCACTAATATTTGCACCATGCTTGACCAAGATCTGGGCAACTTGAACCTTATCTTCTTGAGCACATAAATGCAATGGTGTTAATCCATTACGTGCTTGATGATCAGCGTCTGCCTTATGTTCCAATAATAAGCTTGACATATCAGTATGACCTTCTTGTGAGCTTAAATGCAATGGAGTAAATCCAGCTTTACTTTCAGCATTAGCAAGAGCTCCATATTCCAATAATGTTGTAGCAATATCCATTTGGTTCTTGCGAGCAGCAATATGAAGTGGTGTGTGTCCATTTTTAGCTGTAGCATGAGGACTTGCACCTTTCTCAAGTAATAATAATGCAACATTTTGATGATCATAATGAGATGCTACATGCAATGGAGTTACTCCATTCTTTCCTTGAGCATCAACTGGTGCATCTTTTGAAAGAAGTAGCTGAGCAACTTTAATGTTACCATATTTAGCTGTCAAATGTAGAGGTGTAAATCCTTTCTTTGTTGCTGTGTCAATTTGAGCTCCATTGTCAAGCAAAACAGCAGCAACCTTAATAAAATTAATAGAAAATATTTCTTAGTAAAGAGACTATAATTTTCGTACAAATCAATTCTCACGAAAAATAAAACAATAAAAAAGGATATGAGATACATTTTTTCATGTAAAAGCCATGTGAAGAATAATCTGGATTATGCCAAAAAAATTAAAATCTCAAAATTTTTTATGCCAGATTATGTTTCACATGGAATAAGCAAAATATAAATTTTACGCGTTTATTTGAGTATACAATTAAGTATTGTGATCGGATGTAAGCGAACTTTGTACTCAAACGTGATAATAACTAAGCAGGGGCATAGCCAAAGAAAGATTATTGGGTAGAAAGTCATAAGAAAAAGTTTATAGACCCCCCTTAATCCCAGTGCCTAAGCCCTTGACTTCCCTAAAGCTTTTTAATATTTTTTTATCGATGCCTGCAACTATACACAAATTTTCTAATTCATTAATTTAAATGATAGTTTTCCAACTTAAAGCCCTTTTAACAAAATGAAACTACTCAATATTTTGGAATGTACTACTTGCCCGAACAGCAGAAGTGGGTTAATCGAAAAGAGATCCATCAACAAGCTGGCATGACTCTGGCATGATGCTTCGATTCAAATCTAGTACCATGCCAGAGTCACGCCAACTTGGTGTTGGATTTCTGATGGCTTAACTGACTTGTGCCATTCGACTTAGTCCAATTAAATTGATATGTCACAATTAAACCAGAATTTCGTAAGGGGTCGTTCACTTATGACGTCCGAAATTACCGGTTAATATTCAAAAAAGAGCAATGGATTTAAAGGAATTTCTATTGTTCTTTTCTTGCTGACCCCACCCGTTGGACGTCATAAATGAACGACCTCTAATCATATCAACCCAAAATTATAAAATTATTTGTTAATTATGTCTTTCTATTCTATTAAGTATCCTAAGATAAAAGGGAAAGTTCCTAATTCTTAAATCTGATTCTAAACTTAACTCAAAACTCAAATGCACTTTAATCTTTCAAAAATTTCCCTTTTATCCTAGAGGTTCATAAAATTTGAGTAGTTTAATCGGATTTTTGCTAATAATGGGAGAGTTATGCTAATTGTTACTTTTATGGACCATGTGAATTTAAAACACAGCAATTCAAACCAAATTTAATGAAAATGTTCTGAATGATTAAATAGGATTTTTTTTTTTTTTTGGTTAATCAAACTGTTTGTGATAAATGAATTTTGGAAAAATTATTTACCCTCAGTATTTTAATCTTTATCTAAAATTAAGGAAAATTACTGTGACTTCTCCATCGAATATATTTTTCACTTTTTTAACTTTCTTAAAAAAATTTTGTGTTACTCAAATTTCCTCTGTTTGTGTAAAAGGGAAAATTTCGTTAGATAATCTACCGATCGAGTGCATTCTGTCATTACTGATTCTTACTTTTTCGATTATATTTAAAATATCAAAAAATAAAGCTAATATAGAGAAGTAAAAAAATGATGAAATAAAATCATAAAGTTTAAAAATTCTTTTTTTTTATTGTCCTTTGAAAGTTTCTTTTTTGTTTCTATATGAAACAATAGCTTAGGATGACTATTTAGGTATTGGTTGTTAAGGCACAATGTTTACGTTTAACGATTATTTACTCTTACAATACTGTAAATATATATTTTTTTTTCATCGGTAGGACATCGTTTTTTGGTTCATTATAATAAAGGAGTGTTCACTTAGTATGTTCGTATTTTTAAGGAAATTGGGGGAGGAAGAGTCAACGATTTTGTAACAGAAAAAAAAAAAACAATTTTGAAATGAGTCAATTTTATACGTAACGTAATAAGTGAACAAACCCCCCAAACAAAATAAAGAAAATCATATTTTGAGACTAGATACATAATATAATAGTTTTATAAATAAATAAAACAAACAGTTCTCAAATAAAATATTCTTGATGACGGATCCAAAATAATTGCATTAAATAAACTGTATCAATGTGATCCATTAATTTTTTAGCAACAAGATCTTTTACCTCGTCTTGTCCTTCCTTAGCTGCAATATGTAACGCCGTGTACATGTCTTTTGTGACTGCGTCAACTTGAGCTCCGTGTTGAAGAAGCAACATAACAATGTCAACATTTCCAAGACGTGATGCAATATGCAATGGAGTTTGTTGTTCACGTGCTCTTGCGTCAACTTGAGCACCATTACGAAGGAGAATTCGGATAATATCCGTCTATAATTGATTTTCATAAACGTATTAAATAATGATCAATAATTTAGAATCGATTATTCTTTCATACCTGATTAGCTCTTGCTGCCAAATGCAATGGAGTTTCTCCTCGAACAGTTGGTACATCAGGACTAGCATCATGTTGTAATAAATAGATGACAATATTCATGCAACCCATAAATGATGCAACATGTAATGGCGTCAATCCACTTTCAGTTGTAGCGCCAATGCTGGCACCATGTTTTAATAACAGTTCAACAACTTTAATGCGATTCTTTTTGCAGGCAATATGAAGTGGTGTAAAACCATTTAATGCTCTAGCATTTGCATCTGCATTACGATCAAGAAGAAGTTTGGCAACTCTTACATGTCCGCAATGTGCGGCGACATGAAGGGCTGTTAAATAATCCACTGTTACTTCATCAACTGGTGCACGATGATATAAAAGAATTCTGGCAGCATCAACATGTTCACCTTGTGCTGCCATATGTAATGGCGCGAGTCCATTTTTAGTTTTAGAGCTGATTGGTGCTCCTCGTTCTAAAAGCATATCGACAACTTGTTCATGTCCGGAACGTGCTGCACAATGAAGGGGTGTTAATCCATCTCTTGTTTTACTTTCAATATTTGCACCCTTGTCTAAAAGTAATGCTACCATGTTTGTTTTACCCCATTTGGCAGCAACATGCAATGGAGTTATATTATGCTTTGCTGCATAATTTACATCGGCGCCTTTTTGAATTAACAAATTTGCAATTCCCTCATTTCCATAATGAGATGCAATATGTAATGGTGTAAAGCCCGACTTTGATGTCACATCCGGATTATGATCGTTCTGAAATTATATAAAGAAATTTTGCAGCTACTTGAAATCCAATATTCTCATAGAAAAATTACCTCAAGTAATAAACTAGCTGCCTTGACATCATCTTTTTTAGCAGCTATATGCAAAGCTGGAAGTCGGACCTTTCCACGTGTGTCACTTTCAAGTAAAACTGCGACAACTTTATCATGTCCTTGTTGCATTGCAACGGCTAAAGGTGTAAAACCGTCTTCAGTAGCAAGGCTCTGATTAGCTCCATTTGCTAGCAATAATTTAACGACACTATCGTGATTTTCTTGTGCTGCCATATAAAGTGGTGTGAAACCATTTTGTGATTGAACATTAACTGATGCATTGTGTTGTATTAAAAGTTTAACCACTTCCTCTTGTCCTGCCAATGATGCAATGTGAAGTGCTGTATTGCCTTTTTTAGTTGCCGCATCAACTATTGCACCGCGACTAAGCAACTCAGACACGACTGAAATGTGTCCATCTTTCGATGCTAAATGAAGTGCGTTTAAGCCATTCTGAAATAAATCATAGTCAGTAATATGCTTCTATATTGTGAGTTATTAAGTACTTACAGCATTGCATGTATTAATATCAATATTATTTTTAAGATGCTCTAACACTTTTTCAAGATTTCCTGCACGAGCTGCGCGAAGAAACGATGTATTGCCATCAGACTGCAAATAGATAAGATAAAAAGGTTTGCTATTAGTGACTGCATATTATTAGCAAATAAATGTTAAATTTAATTATTATCTATGCTAGATAAACTTATGGGATCGTACAATATCAATAAGTCGCAACTGTTTTTATATTCTAATATTACTTAATAAATATTTGTTGATCTCATCTTCAAAACATTTTGTGCAATTTTTCTGAAATTGGTGTCATTCTTCTCTTAATTAAACACCCATTAGTCAAAAAATACTAAAAAATTTATTACCGTAGAAAGAAGAAGATCAACATCATCATTCACAAAATGCGAATTCTTTATTCAATTAACCTTGACTGACTCCATTTTTCTCGTATGTTTATTGTGTTTGAGGAGTGGGAGGAAAATGAAAACGCGCTTACATAATTTTATTACTAGCAATAGATTACTATATTGCTATATATATCTAGTATATATTTATATATATACTAGATTTTGCATAAGAAAAAAAAATTGGCAGGAATCATAAATAGACTGTCCATCTTTTATCGCTAGTCTTGTAAAACTAGTCAAGGATGTAGCACGGGTCAAAGCTGGTCCAGAAAACCTTAATGAAGTTTCACTTTGTAACTTAAATTAAAGTTATAGTTAAACTACTATTAAATTGCCGTCTGGCTACGCCCCTGTAATAATCTTAAGAATTTGTCATTGAATTGACCCGAGAACCAAAACCGAATGCACAAGCTAACACTTTTGAGATCCATTATTACCAATTTAAAACACTTTAACATTTCTAATGTCTCAATCCTTATATCTCAACTTTCATAGTTCTATTAAAAGATTTTTCCAACCACTTTGTATGATTTTTCACAATTATCAACCATTATTATCCAAAATTTAGACATTAAAGCACTAAAACATTTTTTTTCAGTTCTTCTTTGCTGGAAAGCTGATGGAAAAGTAAAAGTTATAAAGAAAAATCTTTATGTACAGCAGAAAAGTAGTTGTATATATCCCGCTCCAAACAATCGTCACTGTTCGCCCACATAAACTTTTCCTCAGTTTATGTGCTAGTGAAAATTTTCTTGTTGATTTGAATAATGTAATTTGAAAAAAAAAATCCAAAATTATACTGCGCATGTTTTATCATCATTTCCAGCCGTCTCTCGTTTCAGTCTGCCACTATATACCGCAAGTATTTTGATTTTTTTTTTTTTATAACTTTTTTGTGCGTAAATCAATCGCAGAAACTTCTATCTATACAAAATATGGGGATCTAAATTCATACAGTTACACATATATAATAATTGTGGCTTATATTGAGTCTTTCTGTGAATATAATTTATATATTTGGGATTCTATTCTTGTCTCTTTATTGTTGCAAATTGGAATAGGAAATAATATTTAATGTAGAATTTCGCAAAGGCTGAAGGTCAACTCAATTTTCTAATTTTAGCAAGTCAATATAACTATGCTGAAGCAGCGGCGTTAGAAAAAATAGGAAGGGGAGGGGGGGGGGGGGTGGAAAGATTTTTTTTAAATTCAAAAATAAAGTCAATTCAGAGCATTTAATTCTTTAAAAATTTAAAACTTTAAAACTCAGAAAATACCGCATCTAGTGATAAAATTGCAATTTCACGACTGTGCATCTTGATAATTAAAACTTGTGTTGGTGATTTTAATGACTCATCAGCTTTTAATGACTAAACTATGTCAATTCAAATGACCTAAAATGTTTTCAAGGTTTTATCAAATGATTTAAATACAATAGAAATCTCAAGAGTATGAAAATAGAATTGTTTCAAATAAGGAAAACTATTCATCATTATCCGTCAAAATAGATTTTTAAATGCAGACACCAGTACGATAGAAAAAGCCGAAAATGCGGCAGACATTTAATGAAAAAAAAAATCGATATTTTGCAATTTTTCAGCTTCAATGTGAATTGGTGGAAATAAATAAATGTAATAAAATTATAAATTTATGATAAACCGACTAAATTATAAATTATAAGATTTTTTGGTGATTTTAGAAAATTTAAATTATTTAAAATATTACACTGTTTGTATGAAGCTGTCTGGTTTGTTTCATTCATGTAAAAATGTAAATTTCCCTCAAACCCTTAATTCAAACTTAAAACAATAGCATTAATACATATAAAAACTTTCATTTTCCTTTTAAAAAATTGGCACTGTAGGAAAAAAAGTGAATGAATGTTGGTGAATAAGTGAAACGTTGTAATGTATTCAAAGTTCACAACAAATACAGCATAAAAGGACGAAAGGAAGCAAAAGGAAAATGTGTACAAAAAGAAGAAAAATTATCGATCGCGATGCGGTAAAGAAGTTTTTAGGCTGAAGCCGACATATTGACGATGGAAAATTATAGATTTTTTTGAAAATTGAGAAAAAGGTGCGATTATTGATGTTTTTAATGCTGTTTTAGAGATTTAAAGATAAAATAATCAATATATTTTGATAAAATTCATTTAAAATTGTCCAAATATGAGTTTAAGTATGATTGTGAAAAATACACCCTTTGCAAAAATCAAACATGGAGGACGACAATAATAAAATCTTGAGTGAAAATTTTAATTTTTGAAGAGATTTTAAGTTAAAAGGACATAATTTTGTGACATTTCGATCAGATTTTATCGAATAATTGGTTTTTCAAAATAATATTTCAAAAATATTAAAGCCATTACCTGAATTCCGTTTTCAGTGACCATTTCAAGGTCGTTTTAAAATCACAAATCCAATAAACCGAATTTAAAAACTGAAAAACTATTTAGCCAACTTCTGGCTGGCACTTTTTCTTTTTTAAAAATTATCTTTTTCTATTAACTTCAATTAACTACAAGACCAAGCCTATCAAATATCCTTTTTCCACTATGAAGAAAATTTTAGGGTGGGGTATTAAAAGTATATGTTTGAAACTGTTTAAGATTTTTTCTTTTCCAACTTGTTCTGTTGAAGTCTCGTCCAAGACTGAAAAACTAAACCCTTCGTCAAGTTTTCATCAATATTTATTCTCAAATTGCAGTGTGATGTCATCGTTTTTGTTGGAATTAAAACTGCGCAGAATCACAAATAATTTCAAATTATAAACAATCTCACACCCCTAATGTAGTCTTGAACGAAACACATTGTTGACTTTCACCCTCGTTTCTCTCTTCTCTCTTTTAAAAGCTAAACAATGCAATGTGGACTCGCACATGTCATGTTTCCATATTTTTGTTTATCATTAAATTTTGTTTTGTTGTTTTGTTTCTTTTTGGCCCGATTTGATTAGTTTTGGTCATGAAATTTTATCGATAATTTGGATGTTTGATTTTTGTATGTTCGGAGGATTTAATTTCACTTTCTAATCATTATTTTGTAAGTTAAAGATTTATTTTGTGCTTTGCTAGTTTCAATCGTTATTTATAAGTTAGTAGTTCCGTTAATTTGTCGTTTTTCATAATTGTAAATGTTTTGCCATGTCAATCAATGTTAATAACGGGATTTCTGCAATTATTATAAATTGCTATTAGAATTGTATATTAATTTTGAATCTTGAAACTTTTGCAAATTTGATTAGTTTAGATCAAAAATTTTGTAAATCTCTTTACATCAAAGAAATCAAATAAACATTGCTGCTGAAATTCATCATTATAATATGAAAGGTCGGTATTACAATCATAACAATGATTTGTTTGTATCACGTTTGGCATGACTCAGATGCAAAAGAGAAACAAAAGATTTTTTCCATAAATTCTCTTTTTTTTGAAAGAAATGCAATTTTCTCTTTTATTTTTTGATTACTCTCAGTAAAAATTTAACGAAAGAATTTAATGACGCAATATCTACACGATATTTGAATCCTTCCATGCTTGTTTTGATTTTTACTATAAGCCTTAAATGTTACAATAGTTTTATGAATTGGACTAGTTTCAAGACAATTGGACTAATTTCCTTTATTATTCCCCCCCCCATTTCCCGAATTTATCTGTTTCATCCCTAAATCAACATATCATGAAATCGTCTGTCTCTTAAAATGAATTTGTTTAACGAGGCTTTGCTATTTGATTTCAACTAAATGTTTATTATGCTTCCACACGGGCGTGAACCTTCCGTAAATTAGAGTAAATAATTGAGCGAATAGCATAACATAAACAATCACATTTACACACTTTTTGGTATATTTTTTTCTAAATTTAAATTTTTCTTGATAATCGTCAATTGAAATAAATTAGAAATGATTTCTATACACATTAGAAAATGACAAAAACAGAACACATGAATTTATATTCACCTCCTTCATACAATAATATTATTTTTTTCTAAAATGTATTACAGTATTTTAAATGTTATACACACACAAAGAGAAAGAGATTTGATTCCCATTTTACCCTCCCCAAAAAAAAGAAGAAAAAATTTAAATAGAGTACAGAATCTAAAAATAAATTACGCTACAAAAGCAACTGTAGACTGTTTCTACTGTCGAAAAATTGAAGAAAAAAAATCTGATTTACATTGAATTCTTTAAATTTAAGTTTAACTTACACCGAGTGATGATAACGATGGAAATCTTTTCTTTAATGAATTCATAGTTTTTCAATTTATATTTTGTGTACAAAGTATTTAATTATTGATGTTTCGTGTGGTTTAAATTTGCATGGCAACTGTAACTTTGTAATTGATCTGATTGAAAATTGAGAATTATACAATATTTTTCTTCTCAAATCCTCAAATATTTTTGGTCTAAAATTTCCACTTATATTTTTTTGAGGCAAACCAAATTGAATCACTTGAAAAATTAATATTAAATCTTATTTTTCAAAGACTTTAATTTCTCGCACTTAAAATTTGAATTTATTTAAATTTTCTATTTTTATCTGCGAGCGGCAATAGCAAGCAACACAGCAAAACAAATTCAGCGACCAGACTGACTCAGAGAATGATGAAATGAAAAGTCATAATTTTTACAAAAGCTTTTCATTGAGAAAATTCTCAGAAAAATGAGAATTTTTTTTTCAATTTTTAAACAAAAAAAATCAAATTAAAATTTTTTAAAATTTTAAAAAATCAAGTCATTCTTTAAATTATTTTAAATGTTTAACATTCTCATGTTGATTATCCTTAAAATTCTAAATTTCCAAAACCGGAAAATTGGACTGAGAGAACTGTTTTCATCTCTCACATTTCAATAGTTTATGCTCAGCAACACAAAAGTAACTAAGTTTGTATCTCAATTTAAGAAAAAAATCACTTTTTAAAAATATAAAGCATAAAGCATTTAATTCAAATATAAGTAGCTAATTTCAATTGACAACAAATGAATAAAGTTTTTCGGAAATAAGTCGTTTAAATTTTAAATTTACTGCTCAATTTATTAAAGTTTTATTTATTAACGTGTGGTACTGCTGACCGAATATGATGACTTCATGCGGTGTATATATTATATATGTGTGCATAACATCATTGATTCTTTACACAAATACGTTCATAATATTTAACTTTATACATTCTTAAAAAAAAGAAGATCAACAGCATGTATAGTTGAAGAAGTTCTAAACAATTGTCAACAAAGCAATCATTACGGTTAGTGTGCAATTACTGAAATTACTAGAATACCGGATAAGGTAAGATTAGCATAGCATAAATGTTTGAATGTCAAGAGTTAGTTCCTCAAACCTATTAAGATAATTATAATGCTACACTAGTGTTGAAATATAATTTTTTGACACTTTCGTGGTGTGATTCATTATTGTTTCTGTTTTTTCCATTATGGCTATAAATCTGTGAAGTTGGAGTTGTTTAAGGGATCGTTTAAAAATAATGTCTAATATTTAAACGTAAGCGTGTCTGAGACTTACATTTAAAAAAAGAATTTTGAAGAAAAAAAGATTAGGGAGGTGATCCAAATATCATATTTTTTGATCGTCAACATTTATGGACGTAATTTTGTTTTCGCAAAACAAAATGTTTTTTTTTTGCAATTAAAAAGAATGTAAATAAGTGTTATCTTATGAACTCAAATGAATTAAAAATCAAAATATAAAAGTGACGACATGTTCAGTCAAGTTATAAAAAAAAAATCATCTCATTGTTTTTGTTTTTGAAATTGGATGTCATCATCTGAGTAGGTAAGTTTTAATGCACATATACAAATATGAAAATAATTTTGGCATTAACGAATTCAGGAATAATTTTAAAATACACATTTTTTACCGAAACTTAAAAACTTATACATTTGACTTTTCTTAGCTTATTAGCTTATTTCAATTGTTCTTATCTAGCTTCAACCAAGACATTGAAATAAAACTGCAATTTAAACAGATTTAAGTGGAAATCAAATTCAAAAAATATTATCTGTGCCTTTGCGTGGATGTTAAAAAATTTTTAAAATCCAAATTAAATGAAATCTGAAGTAAAATAAATTAATCATCCATTAAGAATTGATTTAAAGTGCAAAATTTTACAATATTTTTGTTATCTAAATTAGTTGATGAAAAAATGCCACATCAACTATATATCTAATGTTGATAACATATTGAATGATAAGATTCAAGTGTGTTGGTAACGATGCTAATTATTTAGCATTAATTATGGAGTGTACAAACTACGGAAAATTGAAACATTTGTGGTGTAAAAAATATTATTTTTACGAATCTCTCTTTTTGTGGCTTTTGTAATTTTTTTTTTATCAAATCGTTGATAATGATAGCATTTATGTTCATAGTGAGAAAATTATTTTATTATATAATTTCTACAACAGAGAATTTTTTTTCTTGACACCAAAAGATGACAGTTTGCGGAGCTCTATCGATTGCGAAAAACTAGGTTATTCTCGTAAAAATTAAAATTATGATGGAACTTTTATTTTTCAGAGGAAGTTTAAACCTCGTTAATATTTTAAAGTTTTTTTCATCTTTAAAGTTTTTCATCTTTAAAACTTTTCATCTTCAGATCTTTTTAAAAATTTTCATCAATTACGTAATGAGAACATACTTAATAAAATTGTTACATTGAAGTACGTTTGCTTAAAGTTCACAATCACTATGGACTTATATGTACTTACCAACTTTGGAGTTGTTTCTGCCATTTTTAGATATATTTATTTTTTTTCTTAAAAATTTTCTTTTACTTTTCAGCTTTAAACTTTTATTGATTTTATTATTTTTTGCATTAATCTGCAATGCAGATTATGAAAATAAGCTTTTATTTTACTTAATACTGTATTGTTACACTTTAAAGTATAAAAACAATCAAACTTAGCACTTTTAAGCTTAAATTTAAATTTTTTTCTTCTTTATAAAAATTCTTTTCAGCAATTCGTTTCAAAAATAGAACTTTTCACTGTTAATGGCAGCCTAATTCTGTAGAAAACGAGGAAAGATAGCGTACAGAAATTGGAAAATGAATAAGAAGAGGAACTGGAATGGAAATAACTGACAAACTCAGAGAAAATGCAGAGCATTCAGACAAAAATGCATTGATTCAATTTTACTGCACACGTTCGTGCTTAAAATCCTTTCGGTTTTTTTTTCTCTCGGGATTAGATTGGAAATGCATAGCACAACTAAGGGAATGTGATCAAGAAGAGGTTGTGATACATGCAGCTTCCATTATAGAAACTATTTTTTGAGTTTGGGGTTATTTGGGATGGGTGGAGTGGAGTTCCAAAGATTTTATGGCACTCGTGGCAAAAATGGTGCATGTAATTTGTCAATTTTTGGTCCTGGCTCTCTCCTTAGCACACTGACAGGCAAATTAATCCTCTTATAAGTTTCAAAGTCACAAAACCAAATTAAAACTTTTTTAATTTTTTTTTATAACAATTCGAATTTTTTAATATCCTCAAATTACTCATAAATCAGGGAGCCCATAAAATGATTACCCGTCATTCTTTGAAAAAATAGTTTGAACTTTAAATATTCAAAAATTAACAATATTATTGGTATTAGTGTTGAAGAGACGCTTAGAATAAGGGAGCAAAGAAGAAGCTATCGAACTGGAACTACATTTTTGTAGCTATAAAAAATGTAGATTTAAATGTCATCGGCAATTTGCTAAACGAGTGTTCTTTTTCATATTTCAATGATTCAGGTGCAAATTTTAAACAAATATGTTCCATGACTACTGTTGTGTGTTGATCAGTTCCAATAGATCACCATTGGAAATACAATCCACATCTCAAAAGATATTAGCTTCAAATTACTTAAATTATTATGCATGATTAAATGTCATCGATTCATGTCAATTCAAGAAATTTTATATTTGATCATTTAGCTTCCCGTGTAGTTACCCTTCCTTCATGCCCGCGGTTTTCTTTATTTCAATTTGTACGCTTTATTCATTTCTCTTATTTCTCTCTACATATTTGGATTTATTTTATTATTTTGCCCTCAAGAGAATGAGAATGGGTTAATTGTGCAAGTATGTGTATGTGGATCTCATGCTTATTTAACTTCGTTAACTATGTTGAAGAAAATTTTCTTACTAAATTGTTAGAACAATTTATTTTATTTTTTTGTGAAAATTGCTTTCTAATTTTTTTTTCTCTCCATCAAAAAAAACCCGTATTGTAACTGGTTATAGGTTCAGATTGTTAAATTTGAATTTTTTCAAAATTGCTGTGAATAATCACCGGCATTTGCAGAATAGGAAATCAACAGGAATTTTAATAAAGTTTAATTAAATGGTTATCACCAAAGCAGAGTTCAAATATTGTTCCATCATTTGAATTTATCACTTTATGGATGATTATGTCATCCAGTTAAACAAAAAAAAATTTACAAACACACATGAAAGAACAGATTACGTCAAAATTATTATTTTGTTTTGTGTGCAAGTTTCACATGCTTTAGTTGTTATTTGCCATTCTTATTGGATAAAATAACGCAATTTGTAATTTAAAAAATTTACGCATCCAATTTTAAGATATTATCATTGAAATTTAATGATCAAATATTATGTAATTATGGACTCATCCATAACACTAAGAGAATATAATTTTTGAAACGTCATAGCTGGTAAATTCTAATAATTTTATTGATGAAGCCGCCCCAAAATTTCAAATCACATAAAAATGTTTATATCTTTTCAAAGATGGAAACACTATACTCAGTAAATTACTTACAATTTGATCAATTGCAATTCCATTTCCATTATGCTCGTGACGATTACTATTCTCAATGATTAGACTCATTTTTTGACAATAGTATTGAACTATATTGTAGCACTTTAAATGTGTTTTTATCTCAGTTGGTATAAATAATTATTATTTCTTTAGATCTTTGCTTTATATTATTTTTTGTAAATATAATTTGAACACCATTGGAATTTCTACTTAATTTCTTTTGGACAACAGAACATTTTTTTTCTCTTCACTCTGTGCTCTTCTTCTTATTTTGTATTTGCTTGTTTTCTTATTCACAATAACAGCGGGTAAAGAAGCGATCACGTACACACAAGTAAACGGTTTGAGAGTTTCCGAGGGACTGAAAATCATGAGCGGTTTTTTAAAAAAATTTACTCGATTGTTGATCGCATTTTTGGACTAGAATAAAATTTTACTATTTCAAATAAAGATTTTAACAATTTTTTTCTAATATTTTTAAAATATATTTTCAAAAAATTGCATTTAAACAGCTGCTGTTTGTAAATGATATTGTTTGCAGAAAAACACTTCAAAATCACTAACGTTGGATTATTTGAGGTCTTCCATGGTAAAATAGAAAATATGCAATTTTTACATTTTCAATTTGAGCTTAGTTTGAATCTATTTTTGCAAAATAAATAAAATTGATATTTAGAAATTAAATTTTCAGACCACCCCCCCCCCCCCTGTTTTACCACAACATTTTAATTTTAAAAATTATTTTGTTCAAATTATTAAACAATTTTAAAAACCCAACCCCTTCCGTGAACGTCAATAAATTAAATCATATCTTCATATTATGCGCTATTATTATTAGATTAGGGGTGAAAAATAACTTTTTGTTGCTGTAAATTTGTACAACTCAAAAGATCTTTATTAACATGTGACTTGAATAAATTAATCTGTTATCATACAAACTTCCAGATAGATTATATCAACTTTATAGTAAGGAGAAAAAATTCCCATTTATTCAATGCGCAATCGCATAATTTTCCAATTCCCTAATTATATTCTCACAGCTTCAGCAACTCATGTGTTGTTTAAAAGGAGATAAATATTTTTATGTCTTTAATTTCCATACTTACATGATGGTGATGATGATGGGATGTATGGTGACTTGTATGATGTGACTGATGATGTGAGTCTGAAGAACGTTTATTGGAACTTTGCGATTGATTATGATGCTGGTGCTTTTCATGTGGATGTAAATTATCTAAGTTGATTTGATGTGCAACATTTCCACCTCCCGAGTGAATTTGGTGTGGAAGTGTGGAGCTATGGTGTGCAGAATGTCCGTGGTGGCCTGGATGGTGTCCACTTTGACTTTCTTGGAGACTTGAGAAATGAAAATTAGGATAAAATTAAAATAAATATTTATAAATTATTTTAACAAATTAGAAGAAAAATCAAACTAGGTTAGTATTAAGGAGGGTCTGAGGGTGTCTAGAAAACGTAAATTTTGAAGGACGACTTTTCATGCATCGGATAAAAATTGCTAGTTTCAAAAGTTTACCGGATTTATGAGTTTATGATTCATTCACTTATATCATTCGATAGCTTAACAGAGGTTAAAAATTTGACAAGAAAATAAGTCGTTTTAAAAAGGGAGTTTTAAGATCCATTTAATCGTAGATTGTTCTGAGTATAAGAAGTTTGAATTCAATAAATTTTTAAAAATTACCTTGGATTTATGTGTGTAACGAACTGCATCTTGTTTGGAGTTACACTCTTTGATGCATTGGTATTTTAGTTATTTTATCTAAGTACTTTTTACGATGACAAACTAATGTAATCTTTTAATAAGCATTTAATTTCACTTTAGTTTTAATTGCACGAAACTTTTTTTGTTCATAAATTTTATTTTCCACTTTCACAAAACTATTAACTTTATACCACTGCAGTGTTTAATCTACTTAAAAAATCCTTATTAATTAAATTTAAAGTTTAATCCAAGATATTTTCAAAAAAAGAATTAATTTGATTTTTAAGGCTGAATATTGAATAAAATTTGGAAGCAACAAAAAATGACAAGTAACGTAAATTTAAATTTTTTGAAAATGTTCAGTTATTAATCAATGTTAAAACATGCTCATTTTAATAAGCAACAAGTTTATTTTAAATTAAAAAAGTTCATCATTTTCAAATTTAAAGCTGTTTTTATGCTGCATCAAATTGCATATAAAAATAACCCAAATTTAAATTTTTTATGGATTTTTTTAAGTATTACATATTATGAATTTTTCAGACTGCGCATAAAAGCACTGCTCCTTTTTTTATGTTTTCCGGAAAACAAACAGGAATACTGAACTCTAAAACTTCACGTGCCAGAAACCTGAATAGAATGTAATTATTTTACATTAAAAAACTGTCCGCAATATTCAAATTAGCAATAAGAGGAAATGCAGACTTTGATAATGAATTGTTTGTTGAAGAAATGGTAAAGAATCGATATGAAAATGCAGTAACTTTATAATTTAAGCGTTGCTATGTGTGCATATATTAAACTGCAATGTTCTTTATAAATCTAAACTTTAAGCTGTTCTGAATGAAATCCTTTAAACATACAAAATCCGAAAGCTTTAGCACACATAACAAATTCTTTTCTTATACTGCATAAGCATAGAAAATTATCATAAGCAAGAAAAGGAGTTGTAACATTTTTCATATGGATTTATTTTTATATATAATGTTATCTATTATATTTTATTAGGATAATGATATTATGATGCGTAATATGTTGTATTAGGAACATGTTAAAACCTTCGCAAGAACTTAAAATTATCAAAAATTTAATTCAATCTTTAAAATTTATAAAATAAAATCTTTAAATTTCAAATTTTTGAATTTAAAAAATCCTTTTAATTATGTTGTTTATATATCGATAGCAACACTACAAGGCTTTAGAATTCCTTTAAAGTTGCAATTTATATTACACAAGTTTCAAACTTTTACACTATATTGAGTTTTAAAACATTTTGTTTATCAGTTTTTAAACTTATGAAAACTTTAAGAGAAAAAGCTCAATGTGCACATTGAATAAGCACTGTTCCTGACTGAAGGAAAAACGCGTCTGAATGTGGCCAAAGATATTTTTCGACTGCTCCGTGTTTTCAGTGAAAATGAATTTTATGAATGAGAGAAAATTATGGAATATGTAGACGCACGCATACAATCGTAATGGAAAGCTGATTTTTTTTGTCAAAACATAACAAAAGTCAGTTCTTGATAAGTAGAAATTGAGAATAGGTTTTCATTCAATTTTAAGGATCCAATCATTATGCAAAAGATTCATTAAAATTTATATTAATGAGTTTTTTTAATAATTATTATTTTTATTGCAGTTTTATTACATTGCATGCAGAAAGTCCCAATTTTAATATTTTAAATCCATTCTTAATTTTTTGCATTGTCTTAGATTTTGCGCAAAATTTCCTTATTCTCTCTTTCACAAATTAACATGTTTCAACACAAAACTTATCCAATATTTGATATGCACTGATGAGGTAAACAATTCTGTTGGCAACAATCTATTTCTGTTATAAATTTTAAAATAATATGATATTGGTGCATTATCTCAATTTGCGAATTTCAAGGATATACTCTAATGTTTTTTTTCGGAAATAATTGGAACAACATATTGAATTTCAGCTCTGTGAAGCATAGAAAATAAATAACGGCAAAAAAGGAATAAAACAAGGCATACAATTGGCGCCGAAAAGTCTTTTCTATGTCCCGAAAAGAATTCAATAAAAAAGCATTTTATCTCAAATATATCTTCGTATCAGGAGACTGTGATGACAAGATTATATAAGGTTTCAATTCGTTGTTTTATTGAAATTTGCAAAAACTTTTAAGGATTTTTTTTTCTGGAAGCTATGAAAAATTGTTTACATTCTTTCAAAAAGAAACTAATTTGTGTAGGAATTTTAATCTTTATCGATATTTATATTATAAAAACTACTAAGTTTGATTAGTTCTATTCATTCAGAGGCGAACGACCAGGTCAATGTTCCAATTTGCAACGGAAAAAGGATCAAAATCCCATTACAGAAAGAATATTTTTAAGGATTTAAAATCTCAAGAGGTTAAGAAATACCCCAACCCCCTCCCCTATCTCAACCAAATCTTCTCACAATCTCACATGGTTCAGTGGTATGAATTATTAGCTTAATTATGGAACTTCTTCATCAAATTTTTTGAAAAGGTTTAATTTTTGAAACTTTGATGAAAATGAAACACAACCTTTTGAAATTAAATAACCGTTTTTCTAAGTTTAAAAGTTTTTAGAAGTTTCTTTTACTTATATACGTTTCAGATTTTTCTAGATTTCGTATAAAAAGTTTCCAATGAAAAATTACCAAATGCAAAAAGTTGAAATAATAAAAATCAATATGTTTTTAATATTCAATTTAGCGATAGCTTGACTATTCATCATCTTACATAAATTAAAACATTTTTCACTAGCAATAAGAAATATTTAAGCATTCTAACAGCCAATATGATGATTAATGAAACGCCATCACTTACTTCGTGTTTAATTTTACCTACTAATTGTTATAAGTGCAGAATTTTTCAGCTGTGAAGACTGAATTCATTTTTTAATTTCATATTATAATTATCAAATTTTTTGTGTTTAAGATAGTCTAAATAATGTTCTTATAAAAAAATTGTGATTTAATCAACTCAAGATATAAAGAACCAAAGTTTCCTAAAATTGATAAAAGAAAAAAAAATCTACGAAAAAGGTAATTTCAATCACAGTCAATTTTTACCAATTATGAAATAGCATTTTTCATATACAGTGAAATTTCGATACACAAAAAATCAACTTGATTGAAATTAAGAATATTTGATTATTCTTAAAAGTTCAAACTATTCAAAATCAACTATAAAACTAGATTTCATGTATAATACGTAAAAGGTGCTAAAAAAGCTAATTATTTTTCTCGAAAAAAAATGTGTTATTGCTTCTTGTTGATATTTGCTCTAAATGTATGATTTACTGGATTACACCAAATCTGTAAAAATAGGTTCAACTAAAATTAGTTTGATGCATAAATTTTTGATTCACGACACAACTTGCACCTTCTTATCAATACGCGTTTGTTGATTAAATACGAAAATAATAAAAGTCAAAATCCACATACGATAAATTGTGAGGGAGAAAAAAAAATTGAAAACGTAAAAAGTGATGTTCGCCATTTTTAATTTTAATTCAATTTTTCTTTAATATTATTTTTTTACTTTCGGCTTTTATCACATGCAACTTATTTTTATAATTTTAGATGGCTCTTAACATTATTTTTGATGAATTTGGATTCCTCGAGTCAGATTCTGATGTTGGCTCAAAATTGTCACCGATGCTGAAGCAACCTCCAATTTCTCCTATTGAAAGCGAATCAAGTAGTGGAATCAGTTCTTTGGACTCTGATGATTTAAAGGTAAAAGTCATTTTTTTAAATTTTTATCATAAATTAAAGATTAGAACATTGTTGATTAGTTTTGAGCATAAAAATATCGAAGAAGAAGAAGCATTGCTTGCAAATTGAGTTGTCATAAATATTCGTCGATAAATCTAGATTTTTCAAAATAAACACAAATTATTGTGCAGGTTTTTTTATTCATAAATTGATTTCTTCTTCTCAATGTTGAATTAAATATCAAAATAAATTTTTAAACCAAATCTTATCAACTAGGATTAAATACGGCAGATATGAATATTTTGAACTTCTAAAAGTATTGTTGAACTTAATCATACTGAGTTTAAGAGCATAGATTCTTTTTGTGAACCTAGTTACCTGCCAAAGTTTTAAAATCTAAAGTAGTGTACATTAAGGCTTACTCATATCCAATTTTTTATTTTTCGGTAGCTCCTCAGTAATTATCAATAGTAGAGAAAATTTAGCAAACATTTTTCTTCATCTTCTTCCTACTAAGCATGTGTTTTTTTATAATCTATATAAAAATGAACACCACGAAGATGAGAAAAACAAAAAAAAATACGTACAACGCAAAAAAACAAAAATTGTTCTTTAGTCACATACACACATTTTTGAGTTGTCTTTATTTTTAACGATTATATTTCTTTTAGAAACAATTGCTGTCCTCACCACCTACAATATCAAATTCGCATGATGATCAAGATGATGATGATGATGAACGTGAATCAAACGATGCTAATGATGGCATGTTTAATGAGAAAGAGGATGAAAGTGACGATTTTGAAGATAATGGAAAGGAAACTTCGATTGAAGAAGTTCCGATGCCAATTGCTCCACCACCAGTTAAGGTAATTTATCAAAACCGAAATATTTTGAATTTGGGAGACAATATCTGGAGTTCGGGGCGTTTTGTTCAATATACGATGTTGCCTGACAATAATCTCAGCTGTTTCTTCCAAAACCGTGCTCAATATTGGCGCCTCGGAAGTTCAAGTGGCTCTGAAAAACACGATTCATTAGAAAAATGCTCATGCTGTGATTTCTGTTATCCATCAATTTATCATCAACAACTCATTCAAAATGGACAATATCCAGCAAAGAAAAATGCAATAACTGATTCTCTATTAACGTTCTTAAAAATACATCATGTTGATTTTAATAATACAATGCCAAACAGTAATGATAATAATAATAATATAAATAGTAAGAACATAAATAACAATATTAATAATAATAATAGTAATATAATTGGCAACAACAAACAACGCATGTACAACAACAATACACCTTATGCTGCTTATCAAATTATGCAGCAGCAACAACAGCAACAACAGTATCACAATAATGGATATCACAATAGCACTATGAATGGGCCCAATCAACAAATGAGTTCATTCAATAATAATGGATATAGTGGCGGTTTTAACAATAACAATAGAACCTCTGCTTTATCAGCATTAAATATGATGAATCAATCGCGTAATGTTTCAAATGCATTTCCACAAACTATGAACAATAATTCTCGCTTATATAATAACAATAATGGACTCTATAAGCAGTTTTAAGGAACCAAATTCTGAATGGTTCGAATAATTTCACAAAATTCGGGAGGAACCAATATTTTCAAAAAATTTATATTTTTAATCAATTTTTGGTAAACAATTTTTTTTAATATATTACAAAACAATACACAACCAATACGATCTCTTAAGAAGCGGGAAAAATGATGATTTAAAAATTATGCTTTAAAATTATTTATCTCAAAAAAAAGAAAAAAACTCAAGCACACGTTACCACGTCAAGAGAAGAAAATAAATGGAAATTAAATAAATTTTAAGTTTAATTGTTGGAAATAATATTTTAGACCAGATACTTTATTTTTATAAAATGTGTAGACAATCGAATCGTTTTTCAAGTCAAGTTTATAAACCGATTATGCTACCTTTATCAATGAATCTTCACATGGGAGTGTAGTCAGAAATTATTCAGACCCTCGGACTACGCTCATCTTGAGCATCAATTGTGAAACAAAAGTTGTTGGATAATTAGATATTTGTGATCATTTTTTTATTATGCGTGTAAAATGACTCTTAAAAATTAAAAAAAGTAAACATTTACAAAGACTTAACTTTAACAAAATTATAATCCATATCTATGTGCCCAGTTAATAGTTGATTGACTAAGATGCTGCTAATATATAATAAATAGTATGGAGCATTTAATGTGAGTTTATAAAGTCAACATTAAACTAAAAAATAATATCTAATAGCTTCAAACGTGATTATTTTGATTGAAAATTTATGCTCAATTTATATTAGTCAATTATTTATTTCTTTCTTAAATTACAATGATAATAATTATGTATACATACAACATGTTACGGTTAGTGTTGAATTTTTATTGCTTATATTTATAAAATTTATTTATCAATGCCTTAATTTTTGCAATAACTAGAGAAGCATACTTAACTGACCCCCGAAACAGTCAGTAGCTCAGTTTTGTAGTATGAGTAGAGTGATTAGGGTCGCGACCAAGAGTCCTTGCAATGCTATAATTTGTCATAATGAGCTAATTCCTTTTGTTTTAATGAGAACCGCACCGAAAAAAGGCAGATAACATGAGAACATAATTTTCTAAGAAAATGCGCTTAAAAAACAACCCAAGAATAAGTAAATTTAATAATTTTATTTTTAAATCTTTTAGTTCAAATTTTTGTTGAAAAGTTTATCAAAATTAGCTAAGATTAAAGCTGATAAAAAAATTGTTTTTTCTATTGAAATTTAAAGATGAAAACAAAAGTTGACAAAATATTTTTCAGTATTCTCAATTAAATCAAACTTTTTTTAAATTTATCGCCAAATCAATAAGTTTCCAATTCAATCTTATTTTTTTAAAAAACAATTATTTTGATTGGCTTTTGGGATGAAGCTGAAAAATTGGTAGCAATTAGTTTTAAATTTTTGATGATATTTTTTTTTTGTTTGATAAAAATTTTGTGGTTTTGAATTTTTAAGAAAATATTGCTTATATTTTTATTAAAAAAGAAATTATTTTCTAAGGCAAAAAGTACTAAATTAAGCTTCATAATTAATGGCAGTCATATCCCGAGCGACACAAAAGTTTGTCGCTAGTTTCTAATTTTCGTTTTTCATAATGTACTAGGAATTTGCAAAACAATTCGCAAGTGAACCACAAATCTTTGCCAAATTTTACAAAACAGACATTTTTTGTCATCTTCGATTATATATGTTCCAGTTCTGTTTGATTCATTCATATGCACACCAAATTTTTGATTTTGGTGAATATATATTTCTATTAAAATTATTCTGGTCATGCCATGGTCTTTAAATAATCATAATTGTTAATTATTTAAGTGCTTTTGTTTGTTGGTTTGTTTTTGATTTTCTATTTTTTCTAATTATAATATATGATATTTTATAGTTGAAAGAGCATTAATCTGAAGTTACTAGAAAAAAATTTTTTGACTGGACTTATAAGGAAATTGTAATTTTTATTACTTTCACTTTAATTTGAGCAAAGTCTTGAAATGTAGTCAATCAGTAATAAGATAGTGAAGTGAAAAAAAAAAATATGAATACAATTATCAATCTTTGTGCAGTAAATCACGTTTAGCCAAAAACAATAAAATCACATTCCCGATTGTGACAAATTCAAACTTCAAAACTAAAGTCACTAGCAGCAAATAAAAAAATAATAAATTGATAATTATATTTATGAGACAAAAAGTTTTTATGCATTTAGGCAAGACGAGAGACCGTTTCGAAATCGAAGAATTGAAAGTTAAGCTAAATATAGAAAAATGATAATCCGTTTTTTTTATTTTCAATATTTTTTCACCAAAGAAATACATAATTAATATTAATAATTACAAAACCCAAAAGAAGGATAAAAAAGATTGATTGGAAATTTCAGTTTGTAGAATTGATATTTTTTTGGATGTTCAACTTGATAGCAATTAATAATCCTTAATTTAAACATTATAATAATTTATCTCAATGAGGGAAATGAAAGAATATTTGTTCTTCATAACTTCATCTAATTCAATAATCATTTACGTTATATTAACAAAGCATAGCCAAGGAATGAAACTTGGTAGACGAATATTGATTATTTTTTTTTTTATAAAAACGTGATTGGCTCCAAAAAATGGCCAAAACATAAAGATTCTTTCCGTTAAGTTTTATTTTTTAGCTTTTTGAAAAGCAAAGTTTTTTTTTTGTTTCAATTAATTATTTTATAAATCTACTAAGTCACAAAATAGTGTTTCATGTTTTCCTAATGGTTTAATTAATTGTTTGGGATTTAAATCTTTAAATTAATCTTAATTATAATTAAAAATACAAATATGTACATTATTCCTTTAGTAAATTTTATTTTAAAATCTAATGGATTTTATATAAAATATAAATATATTTGTTAAGACACAACCAGCAATATTAAACTAGAACGACACAAAACTTATTATATGATTCATTGCTATTGAAGACATTTGATTGTTGGCATCCTCTTACAAGTAAACTACAATTAATCTACAAAATTTAATTAATTTGGCCAAAAACGTTCTCAAATCATAATTTAATTTAATTTTTGTATTTTTTCCATAGTATTTTGCTTAAACCCAATATATTAATATTGCCACAGTATCACAAGTTGACCAAACCTGTAAAAGAGGATGAAAAATCTAATTTATTAAACTTAATATAACTTTAATTGCGAACAACATTAGCTACCTTTCTGGCGTTGCTATTAAATTTTAAATTTACTTTAATTAGCATTTTTGAATTCATAATTTTAAATTTTGAGTAACAAAAACCCATTTGCACTGAAATATAAAGCAAAAGGCTTCGAATTCGACAAACTATCATCATCTCATCATCACAAAAGTTTTAAAAAGGACAACATTCAATAATTTTCCACAATAGAACCTTAAACATTGATTATAAAAAGAGGTTAACTTTCCACATTTTAACATAAATAAATTTAATTTAAACAATAGATTTTCTAAAGCCCCCACCCCCTTGGTCATATTATCATTCTATTTTTATAGCCGAAGAATTGAGCAAGCATCAAATTTGATTTTCAAACAAAATTATAATACTTAATTAATAATATTTCTTGTTAAGTTTGTAGATCATGCGTTAATGAGAATCATGTAAAAGTTATGTCGTTAAATACTGAAAAGATTTTAAAAAAAGCCTATAAAACTATTTTTGATATAAAAAAGTACAAAACACGGTGCCTTTGATCCATAAAACATTTCAAATGGCATTAAAATATTAAAATACTATAAAAAAATTATTAAAAAAATTCGTGCCTATTATCGAAGTTGACCAATATATGTTTCTAATGTAATATTGGGATATAACTTTAAATTGGAAGAAAATAAGTAGGGGAGGAATAGCTTGTATAAAATTTGAAACCTTTATAATGAATTTAAAAGTAATTAATGGAGTTTGAAGTTGAGCGAGTGAAGTCAACTTTGAGTCTAATCGACTTGAGGTTGACTCTTAACCGACACTAAATGCAAAAATGTGAACAAATCAATTCAAAAACTTCAATCAAGTTGAGTTGACTATAAATCTACAAAAGTCGAATGAAAAAGAACTAATCGACTCTAGCCAACTTCGAACTCAAGAAATTTATCAAAAAATTACTAAGTGTAACTTAATTTATTGTCAAAATCATTTTTTGACGTCAAGTTATCTCCCCTAGTAGTCCCTCTGATAGCAAGTACTTTTTGGAATATTTATTGAAACTTTTGCTGTCTGTTTCATCCTTCCAACGCCTTTTTTTTTGCATATTGTGTTGAGACTGTTTATTTATAAAAATTTAACAATAAAATTATATTAGATACTGTATGTGATAAATTTCTTGTAATTAAAGAATAAAGATTTTGAACACCACTTTTAACCAAAAATTAATGTTTGAATTATTTTTTATTTATTTTTCCATTTTTAAAGATTTAACATTTTGTATTTTATTGAGCATGAAAATAGTTGAACACTTAATGGTTATACCGTACCCTGAATTTCAAACTTCAATAAATTTTGTATAAATTTTGTGTCTTAGACATTATTTTCAGCTGGTTTCCAATAGTCATCATTCATTACAAACGGCCGATATGTTTCTAAAACACCATACCAATATTTCTTTAATTCACTCATAGATGGAGCTGATCCACCATAATCAGATGGTAACATTTCACGAGGTACATAGTTATACAAATTCTCTAAATGTCCAACTTTATGGAAATGTAATGCGTTATAGAGTTTGGCATAAATGAAAGGACGAATGAAAAGAAGTGCTCTGTTTACAATTGGTGTGCAATTAATAACATGAAATTGAACTAGACGAACAGGATGAGCTGTTTGAAGATATTTAGAAATAAGCTTCAATGTTGACACAACAGCTCTTGTTAAATGCTTTAATGTAAAATTTTTCATATCAAAAATAATAATTTCTCCGGACTCCATTTTTCGATAATCCGCAATTGGAAGATGAAAACGCACATCACATGTCATAAGGTACATTTTTGTTAAATCATTTAAGACAATTTCACTATGGTCACTGTGAACTAATCGAGCGATGCATACTTTATAGTTTTCAGGAGTATGTTGCTGCAATAACACCATGTCACTAAATAGCAAGAAAATAAATTACTTATTGAGATTATTAATAAGGCTTAAAATTAACTTACAAAGTATCAATAATTTTTTGCATTGCTGGATCATGTGGATCTCGTTGTGTAAAAAACCATGGATAACGAGATCTTATGTCAATGTTACGTGTAAGCATGGCCTGAGCTTTGTGCATGCGATATGAATATAGTTTGAGGTATCGTATGAGTAAATCTTTATCTGAAATTGAATAATAGATATGAATAAAATTGATTAAGCAAAATTTGGGAATTTTGAAAAATTAATGTCTTAGACAGGAAAGGTGGTGTTAAAAACTTGGTTTTTTTTTTGATGAATGTTGGGCATTTAATAATTAGATAGCTTTATTTCAACATGACTGGTTACAATGTACCTTTTACTTATTAAAAGTTTGACCTTCTTTATTTTTGAAACATGCCAATATTTATTGTTTTGGATGTGAACTCACCAAAAGATTTTTTTTTAATTCGATTTGACAGTCATAAGATATTTTTGTAATCTCCAGCTTTTGCAAAGTTGAAGGTTGAAAATAATTAGAAAGCTTTAATAATTTCGGTAAAAACAAATGTTACACTTGTTATTATTTTGAAATTTCAAGGTTCAAAATATCTTAAGATAAACAATAAATAACTTCAATCCATAAATTATGATTGAAAGCTCAGATTGCGTGAAGGTTAGGGTTTCGTTCAAGTTGCATGACCAAAAATATTGAAAACTTTTTTTCTTTTCATCTTTAAAAGTTTGACAAATTATTAATAAATTATAAAAAACTATTAAGAATTAAAATTGAAAATCAATACATTAGTATTTTTAACTTTAGAAAATTTCCAGTATTTCCATATTCTCAACTTTCAAGTTTCAAGCTTATCTGCCCATAAAAAAATTAATATTTAAAAATTAAACTAGAATTTCATATTTTTTAATATATAAATTATTTAAATTGTCAAAAACTATACCTAAATTATTAGGTAGCTTTGGATCCTCCTTAATCCTTTTATGGAATTCTTCCAACTGTTCCTCGATTTCTTCTTTACTGTACATAATATTTTGTCGTGTCATTTCAAACTAGCTTCTTATATCGTTTAAAATTAAAAAAATTCACGTCTGATTCTTTTTTTACAAATTTACACAATTTACTTTTAAAATTTTATTGAAATTATTATTTTATGATTTTTAAAAAATGGTCCCACAATTTAAAACTCCAATCTAAGCTCTTCAAGAGGTAGCTTAATACTGTTTGTGTTTGGGTTCATAAAACAAATTCGGTAAGTTTAGAGCACAGCAATTTTTTTTCTCTCAAGCTGCTTACATTATTTATCAATTGCATTGAATTTATTTGTGTGAAGTCAATAAAAGAAGAAAAAAACATAAACTTATGCTTCTGCATGTATTGTCATGATTATTTCAAATACACGAGATGAAGCAGTAATAAGTTTCGTAAAAAGTAAGATTTAATGATCACAAAAATGAAATTTCGTTTCGTCACACACGCTGCGATTTACAATGTTACATAGTTTTGCAAAAAAAAAAAGACATTAAGTGTGTCATAATTAATTTTCAATCATATCCATGAAGTTTAACTTCAAATTTTACAATTTTTGAGAGATTTAATTTTTTAAAAGAATTACAATAAGCTCTATTCTAGTATATTGTGAGCTATAGGAATGAGCTTTTCTTAAAAATAAGCAAGTAAAAGTTCAAATATGCTTCAATAATGCTCTTAAAAAAGACAAAAGTATGTTCCAAAAATAAAGTAGTTGAGAGCAAGAAATGTGGAGCCACAAATCATTAAGTATTTTAATAGACTTTCTCAACAAAATCCCATGTAGGCGAATGAATCCTCAAATGACATGTTTTCTGAATCATCAGGTTCTTTGAGTGTCCAAATATCATCATTCAATAGATACTCTCTAAAAATATAAAAATTTTTGCATTTCCATTCCATATCTCATTTTCATACTCAATACTACCTGCAATCCTCTGTTCGTTTAATCCAATTTTTATTACAAATTTCAATGCTTTCGTCATTACCATTAAGCTCAACAGGTAGAATTTCACGTGGTATGAAATCGAATAATGTTTCTGAACCTGGTGCATGAAATTGCATAATGTTCATAACTTTAGATCCGATAAATGGTTTAATCAACATTATAATTTTGTCAAGCAGCGATGAAACATTTATTATATGTATCTGCTTTATTCTCATAGGATGTGCTTCAATCATGTATCGAAAGAATCCTCTCATCAATGAAAATCCCAACTTTGAGAGATGTTTTGGTGTAACTCCATTTGAGTCATAAATCAAAATTTCTCCATCTGCAAGATAATTTTTGGTCACATCATCAGAAGTTATAAGATTTGCATCAGACAGCATAGAAGTTACACCAAGAACATCTTCAAAAACTATTCCATCAGGGTTGAAATCGATGAGTCTAGTTACTATAATTCGGCAGTTATCTGGTGATAATTTTGGAAGTAAAGCCATTTCGCTTTGAAAACAAACAATCAAAAAAATGAGCTGAAAAATATAATTGAACAAAAAAAAAGTTGTGGTCACTACTTACACATGTTGCAAGACTTTATGGACGCGCGCATCGGTTGTATCACGATTATGAAAAATGTTTGAATAAGTTTTTCGAATCTCCATGCTTGAATGTAGTCTTTTCGTAGCTTTTTCTACATTCCCATTGAAGAATTTCAGGTATCGACGTAATAAAATTTCATCTAAAGAAGAATATGAGTATTTGAAGTTTCTAGCAGCTCTTATAATTACCTATATTTTTTGGAAAACGTTCATCAGATTCTATATGCTTTTTAAAATCCGCAAAATTAAAGGTTTTGTCAATTTCACTAAATTCCATTTTTAAGCAGATTCTTTCTATCAATTGAAGCTCAATATTAAGAGCCCAATAATATTCTTACAATAAAGTTTGACGACATTTAACTTTGTTTAAAAACGTCTTATTCACAGAACACACAGTTTAGAAATGAATATGTTACATAATGTCAGTTTACTGATCTGATCATAATTCAAAATCGAGAGAATTCTATTCAACATACAATAGCTATGCAAACTGATGCAAACCTTCATAAGTATAATTGTAATTTTCTTGTGGTTTCATAAGATATTATTTTATCTGATGCATTTTTGTGCAGCAAGTATAAATTAATTAAATATTTCAAGGTGTACGTGGCAATAAAATTAAATTGAGCAGTGTGTTGAACTTAAGAATAATACAATGTAATGATAACATACATACTAATCATAATAAGAGCTCGACGTCGACTATAGTCAACTATAAGTTTTCATTTGATTAGATTGAATTTTTCCGAGTCTTCCAACTCAGAATCTTCTTGCGACCAAATTAACATAATTGATTTTGAGTTTTGAGTTCCTAAATTAATAAATTTTAAAAAAATTCTCAATTAGAATATGAAAAGAGCAATCTGATCTATAGGCTTACTAAAGCTCCTAACTACTGAGAAAGTGTAAGTAAAGATTAATAGTATGTTTCATTACAGTGATGATACTTTTGTTATGTAACAACATTTCAACACGAAGTAATTTTGCACCAACAAAATTGAGGTGGATTTAGGTCAATAAATTAACCAAAAATTACTCGAAGTTTCTTATGTAAAATAATAATATAGATGTCGCAAAAATGTTGAGATTATACTTTTTAAAAGAAAGAAGAAAGCTCGCACTTAAAAATATTAAAAATTGATCCTAAAAACTGAATAGAAGCTTTTTCAAATTAGATTTTAATTCCTACATAAGTGTCGAGTTTAAATCCATAAATCAATAAGAGCTTTTTTGCATAGTAACTAGGCAAAACTTTAATATATTAATTTAAATTGTATTTATGCAAAGGAATTGCATAAACATGAGGCACATGATTAATCATATAGTTATGTGCTTAAATGCAATAAGGATTAGGAATTTTAATTAAGAAGACAAAAAATTCATAGGTTTGATTCTAACAAACAATCCCCTTTCCCTCCACTCTCTACTATCTGCATACTTACTTACTTCCTTCGCTGGGACGCACGTGGGTCCATTGCCACGCTTAGAGATCGTCTGAAAGCAGCTCTTTCCTTAGAAACCTTTTGCATGTTCGGGATATTAAGGACTCTAGCGTCCTTTTCAACACATCCAATCCACGAAATCTTCGGTCTTCCTCGTGATCTCTTGCCATCTATAAAGTCTGCTCCATACTATCTACGTACCTACATAATAAAAAAAATGTCCTCGAAACTTTAAATACAGTCACACTGGTGAGTTTAATAATCCTATAAGGATTCTTAAAGTTCTTATAAATTTGAGATCATCATTGAGTTTACAGCTAAAGTTCTTACTATAGCCTTGTGTCATAAGAAGAATGACTTTAAACAAACGATAAGAAGATTCAGATTAATGTGTCAATACTGTTTTTGATCAGCTTAGATTATTGATATTCAATCTTTATTAGCTAGTATAAAAGAAACTGTGTAATCAGCTTCAGCAAACAGTGACTGAGCTATTCTCTTTAAAGTTGACATTAAAGAAAGGAAGAATCAAAGATGAAGTTATATTTAGGAGCTCTTGTAGTAATTTTCGCAGTGGTTTTGTGTGTGAGCAGTGAAAGCATTTCGGAAGATGAAGTTGCAGAACTAATCAGTGATTACAATCATCTATACAAAAACTATGAAGGAGAGAAGAATGCACCGGTATGGGTTTTTTAATTTAATTCTTAAATCTGTTTGGCTTTCAAATGGTTATCAAATTGAACCTTATATATTTTGGGACTACAATTGTTAAATCCAATTTTTATTTTAAGATTCGTGAAATGGCCCAAAAAACAAAGGATCTGACGCTAAAGTATTTTAAAACAGTCGGAATCGAAATAGCTAAACACATGTGCAACAGTCTTGATAATATTGTGGCATCAATAAACAAAATTGATGATTAAGTTTAAACATATTTTTAATGTTATCAGAACTTCAATAAATATTTAAATTTTTCTGCCTTAAAAAAGGTGTTCAAATAAAATTTCATGAGATATTTTGCATTCATAATTTCGTGATTGCCGATTACAAAATTAAACATGCTTATTCATATTTGATTAGAAAAAATGAAATATCGTGTCATATTTCATGAAATAAAGCATTAGCCAATAAATTTATGAAAAAAAGAAAAAATATAACACTACACTCCTGGTGGGGATCGAACCCACGACTTTTGGATTAGAAGTCCAACACGCTTTCCTCTGCGTCACAGGAGCAGTTGAAAATATTGATTTTTTTGCTTCATTTAAATTTTCAACTTTAACCGTTACAAAAATTAGAAAAATTCACGTTTATTATCCGTTTCTATAAGCGCTTTTTGATTCGATTGCTGTCAGCATTTGATTAATTATTGAGTTTCATTTTATATAAATGCTTTTAATAATGCAGCAAAAAGTATAACAAGAAAATATGAAGAAGCATTGATTCTTTAAGTAGGATGTCTGGAGGAATTCGTTAAAAAAAAGTAATACAGTCATGCTTTCAATTCATATGTGTGTGACACAAAATTCATGACCTAGTGATACTTGAAACATCATTATTATACTATTCTTTTATTCTAAATTGCAGTATGTTATACATTAATGAATAGAAATTAAGCAAAACTAGTAATTTTTAACTTTACGAATATTCCAAGACAAACGAATTTCTTTGGCTTTGAAAATCGATATGACTCATTCGAAATGATGTTTTGCGTGTATGTGTATTGTACTTTATTTTTAAGACTGTGGTAGTATGATGATGTAATTTTTTATATCCATGTTTTTTGCTTGTTATTATAGTACATTAGTAGTGAGAGAATAGTTGAAGATAAACGTCATAAAGTGTATGTGTTCGACAAGAATTGAAATTGATAAATTTAAAATAAATTATTGATTTTTAAGCACAAAATAAGTCAACATTTTATGATTTTATTAGCAAAAGTTTAAAGGAAGCTATAAAGTTGGTTTTATGTTTAAACTCCAAAATTTTTATAAGTGAATGTTTTGATGATTTCATACTTTGTTTCATAATGTTAAGTGTATAATTGTATTACAGTTGCTCCACAACGACAGAAATTACAATTTTAGCAATTACGTACTAAAGATAAATTTTCCGAAATCTACTTTTTGTGATAATAAAATTTAACCGAAATACTATAACAAAGTTTAGCGAACAGACCTTAGTGAACGATATAAAAGACGATAAGCATGTGTAAGACGTTTATTTGGTAAGGTTAGTTTAGTAGGTTGTCGAATTCGATTCAGACTTCACGCACAACAAAGAGAGAAAATAAATAAAAAATAAAACAATTTGAAAACTTCCGTTTGCACACATATAATTGTAATTCGAAGAATAAAGTAATCCTACAAAAAAGAAGAAAAAAATCATTCATCGAAGAAAAACACTAAAGTAGAAGTTATTAAAAATGAATAATGAAAGTGCTGTCCAAGAAGAAATTGAAGTTACAAGTCATAGACCCGATCCAATAAAATTCGAAGAATTTATTAATAGAATTAAAAATGAAAAGAATTTTCCACAAAACATGAGTAAGTGCTTGACGATTAATTAAACTAGTAATTTAAACTTTAATAAATTTTTTTTAACTTGACAGACAAAGTTCTACTAGAAAGGTACCTAAAAATAAGCTTTAATGATGTTGACTGTGCATTTGCTTTACTTAAAAGTGGCCTTGAAATGCGAACGAAAGCATCTTACTTATTCACGGACCGCGATGTGATGTCATCGGAAATTCAAACGGCCTGTAGTACTTTGTAAGTTCCTTTTTAATGGTTTTATGTTGAAATTGGTTCTAAGAAAATGAAAAAGTTTACGCGCTGTCGTGAGTCATTTTCATATTGACATAAAGTTATACTGGGGGTCCTCGATTTGAGTAGTTGTTTTGTTCCAAAAAAATTCTACTCAAATCGAATCTATTCAAATCGAGGCAAAGAATCCATACAAAATCACATGTTTTGTTCGAGAGTCCAAAAAATGTATCAAAACAATGAAAATTTTGATCATATTTTGCACATTTTACCTATTTTCTTAATTTTACCTATGTGTTTTAGATAACTTAATTTATTTCAACGCATATTCATATTGTTTTTAAACAGAAATTCACAAAAAATATGTTTTTGAAGCAAAACAAAAATATGAGAACCTTGCAAATGTTATTTAACCGAACAATTTGTAGGGTTTTTAAATTTGAACTTTTTAAAATCGTTAATTTTATATCGATTTTTTGAAATTTTTTCTTTAATTTTGTAACTTTAGTATTGATTTTTTGATCAATATGATAAATTCAAGCTTATTGCAGTAAAATTTATCTTTTAAAAATATTTTCTGAAATGTTTTTATCAAAAATGTTCGTTTTGTAAACAATTCAAATCGAAGAAAACAGGAAGAAATCTACTCAAATCCAATATTTTGGTGGGTAAAAAATTTTCTGTTCAAATCGAATCTACTCAAATAGAATCTACTCAAATCGAGGACCCCCAGTACATGTATTGATTAAGAGATGGCGATCTGGTGATTTGGTATTCAATCAATTGTTCAAAATTCACCTAAATATCACTCAATGCCTCAGATTCAACTCTGCTTGATCACAGTTCTTGTCAAATTATTTATCAAATCTCTAATCTCATTTTAATTTTGTTTTCAGTCAATTTGTTCCTCTTCCAAAGATAACAAAAGATAAATACAAAGTGACAATAATCAGATTTCCAAAATGTGATGCCAATTTATACGATAGTGTCCAAGTCATTAAAGCAGCATTAATGATGTTTGATGCAAGTTATACTATTTATGACTACAAAGATGATGGATTTGTTGAAGGCGAAATATTTATTTTGGATGTTGAAGGCTATTCATTTAAGCAATTCCTTGATCTCGCAAAAAATGTTAAGACACTTTTGTTTTATACGAGTTTTTTGCAAGATACAGCACCTGTAGTGTTGATAAGCAACCATATTTGTAATACATCAAGTGTATTTGATGGCATTATGGGAATGGTCAGGCCAATTCTATCTAAACAAGTTAACGACTTAGTACACTTTAATCGATATGGTTCTGGAATTCTTGAGCACATTGAAAGAGAAGTTTTACCCGAAGATTACGGTGGTGACGAAAAATGCATCAATGACTTATATGAAGACTGGCTCAAAGTATTCAAAACAAAAAGGTATAAATTGTGTATTTTATTTCCGGTAAGATTCTTAATTTCTTAATTATATTTTCACAGAGATTATTTATTAAATGACAGCAGTTGGAAATTAACAGAGAATATGTAGGAAGCATAAAAACTTAAACTTCAATTCTTAGAAATGAAAGGAATATTAATAATATTTGGTCAAATGAAGATAAACAAAGTTATTTGAGTTAGAACTATATTGTTAAAAAATGAATATTACTTACGAATAATTTGAAATAAAAAGTATTACATTAAAGTAATTTTTAAATGAAAAAAATTGACAAGGCAACAGCTTATTTTGATTCTATTCTGTTTTATAAAAGCAGTTTCTTTAAAAAATATTTTTGTTTTTGACTGAAACTAGGACAAAGTTTCAAATCTGTTACGATAAATAAGAGTGCAGTGAACTTTTTAATCTTAAGAATACTACACAAGTTTCGAAAATGAATGAAGATTTTATGTTAAAACCAGTTAAAACTATTGATGCCGTTAACCTTTCCGCATGCAAATCGGAGTGATAATTTTGTCACTAATGTGCAATTTTTTGTTTTTTTTTTCCAGTGGTCAAAATCGATTTTGCATAAAGAGTTCTTTACAGTTCAACGAAACTATTCATTGGATGAACTTCTTTGTATTGTTTAAAAAATGGTTTCAATTTTTAGAAACATAATAATATTTATTGCTACCGCTCAACTGTGCTATTCTCGTCATCATCATCATCAAGAAAAGCGATCTCTAATTTTCCCAAGAGGAAATCCCACACGTCATCAGGTAGTAAAAATAAAAAAGTAATTTTGTATGTTAAACACATTTATGAATCATGAATATTCCAATAAGTTTATTGCAGGAATTGGAACTCCAATTGACATATCGCCAGAATCGATGACAGTTGGATATGTTCTTAAAGCTCAGTATTTTCTTCCATACAATGAATCACATTTATATCCTACAAGATTTGAGAAAAGAGACATAGTTGATGATCATCGTCGTTTTATGACGTATGATACTACAAAATCAGGAATAGATGAATATTCAGACGAAAATGAATCTCTTAATGACAATGCAAGGTGGTCAATTTATCAAATTTTAAGTCTACAACTTCAGAAATCTTTCAAAGTTGATGGAATGAAGTGTATTCAAAAGTATATTTGCGAAGCTACTCAATCTTCATTCTCTTATAAAAGTGGTTTATTGGGCGAAATTCTTCATATTTTGCTAGTGTATGTGTTATCTTAATTTCTTTATTGTTTCAACAATAAAACTTATTCACAAATTTCAGACCATCAACTACAACATTGGAGAGAAATGATTATACATACGCTGAGGATATTGGAAGAAAAAATATAAATTGTCAAAGAGCTTTTGCAACATGCGAGTTGCCATTACTAAATTATTTCTCATCTCTTCTTTAATTGCTCTTATTTGCAAACATTTCATTTCATAAATGTGAAACAAAGGAAGCTTGTTTGTTTATAGAATATAGTTTTAATCAATAGATTGAATGAATCGCTTTCAAATTAAAGTTTATTGACTTATTTTAAAGAATTCAATGTTCTTTTCTTATGACATTTTTAGAATCAATTAAGGCTTGTTCGAGCTTTTGAATTACATGATTGAGAACTGAAGGGGAGGAATGTATAAAGATTTTTTTGTGATTTACAGCGTTTTGTTTACTTTTGCAGACTTCAATCGTAACTTTAGGTTCAAAATTGCTAATCTGATTAACAGCTCTCGAAGCAATCTTTGTGTTTAGTCTCCATTTTAGGTCAATAAATCTATCTCCAATTCCGGAAAACATATCTCGGTTTTCAGATATATAATTTGTAATTAATTTGATTTGTTTATCATAATTTTGATTTCTATAAGTTTGGCTTAGGTACGACACAAATAATTCCTCAGATTTAGATTTATGCAGTTCAATCAAGATTTTTACAAAGATTTCATATTGTTTTTGTTTATCTCCTGGTTCCATATAGTAGTTCTGTACATTTTTCAGGAACAACTCTAAAGCTATAAGAATATAGTAATTATATATTTTGATTTAATGTTAATATAAATTTATTTTACTTTCTGGAGTCATCTTCAGAATGTCTTCAAGGTTGTTTCTATCTTCTTGACTCAAATCCATTTTTGCGATACTATTTTTATGTTATTGTCAAAACAATTTTTCGAACATCGAATGTTTTTAACCAATTGCTAATGAGTTTTTGTTTTGAAAACCAATACTTCAATTTTGTCTGACTTTCAGAATTGAAAAAAAAATGTTTAAATTAAAATTCATAAAATAAAATCTTTAACATTTCAAGATTAAACCAGATTAAAATAATAAAAATAAAATCAAAAAGTTGCCAAAAGATTTAAAAATATTACTTAAAGATTTTAAATACGAAACCTCAAACACATATAACGGATGGCATTTTTTAAAATTGGCATAAGTTTCGGATGTTTTGTCGCATGAATTTCGGAGAATTGAGTTGTCTACAAAGAACCTTTTCAATAAACTTTAATAAAACCGTAAATGTAATCATTTAGAAAGTAATTAAAATAATTCAGTGCTTAAATAATATTCCATAATGTTAAAGGTAAGTTAAAAAATCAAGTAGAGAAGCTAGAAAACTTGAAATATTAATAAAAAATTAAGAATATAGCTTTTTCTAAAAATTGTTTTACTGTTTCGTGGCTTTCAAAAAACGAATAATTTCCCTTTTTAATTCACAGATTAGAGGTCAGTTACATTTTGAAGAGAAATGGCCATCTATGGAACCAGTTGTACTGAAACTTTTAGTCCAAGATCATATTGATAACAAGTGAGTTGGATGTAAGGAATTCAAAATAAGAGTCCATAAGTAACTATTTATATTTTTTAGCGAATGGCAAGATCTGTTTTATATGGTTCATTCTGTGTGCTTATGGGATGAAAAGGGAGCACATAAGATTCGTGATAGTTTAGAAGACTTGATAATTAAATTTATAAAACAAGCTCAGAAAAGAGTTTTAGTGGCTGGTGAAGAGCAAGCACTTCTTAAAGCATACATAATTGAATGGAGAAAGTTCTTTACTCAAAGTTCATATTTACCTCTTCCATTTCGACAGTTGGAAACATCTCTTCAAGTATGTTTAATTTATATTCTAATAAAATTTATGAGTTTCACAAAAAAATTATTTAAATTTATAGACAAAATCATCGTCATCGTCCAGTCATATAAATAATAATACGTCAAAAAAATCTTCCAGTTCTGATGATACTGTAGTAAGGAAATTAATGTTAGACAGTTGGAATCAAAGTATTTTTATGAATGTTAAAGATCGTCTTCAAGATTCAGCTATGAAATTAATTCAAGCCGAAAGAAACGGAGAGGCGTTTGATTCTCAACTAGTTATTGGTGTTCGTGAAAGTTATGTGAATTTATGTTCAAACTCAGAGGACAAATTAGAAATTTATCGGGAAAATTTTGAAGCAGCTTATCTCCAAGCCACCGCAGACTTTTACAGATTGAAAGGCAATGAACAGTTACAAGAAAATGGTGTTCAAAGTTTTATGAAATATGCTGATGCAAAATTAAGGGAGGAAGAAGCTCGTGCAGCAAGATATCTTGAACCTGTTAGTGCAACTGGATTGAGTGAATGTTGTGTTCGTGTTCTCATCGGAGATCATCTTCCTACATTGATTGCTGAATGCCGACCCTTGATAGAAGCTGGCGAAACAGAAAGACTTAATTTAATGTTTCGACTTTTAGATCGTGTAAGTGGTGGAGTTGATCCTATGCTCAATGATCTTGAGAATCATATAGTTTCAGCTGGTCTTTCTGATATGGTAGCTTCAGCAGATGTCATAACGCAGGATAGTGAAAAATATGTAGAAAGACTTTTAGATTTATTTAGAAGATTCAGTAAGCTCGTTCTGGATGCTTTCAATGATGATCCAAGGTTTTTAACAGCTCGTGACAAAGCCTTCAAAACTGTTGTGAATGATACAACAGTTTTTAAACTCGAATTACCTACTAATACTACAGCCAGAGGAACAAAAATCACGACTCCTGAGAGTAAATGTCCCGAATTGTTGGCTAATTATTGCGACATGCTTCTTCGAAGGACTCCATTAAGTAAGAGATTGACTAGTGATCAAATAGAAGTACGTTTAAGGGATGTACTCTTAGTATTGAAATATGTCTGCAATAAGGATGTATTTATGAGATATCACAAAGCACATCTTACAAGGCGTTTAATACTTGACTCGAGTGCCGATTCTGAAAAGGAAGAGGATATGGTAGAGTGGTTGCGTGAAATCGGCATGCCTGCAGATTATGTTAACAAACTAGCAAGAATGTTTCAAGATATTAAAGTTAGCGAGGATCTAAATGCTCAGTTTAGATCTCAAACTACGAGACACGATGCAATCAATATTAAAATTTTAAATGCTGGTGCTTGGGCTGCTCGTTCAACAGAACGTGTTTCAGTAAGTTTGCCGTTAGAGTTGGAAGACTTTATTCCTGAAATTGAAGAGTTTTATAAAACGAAGCATTCTGGAAGGAAGTTACAATGGTATCATCACATGAGCAATGGAACAATTACTTTTGCAAACAATGTAGGACGCTTTGATCTGGACGGTAAGTTTACTAAGTCTTCAAACATTCTCAAAATGTTATAATTGCTGTTCTTATTGTTCTAGTGACGACATTTCAAATGGCTGTTCTTTTTGCATGGAATCAGCGACCGAATGATAGGATTTCCTATGAAAATTTACGACTTGCTACGGAACTTCCAGATCCAGAATTAAGAAGAACTTTGTGGTCTTTGGTAGCCTTTCCAAAACTCAAAAGGCAACTCCTTCTGTTTGATCCGATCGTTCAAGTGCCAAAAGATTTTGATGAAAATACAGTTTTTTGGATTAATCAAGAATTTTCGCTCGTCAAAAATGGAAAGCCTCAAAAACGAGGCAAAATTAATTTAATTGGAAGACTTCAATTGAGTACAGAGCGATCACAGCAAGAAGACAATCAGTCGATTGTACAATTGAGGATTCTCAGAACACAAGAAGCAATCATAAAGATAATGAAAATGCGAAAACGAATGACAAATGCTGCTTTACAGGTAGGATTGAAATTTTTAACGTATTTTTGAAACTAGTTTCTAAAAGGTAGCTTAATAATACACTTTGTTCGGCTGCTTGGGGCCAGAAAAACTTTTTAACCAGACATTGTAGAGAGCTCGGATTTGCTTTATTAGCTCAGTGCTATCGAGTTATTGGCCCGCCGAACAGTTAAAAGACTCAAAACAGTGTATTTATACTTTAATTAATGATTTTTTAATTTCAAATGAAAAACACGTGATGGGTGCGTTTAGAAATTTGAATATTTTTCTCCTGTTGTAAAAATTGTAATCGGGGTGCGTTCAGAAATTACACTAAAATTAATGATCTTCTAATCTTCTGATGATCTGTAAGTGAACGCAAAATAATTAGATAATCAAATACTGATCACTAACACAAAAATGCGCTCAAGTCCCTTGATGAATAACACGAGTACTTCTGTTATTTTTTATCAAACATTCGCAACTTAATACTTAAATAATTTATTCGTCTTTTAGGCTGAACTGATTGAGATATTGAAAAATATGTTTTTGCCATCAAAGAAAATGATAAAGGAACAACTGGAATGGTTGATAGAACAAAAGTATTTAGCTCGTGATGACAGTGATATTAATGTTTTTACTTATATGGCTTAAACATTGCAAGGCATGCGGTTCCCTCATTTATTTTGTTTAATATGGAAATTATTTTTCAAATTACCAATTTTGGTAATTTGAATTGAGACATTTTTTAAGTAAATTCTGACGATTTTTAATTTTATTTTAATAAAAAATGGTTTATGCTATCTTCATTGATCACATGTACAAGTTACTTTTTTCTTGAATTGCTTGAATCTTTACATTCTCATCATACTTCAATCCAATGCGCTTAAGATGTGTCAGGATTTTTTCAACCGTTATCTTATCAAAAATATCAATGTAAATTATGTAGCATGAAAATGCCTGACTGTTCATCAATCTCTTTGAACTGACTGCTCCACCTACTCCAGTAACGAAATTAGGGGGTTTTAAATGCTCCACATCATCTAATTTAGAATTAATTCCTCTAATAATGCAACCATCGGGAATTCTATCAGCTTTAAAATCAGATGTCCTTTGGAGGGATATAATAGTTGCTGTATTTGCTTTATTAATGAATGTATTAAGTAGATCAGAAATGGATGCAACATAATTTAGATCTTGCTCTTCGGCTACACAAAGTAAAGTCGCTTCATCAACTTCATAGATCTCTACTTTTCTTACTTTACAGATTAACTTTGGAGTACCATTTAAAACTGTATCTTTAAGGAGCTTTTTAGCATTTACTCCTTCGACAACAACAAAATGATCAATACTTTTTTCATGATTCCACTGATGTTCATCAATGCTCCAAACTATTTCGGGTCTGAAATGCAGCAATATGCAAACAATGTATGTTATAGTTATAGTAAGAGCAGCAAATAGCTAATTTAATTCCATTTATTTGGGCATGACTTTGCATTTTTATATGGCTATTCCATTTTGATAAGGTACTTACTGATTGAACTGGATGTTCTCATCATATTCATCAAAGAAAGCTCTTGACACTGGATTAACGATTATTTCACCAAAATTAAGATCCATTTTCTCTAAACCGCAACTTACACTTTTTTCAAAATATTGATTTTAATTATTTCAAGTCTGACTTTTTAGCAATTTTCCCTGATTAATACAGCTTCTGATGAAGTATATTCACAAGACTAGGAATGTTTAAGATCTTAAAAAATGCGAATTTTAATTAAATTTTGATTCTGTTTTGAAAATTTTTATAGCTCGTTTGCACACAGGGGACGTCGACTGAAAATGTAGCACGAATTTCTTAAAGGTTGACGAATCAGGGGCATGAAAGTGATATTTCATTTCTAATTTAATTTTATGTTGATAAATCTGCATTTAATTAAGTAAATCAAGTTAAAAATGGAACAAGCAGCAACGAGTAGTAATTCATCAAGTTTCGAGGATCTAACGAAAGATAATGAAGTTGAAAATATGCAAAAAGACGAGACTTTCATGGACATTTTGGGAAATGGTCAGCTCACAAAAAAAGTAAGTGGTTGTGCATTACTTTAATTCAATTAATCAGCTTGTTTTGCATCAAATAAAGTGATACAGTCCTCATTTATTGATGCTTGTCACACATTCAATTTTGGGACCCAGTTTTAAAGTAACTTACACTAATTTACTGGATCTCTTTGTCTGCATTCCAGGTACTCATTAAAGGAAAACCTGACACACGTCCAGAACGACTTTGGATCTGTGTTATAAATTTGAAAGAAGAGCTAGAAAATACTGGTGAATTAATTGAAGAGTACAATGACTTTATTTTCCAATTGTCAGATCAAGAAGTTGTTCAAGGTAAATACCTTTACACTGTACTATGGGTCCTCGATTTGAGTAACGAAAATTAATGAATAGAAAATTTATTTTTGTAACGGACATTTTTCGGCTAAAGTGTTCTTTAGTGGCGACTTTTTAAAATGCATTTTAAACGTTTTTATATTGTTTCTAATGTTTCTTGAAACCATTAATTGTTTAATTGATTTTCGAGGAAAATCCTTGTACCCACCTGAAAATTGATTTTCGGAGAAAATCCTTGTACCCGTTTTTGAAAGCTTTTATCGAGCTTTCATAGAGCTTTTGACCCCCCAAAAGAGCTTTTATGTTGTGGTCCCCACCCGAGAACCCCCCAGGTTCCCACGAGCCCCGCCAGTTTTTCCCAGTACTCAAATCGAGGACCCTCAGTAGATTAAATTCAAGATCAATTACTAACGGTTTCCTCTAGGTCTTGACATGGCAATTGCGTTAATGGATATTGGTGAAAAGGCTGTAATTAGATGTGAATCGAGGTTTGCATATGGATCAATTGGATTAGCATCCAAAAACATACCTCCAGAAGCGACAATCCTTTATACTGTAGAGCTGTTATCAGCACATTTAGAAACTGATTTAGAAAAGAAATCGTATGAATCGCGAAAGGAAATTGGAAATAAGAAGCGTGAACGAGGAAATTATTTCTTTGAAAGACAGGAATTTAATGCAGCAATACAGTTGTACAGAAGAGCACTTGAGTATTTAGATGAAAGTGAAGGCGGTATAAAATATCCAACTGGTGAAGAAGAAGAGCCAACAAATGCACAGCTTCAAAATTTATTAGAAGATCGTATCAAAACTTATAACAATTTAGCACAGGCTCAAATGAAGATTAAAGCATACGAAACAGCTTTAAAATCCATTGATACTGTCCTTCAATGTCAACCGAATAATGTCAAGGCACTTTATCGTAAAGGTAAAATTCTTGAAGCCAAATCTGATGTGACTCAGGCTATTAATTTTCTAAGAAAAGCAGCTACTCTTGATCCAGACAATAAGACAGTCCAAAATGAATTGTCAAAGTTGATTCTAAAATCAAAACGTGAGGCACGTAATGAAAAAGACTTGTATCAAAAAATGCTCGGACAAGCTCAGAAGCTTGAGACAAAAGCCCAACAAAAGAAATCGACAAATTCAACCAATCCAAGTTCACCTAATCGTTTAAAGCTATGGTCCTATACATTAGGATCAATCCTAGTTAGTGTCGCAGCTATTGCAATTTACAGATATAAATATGGAGCATAAATTAATATGGATATTTTACAAGCATTCTTTAAATGGTTTGGGGCGCATTTAATAATTTAATATTTAGTCACACACACATCATTGGGAATGAACGAATATTTTTGTTATCATTTTTTTTAGAAGTAAAGTAATAAAATTTCAAATATAAAGGTAGTTAATGAAAATTGTGTCTTTATTCTTAAAATATGCATCATATAATATAATAAATGCTAAAGAGTCCTTATGTTAATTCAATATTCCAAGCACCATTTGTAAGGAAGAATAATTTAAACAAATAAGTACCATTCTTAATTGCCATAGAATTTCGTTTCAAGTCATAATTAGGCTGGTTTTGCGATATGACATCCAAAAACGTTAATTTCAATTTAATTTAATAAATAAATAATTTATCCGTATGTCCCTTTAATGGGTCGTTCACTTATGACGTCCGAAATAAACGGTCATTTTTCAAAAATGAACAATGGATTTCCAGGAATTTCAATTGTTCTTTTCTTGCTGACCCCCCCCCCCCCCCCCCCATGGACGTCATAAGTGAACGACCCCATATTAATACTTTTCGTATTCTTCAAGTATGTAATTCTGTTATTTTTTAGCGCATTTTTGAAACTTGTTTCGAAAAGGTAGCTTAACAATTCACTTTGTTTGTTCGTTCGTTCGTTCGTCTCCAGAAAAACTTCTTAACCAGACATCGTAGAGAGCTAGAGTTTGTTTTATTAGCTCCGTTACTATCGATTTATCGGCCCATCGAATGGTTAAAATACTTGAAACCATCTATTTATGCTATAATTAATGATTTTTTTATTTCATAAACAAAACCACGTGATGAGTACGTTTAAAAATTTGATTTTTTTTCTACCACTTTGAAAAAATTTCAGGGAATGTTCAGAAATTACAAATTTATTTCTACCGTTAAAATATTTGAATCTCAAAAAAACCGTTTAATGAATAGTTCTTTTGAATTCAAAAAATGGTTAAAAGACAAATCCTGTTGAATTCAAGTTTCTTTTAAATAAAATAAAAATGGCGGGATAATTTCAAATGCATAAAACCGTTATGAAATTTGAATTTTAAAACCCGTTAAAGCACAAAAAATTTTGGTATATCTAATGTGTAATATTTATTGAAATACAACGAATATGCTTTGATATAGTCAAAATTTTAGAGCTGTTTGCTTATTGATTCGCATTTTGATGATTATCAAATACTGATCGCTGCGTCAAAAATGCGATGAAGTCCCTCGATAAAAAACACGAGGACTTTTGTAATTTTTTTTCTTTTTAAATTATTCATTAATGGTATGTGGTCAATAACTGAGTATTACTTTTTGTATGTATGTTATGTTGAGTTAAAAATGCTAGTGCAATATGTTTCTTTTTGTGTGATTGATTCTTTTTTCAAACAATTAATTTTAAATTTATCGAACAACATTTAACGGAAAAGTAGAGTTTTTAGTAACAACAATTAGCGATAATCTGTCGCTTACATCTTTACTTAATTCAAACCACGAGCACTTGCCAATAAATGAGATTTCTTCAAGAGTTGGTTTAAATACGACCAATAATGTTAAGCAAATACCGTCAGTAGCATTAGACGTTGATGATGATGGGCTATGTTCGATGGATAGGAGCCCAACTGGTCGATGCTGTGGAACTTCTGATCCAAATAATTCAACCATAAACTTCCTTAATGTTGAATGAAGACTCTTTCCTGGATGAATTTCAACAGTCGGAAAATGAAATGCTGTTTTTTCGCTGATCAAAATGTTAACTCGATGTGGAGCTGCTCGTTTACGGACTGCAATAACGATTCTTAAATAATTTTTATAATGTGCTTTTAAGGCAGGCAATATGTTTCTATGCCATTTTGAATCTTTAGGTCGATTATAATAATTTCTTCCAATATCAATTATGTTCAGGATGTCATTGCTTCTTAAAATAACTTCATCTAAATTTTTAAGCCACTTTGCTTGTAGACTTTCCTTATCGGCACGAGACGGTGTCTTTAATTCACCATTTAATACTTCACCAGTTACGACAAATCGGAACCACGAACCACTTGCTGATTCTACTGCTAATAATGTTGTTACTCTGATATTGAGACCTGTCTCTTCATATACTTCCCTTTGTGCTGCTTCCACTATTTTCTCACCAGGTTCAATTCGACCAGCTGGTAGGTACCATTTTCCAGCACATGATTTCTTTGCTTCTTGCATCATTAAAATCTCATTATTTTCATTGAATATTACACATGCAACTATGTAGGACACTGTTTTGCCTAGCACAGGCTGAAAGTCAGAACTTGCTGTTGTCTTAATACCTTGACTTTCAGCAAATGAATTTTGCTGCTCTAATGTAAAGTCACACAATTCTGATGTCATTTCATCAACAGCTTGTCCGCCATCCAATAATTTCAATAAAGTTGATTCCATTGTATGAAAATTTTTGTATTCGTGGAATTTTGTTTACCTAATTAAATACTTTTCATATGCCTGATTTATTTTGAATTTTTGGGCAACAACTTAAACTGCACTTTTTGAAACAAGTTTAAAATTTTGAAAATGTTTTAAATGTGGCACTTTAATTGATTTGTTGCTCCTTTAATTTCAACAACAGAAATCAGATTTATTTTAAAGAAAATAAAAATAGTTCTTATTTGTTATGTTCGAGCATCTTCTTTGAATGTGGATAGTTTTTAACTTTACTTTGTCTGGCTGAATGCTAGATTTCAAAAAATAGTTTTAAAAAAAAATTGTTCAATTTGAATTAAAATTCTAGATTCTCAAATTTTAAAAAACCTTGTTGATTCTGGATGATTGAATTTTGATTGCGCTTATAATATTACAAACCTTAAATATGAAATTTCTTTACCTTTATTGAGAGAAATAATCGGAATGCGAGAGAAAACTGTAATTCTCTTTCCTTCCATCTCTTTCTCTGAATTCTTTTGAAGAGGTGAAAGAACATATTTAACAATGAAAACAACTCAAATTGATTTTGATATTTTTTGTTAAACTTTTATTTTGGTTTGTCAACATTTCTTTTGACTAGAAAAATCTTTATTTTTGGTGTCAAAACCTTGTCATCTTATTTGGTGAAAGCAAATTTGGATTTATAATTTCATTAAAATTTAAATTGTATTCCATACTTCTACGTCCACAACGAAGAGGTAACGTCGGAACCTCACTAGGTGACATGTATGATTCATTGGGCAAATTCGTTTGATCACTTTCTTCTCCAATTGATCTGGATCGCATTGTTGGATTTACACATTCGTATATACTCTAAATATAAAGAAGTAAAGTTAGATTATAATAAGGAAAGGAACAGTAATTTACATACCGGCTCAGAAATAAAGTGATTTGCTTGGGCAAATGCCAGCGATGTTAATGAAGGCAAAGCTTGTGTAAAATCAGAACGAGCTATTGATTTTACAATAAGAAAGCATCGAGGAACCATAATAGTAACTAAGATAATCCATGCTGTCGATTGAACTCCCAGCGAAATCATTATTTCTCGAAAGTTATGGTCAATCATGCTCAATGGTATCCATATAAACCAGCATAGAATGCACAAGATTGTTGTAATAACTATTAGAATCCCTTCATGATAGTTTCGTTGTGATTTAAAAATGAATGGTGCAAGACTAAGCAGTAATATCAATATAAACCCATCATATCCAATTACAGCCCAAAACCAATTCCCATTGTAAATGTTTATGCAAGTGACATTTTTGCTATTTGCATGCATGACTATAAGTAGCTGTACTGACAGACCGAGCTGCACGATAAAGCTAAAGAAGCATAAAATGCTTTGAATGTAGCCATTTACATGAGATAAGAATCCCCCTTCACTTCCGATCGATGCCAACATGATGGCACGTGATAAAAGTAACGAAAATGTAAGACAGTAGCTTACAGATACAAGGAATAATTTGATGATGCACATAGAGTTCATAACATTATCATTTTCTACTAAATCGCCACTTTCATATTCAATAGTAAAAGGAAAGAAGGAAGTAAATTGAGCAATTAAAGCAATCAACATTACAACTGATCCGATTGGATTTCCCTCCAGCACATCATCCATACAGATTCTTATTATTATGAATGTCAATATAGCCATACTAAGTAAAATGCCTAATGTAGACATCGTAAGACCAATTGCAACCCAAAGCTCAGTTTTCAGTTCCCAATATAATTGTTGCATATCTCCATCAATATTTATATCCGAATCAAATGTTTCTGGTGTGAATACTTCATTGGGATTAAATGAATTTAAATGATGACTTTCGTTTTCACTTTCATTTGAAAGACTAGAATTGAATGCTTTTGACGTGTTGAAACATTTGAACAAAGAGCCCAGTGGTATCCTTCCATTTTGATCTTGTATGAAGACTGTTGTTAAATTGGTAATATAATTTGATATTACCAACTCATTTGATCCATTTGATGATCTTTGATATAAAATATAATTCATTTGAGCTTTAAGCGTATTCAGCTTTAATATGTTGAGTACGTTTTCTGGATTTTCATGTGATATGTTACCAAAGACTTCTAAATCATTGTAGATTTCATACTTTTTAAGACTAGATTTGTCGACTGTTGTAGAGGCATTGTTAAACTTTGATAAGGCTTTGTTTATAGTTTTTATTATTTCTAAAAATGTTGTACCAATTGATATGAATGTTGAAGGATATGTTTGTTCTAAATCATTTATTTGTACTTCTTGTTCTTGTACAAAATATACTTTAACAGGAATTTCTAGTAAAATATTTAAAAATTTATTATTAATGCAAAAGAAAAGTTTCATTTAATTTATAAATTACCAGATATACGAATATTTGTATTTTCTGGTGCCAACGGAATCATTACATGACTTTGATTTGCAAGAATACGCACAGATTTGAAATAATCTTCATCACCAACATGAATGAAAATATTGTCATTGGACGGAAAGCTTTTAAAACAGAGATTTTCTAGCTTCAATATCATTTCAAACTCTTTTGTTCTTTTGATAGAGTTTGATTTTACTTCTACTGAGACAGCATTTCTTTCAATATTCAATGGTAATTCATTAAGAAGATGAGCAACTTTATGCATTTTAATGGATGCAATATCAGGAAGAGGCCACATTTTAAGTTCATAGTTTTTGTCACTTTCTGAAATATGGTGCCAAAGTGGTTGCGATATGAAGATTCCTAAAAATAAACGTTAATATTAATATTTATAAGAACCTAGATTTATTTGGTTCTTAAACAATGCAGCTAGTCAATATTCCATAGAAACTGTTACAAAGACTTATTATTTCAATTCAAATAAAATTAAATATTTTCTCAATTAATGCTATTTTGAATTTTAAAAAGTTTAAAAACTTTAATTAAAAAGCAAAAAATTTGTTAAATTTTTTGAATATTTCAAAACCATAAAAAAGATTCTAAAATCATTTTTTTAAATTTTATGAAATTTCAAAATTAAAATTTTAAAACAATTTTTTTAATAATTTCCTTTCAGTGCAGTCATTTATGCACATTTTCATTTATTTTTTAGAACTCTTTATGCGGAAGAGAGTAAAATCGATAAAAGGATAGCAACTATAGTGTAAGGTTTGTTGATCATTTTTTATGTAATGGTAACTATGGGGTAAGCCAACGCATTCAAAAGGATATGAAAATGTAACATTGAAATTTTTAATGAATTTTTGTTTTTCACTTCCTTTTAAATTAAGGTTGTTTTAAGATTGAAATGAATTGTCATCCTTACCAAATGGATTATCAGTACAGTGCTCTAAATAGTCAAGTTCATCTTCAAGAATCTCCGAAAAATTCACAGGCTTGATAATGTTTATTATTCGCACACCTATTCATAATATTTAAAGATAAATGTTACAATTACTTTTAAGATATATGTCCCAAAAACCATTAGCTTACCAATTGAAGTATTATGAGCCAATAAATTTAATTCATTTATTCGTTTAGCAATGAATTGGACTGTATTTGTTGCATTGTCGCATTCTTGTAAAATAAAAGAAACAAAAATATTTCCAAAATGTGTTTCAACATTATAATGCTCATGATTTGTAGATTCAAAGCAATTAATATCAAATGATGTTGTTGCACTATTATAATCAAATTCTGTTGTATTTACAAGATGCAGCTGAGTAACTGTTTGACTATAATAAGGATTCGTTGCATAGTTTGTTGTTGATATTGATTCTAAATTAGTTTGATTGGATTCAGTAACATTTGCCAATCCTTCGTAATTCTCGATTCCATAGATTTGTAAGAATGTATTTATAAAACCTAATAGATAAATTTACTTTTATTCCTTTCATTAAAATATATTAAAAATTCATACAAATAGCTACCTATCATGTACAATAGTTTTAAGCTCATTTTTTCCACTTTACAGTTTTTATCGTAATATTTTTTTTCTTTTTACTTTTACTCTACACTTTGTTTTTTCCTATACATGCATGATCAAAGCTAGCAGTACATACTCATAACTTAAATTTCAATAATAAATCATTGATTAAGAAAATTTAAATTTCCTTTTTTTTTCACTTTTTTAACATTTTATGTTTTTTTGTAGTTTGATGATTCTTTAAATATATTCGAACTTAAATTAGTCATGATTATTATTTCTGCTTCTTGTTTTAGCAATTGTCAATAATAAGCAAAAGTTTTAAACTAGTCATTTACTTTTCTTATTTTATCTTTCACTTCTTTTCCCATAAAATTACATTTAATGTCGATCCTTGACGTATCCAATTTAATACACAAGAACGAAGAAAATTAGAATCATTAAAAAATCAATAATTATACCACAACTAGCTTGGCGGTAAACGTGCTTCAAGCACGACGTTTGAAACAGAAATGAGCATAAGTTTGAGCCAAATAGTATTTTTTGTTGTTATTCTCTATTAAAATACTATAAAGCAAACAAAAAAAATCTATACATAAATTCACGGTTCGATGGTTTGTTTTTACTTCTTATATTTTATTTTTGCTTAACAAAACTATGCTAGTTACCCCACAAAAGGCAATGCATATATGCATATAAAAATAAATTATAGAGTAAATTATCTGTTAAAACTGTGCACAACTCATGCGTTTGATAATGGTTTATTGGTCTTAAATAGTTAAAATTACTGTAAAAATTGCTTCAAAATAAAACAATAACTAGGAAAACCTTAGTTAAATTCAGTTGCGTAGCTGGGAAAAAATTCAAATGTTGAGATTATTAATAATCTTAATTTCTTACTTCCGGATCCCATTGAACCTCCCTGGCTACACTAAACTCAATGACTTGAGTTTTTGATGAATTAAGTCCAAATTTATGACATTCATCTGCAATGCAAATATCAAACTATAAAGAAAACAAATCAATGATCTTAAAACAGAAGCAGCATGGACGATCAGATTTTTTTGGTGCAATGATATGTACATACTTCAAAAATGTGGTGAAAAAATTCGTCACTCACGAATGGCGCATGTTCACTTTTTCCATCTCTCTCGTACTGTTTTTGTTAAGTAGGAAGCTCTCCGATTCATTGAAAAAAAAATTTTCCTATTCCATATCAAGTTGTTCATTAGACAGTATCTGAAGTTATTTTATTTTAATCATCATTTAAGGCCAGCAAACTATATTTATTTTAATATTATAAGCATTCTAAATGGTCATACAATCAGTAAAATAACCCAATTTTGATAATATTATATGGATAAGAAGTTAAACAAGTCAAGAAAATACTTTTTTTTATTACCATCGAAAGTGATTACATTTTTACATCGAAAAGAAAATGGATATCTGAAACTTTTTTTTTGGTCCTGTAGATAATATTAATCATATATTAAAGTCGTAGTGAAATCAAAGAAAAGTTATATGAAAATTAAAGCTTTTAAATGATTTGATGAATTGCTTTAAAATCAGTTCCTGTCAAGAAAAAAATTCATGAAGAAGTTCCAGTGAAAAAAAAAGTTGCGGAGAAAAAATGAGAAAAAAATTCATGCGATAGAGAACAAGGAAGGAAAAACTCTGCAGTTCTTATTCTCTTCTAAAAAGGCATTAAAGAGAGAATATAAAAAAAGAATTAAAATAAAACAATAATTTTATATAAAAGTATGAATGAACAACTTTGTAGTGGTTAAAAAGGACAAGTGTTTGTAAAGAATATATCGAAATTCAGCATTACTGAATGAATAATAGATGATAATTTTCATCTTTCCATTTGGATTAAGAATGGTTTAATTTTTGGTTTCATTAAATTTAAGATATAATTGCAAAATATATGTATATATTAATAACTTAAAGTCAAAAACAACCTTTGAATGATTACGGGGACATTAATGTCATCGGCGAATTGGATTACGCGCCCAAAAATAAGCAATGAAGGTATGAATGTTGAATCATTTGGATTATTAACTTTTAAATGAATTTAAATTTAAATCTTCTAGAAAATTTGATAAAAGATTTTGAGGTTTTAAATTTTTTCTTTCAACTTTGAACTCTGAATCATTGTGAAGACGGATAGAAAAAAAATTCTAAATCTCAGTTCCTTAAAAACATAAATTTTATTAAGATTGAAACTCATCCTAGTGCCTTAGAGTAGTAAAAATAAAATGTTTTGATCAAATGGAAAATCAATTCTAATAACAATAAGGCGCAAATTGAATGATGCAAGGATCCATTTTTATACTGATTCGTATTTTTTACTTCCACGTATTTGATGCCTCAAGAAGCTTTTTAGCTTCCAAATTAGATTTTTTTGTAATTTATTGAAAAAGTTTGGAAAAAGTTTTATATTTTTAATCATAGTCAAACTAGCTTAAAAGTTTTAAATTGTTCAAAAGGTTTGATTGAATCAATATAGAATTAAGAACATTCAATATTTAAAACTGCATTGATAATTCAATAAACTTCCGATTCCATATTTAAGATTTTCTTTTTTTTGAAAAAAAAGTTTAATTCTGAAATCTTAAGCAATGAATTCATTAAACCGAAAATAGTATCCAACAACAAGCTTTTATTCATAAAAAAAAAGGAAATGAGATTTTTTGTGGCAGTCAGGAAAAGAGAGAGCACAGTATTTACTCTCTTTCTGACGTCATTTATCTACTTTTTATTTTCTTTTGTAAAGTTTTTTAAACAAACAATATTTGGATGATTCTAGATGATGCAGTCGATTCGTCAGTAGTATCACCAGCACATGTATCAAATGACAAGGATGTGAAGGACAATAATAATAATACGTCATCGAACAATGAGGCTAATGGACGCTCAGCAGCTCTCGAGAGAGCATATGTGCATGAAGTTTATGAAAATTGTGAGGAACCGGCTGGAACCATACGACCTAAAGTTGCGCAATTCTTAGCAGGTCTTGATCCAGGCTCTTTTGTATGTGATGTTGGATGTGGAAATGGTCGTTATCTTACAGCTGGTTGCAATACTTCCATTTATTCAATTGGCGTAGATAGATGCTGTCGATTAGCTAAACTTGCTAGTAGTTCTGGTGCTGAGGTATATCCAATTCTTTTGACATATTGCAGCTTTATAACCACGTTCATTCCTTAGGTCGCTGTTTGTGACAATTTAGAACTACCGTTTAAAGACGAAAGCTTTGATGCTGTGTTATCATTGGCTGTCATTCATCATTTTGCCACAACCGAACGTCGAGTAAGTGCAATAAGAGAACTTGCAAGAGTGTTACGAATAGGCGGTCGTATGATAATTACTGTTTGGGCATTAGAACAAAAATCAAGACGATTTGAGTCGCAAGATGTTTTAATACCTTGGCAATCATCAAAATCTAAAAACATAGTCACAACATCAGATGACGAAGATGATGATGAATTTCTTCCTCCTTACCATGCATATACATACACAGAAGATTCAATACATTCAAATTCAAGTCGATCACAAGGTGATGGAGATAGCTCAAGCTTATCTTCATCATCCCCAAGTGATACATGTTATAGCTTTGTAAGGCGTGCACTACAAGTGAGCATTATTAGAATTTGACCTAAATCAGAATTAACTGTCCTTAATTTTTTTTGGATATAGAAGTTGGCTGGTGGAAAAAAAAGTCCATGGTTTTTAGACTCATGGAATTCGAAGGATACAAAAAATGACAGCAGTTTAGATTATGAAGACGCTAAGGATCTTCCAATTGAATTACGTCGTCTAGAAGATTTTGATGACATTCCGGAACCACTTTCATCTGCAGGATTAAAGAGTCGTAGCTTAGGAAGCATCTTGAATCCTCCACCAAAGCAAATAGTTCGCTCGCGATCAAGTGTTCCCAGTTTAGGGGCTGAGGTGAAGCAGCCTCAATTACTTAATGAAACAGCGCAAAATTCAAATGTGAATTCAGTATTATCTACGTCAGTAACTACAAGCCAAGCACCATCCAAACGTCCTAAACTTATAAAACAGAAACAATCGATAACGGATGATTTGGATTTATCGTTTGAAGAAAATGTATCATATAAGCACATAGTACATAGTGATATGAGAACTCAACTCCTTCGAAAGCAAAGTTCTCTGAACGAAGAACTAATGGCTGAAAGTAGAATTCGTGAAAAAGAGAGAATAAGAAAGAAGATACAGAAGCAAATGTCATTAAATGAGACATTTCTCTGTCGCTCAGTGTTTACGAAACGTCTACAAGTGATTCGAGAGGGTTTCACAACGAAAATCAAAACATCCACTGGAAGTTTAGAACGTGTTACAAAGAATGGATTAGTCAAAATCATGCAAAATATTAAAGGTGCTGGTACTTGTAGTTCTGTTCCAACTGATAATCCTTTGGTAAATCGCAATAGCGAGGTTAAGACAAATAAAAACGGACCTATTTCCCGAAAACTGTCAACGAGCAACTCCTGTGAAAAAATAAGTTTAAGTAATAATAGTAAAACTGTTTTTAGTGGAGATGTTGAAAAAATGCGAAGAGAAAGCGGATCGGGTAAGTTTTAGAAATTAATAAATGAGAAACATCCAGTGACATATTTTCGTTCCTTTTAGACTCATCAAAAGACAGTAGTTTACAAAGCGACACTAGTATAGAATCGGAGGATAGCTTTGCATCTGTGATCTACATACCTAAAAAGTCAGAAATTGTATCAAATAATAATAAAATACCTTCAGTGCCAACTTCGCCATTGATAATGCCTTGTCCCACGCCAATTCATTCACCAGCTCCGATAACAAATCAAAGACAATTTTCATCTACAACTGAGGAATTTACCCGTTTTATATTCGAGGGTCCAAAACTACTGGAAAATGTTGATAAGCAGATAACAACAAAGACGGTACAAGATGCAAGCATTAAGAAGCAATCGACAACGTTGCAAGTAACAAATTCTGGAATGAAATCAAAAATAAGCACAATAATTACACCACCTACGCCAACATTAATTTCATTGGATAAAACAGAGAATTCCTCTTTATCCAAAAAGATGGTACCGAAAGTAACTCGTGAATCGATACGTGACTTACCAATAATCCCAAAGTTTAGAAAGCTATCTAGCTTTCCGATTGTAAGACGTATAACTTCATCGAATTCAAACATTGTAGTGCCAAAATTATCATCGCTGGAGTTATTTAATCCCGAAACAGATGATTTAGATAGTGATTCAAGTGATGAACCGTCATCTCCTGATTCTATTGATAGCGTAATAAATGCTTTGCAAACACAAGCAACAAATACTCCAACCGAACCGTTATTGCAAAATATGCAATGTGAAAACAGTTCGTCAGCACAAGAACTCATATCAAATAATACTAATGAATCCAACGAACCCTCATCACCAATAGCACCATTGATTCAAGCTGCAGCTGTTGTAGCAAACAAATTAGAAAATGCAGTTGAAATGGTAATTCGAGAGCAAGAAGCAAGTTCTGGAACAAATGATATAGCATCAAATATCATTATTAACAAAAATGATATTAATCTCAATGTAAAAATAAATAGTCATTATAATAATAGCATCAATATGAAAAATTTTAATAATAATAATAATAATCACCAAAAGACTATCAGTGATGAATCTAGTGATAAGTTAGACAGTTGTAAAGAACATTTGGTAGAATTTGCTGAAAGATTGAGTGCTCAATTATTAAAAGAATTAGATAATGAAACATTAAACAATTATGAGCACAAATATGTTGGTGATATTTATTCGGAAGCTAATGAACCTTTCGATGATCCTTACGTTCGCAAAATTAATGGTGATATTAAAAATTTGAGTTTATTGCGTGATGAACTTCGTGAAAGGCGATTAATGTTGGCAAATTTAAGTCCTCAAAACCGAGATTTAAGTACACAGCAGCAAGATTATGATTATTCTCAGCACTATTCAAACATTACTCCATCAACTATACAAGAATTAGAAGAAGATGATTCACCTCCGTTATCGGCAAAAATTCAAGCAAATTTATCACAAAACTCTAATTTAATCTCAAATCTAGGAAGCTCACCACAAGCAGTAAAGAAACAGCAACAAAAAATTAGTGATTATATATTAGAAGAAAATGAAGAGAATGAAGATGATGCAAGTTCGAGAGCTGACGAAGATTCAAGCTCAAGATCACGGATCAGCTTTAGTTTAAGTTATAATGCATCGAATAACAATTATAGTAACACAAACGATACCGCACTGTTATTACAAGAGGATAGTTTTGAAGAGAATGATAACAGCAGTTCTTTTGGTCTACAACAAATGAAGCAGAACTTGTTAAAAACAATTAAATATCCACCAAAGTTAAATGATAGTAATAACAATAGTAACTCCAATTCATGTGAATCGTGGACTAATAGTAATGCAGCATCACTTGATAGTCCATCGGTTGGTGGTGGTTCAGCAACGCATCATGTTTTTCATCATGTGTTTCGGGAAGGTGAACTCGATTCTCTTATTAATAAGCATGTTAATAATTTACATATTGTATCATCGTATTACGAACGAGCATCTTGGTGCGTTGTATGTGAAAAAGTGCAAGTTTGGACCATATGAAATAAGAATATTTGCAAACGTGTTACTTTTATATCTAACAGTATAAATATTTTTTTGAATTATTATTATTAATAGAAACTTTCGAATTTCTCTATTATTAAAATCAGAAAAAAAATAATATTACAGAGTTTACAAAGCTCTTTATTTATAGATGAAGGAACATTTAGTAAACTCAAAAATTCAGCTTTAACTATTTATAAATATAATCTGTAAATGACGATTAGAAACTTAAACTTAAAAGAATCATCGAATATTTTCCTTATGATTGATTGAAGGCAGTCGGCAATATTTATAAGTTCTCTAAGAAATGTGAACAGTCATCAATGAATATTTAAATTAAAAATTTTAGAATGAGTTCAATATCAACTTACAATAGCTGTTCTAATTGACGTATGCATCGAAACAGAAGTAAACGAAAAACTTATTTTGATCTTAATGTGAAAGATTTTAAATTATTATTGTTTTTCAATAAAGGTTTAAAATTTTCAAGTTATAAAAACATTAACCGAGATTATTCATTCTGTAATCATCAAAATACATCGATAGTTTAAGGCCAAAATAATAGTAAACTACCAAATACTGTTCTCTTTCCCATATAAGCCTTTATGTAAATAATTTACTTTGTTGAATGATCAAAACAAAACGTTACAAATTTAATTTACTGAAAATAAATAAAGAAAAATCAAGAAATTCGATAAATTAAGAAGAATTCAAGATGTAATCCGAATTAGAACAAAATATTAAAGTATATCCATAATAGAATACATTTTTTCTTATCAATTAATAAAAATTCAAAGTGACAATTCACTTACTCTCAAAAAATATACGAACATAAACATTAATAAATTGAAAACTAAAAGAAAATTAAATGTTTGATTGAGTTTTGAATTTTTGAAGGAATTCGGTAGGTCGAAAAGGACCCTAACAGACAAGGGGATTCTCTTGATTAAGAGTACAGTTGAGAATACGCTTTTTTCAACACTCTCTCAAGATCCTAGTAAAGATAAAATTATAAATAACTTGCATGCAAGTTTTTACTTCATAATCTTTTAAATGATCTCAAGACCATGATCAGAAGAGTTTATAAAAAGCATGATCATTCACATCCTCATGAGATTATGCTAAAATTTTGCTTTCTTTAAACTTCACAAGCGCTAGCAGAAATCACTAGTTTAGGTTCTATATATTTCACAAGAGCAAGCAGAAATCACTATTATAAGTAATTATTTTGGATTTTGTATAGTTTAAATTTGCTTTCCGCCATTTGAAAGTTATTTAATTTCATCAAGAGCAAATTATAAGCTCATAATTAATTTTTAATTGGTAAAATAAAAGCATGGTCAGCAGAACATGTTCTTGATAATGTTTTCAAGTTTAACTTGCATGATACTGTTTTCAAGTTTAACTTGCATGATAATGTTTTCAAGTTTAACTTGCATGATAATGTTTTCAAATTTAACTTGCATGATAATGTTTTTAAGTTTAACTTGCATGATAATGTTTTCAAGTTTAACTTACATGATAATGTTTTCAAGTTTAACTTGCATGATAATGTTTTCAAGTTCAACTTGCATGATAATGTTTTCAAGTTTAACTTACATGATACTGTTTTCAAGTTTAACTTACATGATAATGTTTTCAAGTTTAACTTGCATGATAATGTTTTCAAGTTTAACTTGCATGATAATGTTTTCAAGTTTAACTTACATGATAATGTTTTCAAGTTTAACTTGCATGATAATGTTTTCAAGTTTAATTTGCATGATAATGTTTTCAAGTTTAACTTACATGATAATGTTTTCAAGTTTAACTTGCATGATAATGTTTTCAAGTTTAACTTGTATGATAATGTTTTCAAGTTTAACTTACATGATAATGTTTTCAAGTTTAACTTACATGATAATGTTTTCAAGTTTAACTTGCATGATAATGTTTTCAAGTTTAACTTGCATGATAATGTTTTCAAGTTTAACTTACATGATAATGTTTTCAAGTTTAACTTACATGATAATGTTTTCAAGTTTAACTTGCATGATAATGTTTTCAAGTTTAACTTGCATGATAATGTTTTCAAGTTTAACTTACATGATAATGTTTTCAAGTTTAACTTGCATGATAATGTTTTCAAGTTTAATTTGCATGATAATGTTTTCAAGTTTAACTTACATGATAATGTTTTCAAGTTTAACTTGCATGATAATGTTTTCAAGTTTAACTTGTATGATAATGTTTTCAAGTTTAACTTATATGATAATGTTTTCAAGTTTAACTTACATCATAATGTTTTCAAGTTTAACTTGCATGATAATGTTTTCAAGTTTAACTTGCATGATAATGTTTTCAAGTTTAACTTACATGATAATGTTTTCAAGTTTAACTTACATGATAATGTTTTCAAGTTTAACTTGCATGATAATGTTTTCAAGTTTAACTTGTATGATAATGTTTTCAAGTTTAACTTACATGATAATGTTTTCAAGTTTAACTTGCATGATAATGTTTTCAAGTTTAACTTGCATGATAATGTTTTCAAGTTTAACTTGCATGATAATGTTTTCCAGTTTAACTTGCATGATAATGTTTTCAAGTTTAACTTACATGATAATGTTTTCAAGTTTAACTTGCATGATAAATTCATAAGTAAAAAAGCGTCATCAATTTAAAATATTTATTTTTAAAAATCATGCTCAGATCGTGCTCTTTGTCTGTTAGGGGGAATTGCATCCAGCGAAGAATCTTTATTTGAAATAAATATAAGATTTGTTATTTTTTGTTTTATTGAATTTATTTAAATGCATGTAGACAATAGGTACAAAAATCATTTCAAACATAGTGTAGTCAACCTTAAAACTAATATTGAGATACACAAATCATACCTTTTAATTTACAAATAAGGTACAAATAGAATTCAATTGTCTGCTGGATAATTATTAAAAGCAGATGTGGAAGGGACTAAAGCATCAGCATTTACTGGAACTAAAGCATCGTTTGATATCCAATCCATTAGATTATGTTCCGGCATTTTAACGCACTCATATTGATCATTGATTAACGTTTGTGAATATTGTTGATGCTGAATGTAAGCTTCACGCTCTAAATTAATATCTGCAAGCATTTTGTAAAGCTGTCTTTGTATTGAGCTTCCCCATAGTTGAACATTTATATCGGGAATTTTCGATGCTAGTTGTAATGCAGGAACAACCATGTTCATTGCTTCTTTCGAGTTTCCAATACTTAGAAATACTTGACTCAATAAAACTAAGGAACAAGAAGTCAATCGATTCAAATCTTCAGCATTTCCCATTTTTAGAGATTCGCGAAGGAAACGTTTGGCTTCATGGAAGCTTCCTTTATAATATGAATTTAAGCCTTGAACCCAATAATAACTGCCAAGTAAAGCTTGATTCGTAAAGTTTTGAGTATAATCTGATGCTATGTGATTTAAGACATTACGAAGTTTCTCTTCTTGACCAGTTCTCAGAAAAATTATTGCCAGATTCAAGTTGCTGAATAGTTTCAACACACGATTATTTGTTTCTTGAATTGCCGTGCATAACTGTATTTCAGCACGATCATAACAATTAACTGACATTCCATATAACCCCAAAAGACAGTGCAATTGTGATGAATGTGATTTTAGTAAAGATTTATCAGGCAATGATAGACAAATGTCTTTTGCTGATGATATCTCCTTCAATGCTGATGTTCTATTTCCCATTATCAGTCTACATAAAGCAATATGCTCAAGTAAAGTAACTTGAAACATTGCAAGTATTGGTTTATTTTCCTGTGCCTTTAGTTTCTCAATTTGAGTCAATGCTTTTTCTGTATATTTCTGAGTCTTTTCTAAAAATCCTGATATCATTGACTGTGACACAGTTAGGACATAAACATATACAAACAATTGCTCTTTTGTGAGCCATAAGAAACATTCAGTAGGATGTTGACCAAAAATCTGTTCATCTGATGGCCAATTCGTATTGATTATTGTCTGAATAATACGCTGTAGCTGCTTCAGTATTTCCTTAACAGACTTAACATGCCCTAATTGAAGTGAATTTGATACTTGTAAAATTAGTTGAAATACTCTGGAATATTCTTTTAAATGTGGATTTTGAATAGTCTCTAAACATGATGCAGCTTGATTAAGGATTCCATTAACATCACTAGACTTCCTCTCTATTATGAGAATCATTGCGCGATTCAATAAAAATTGTGTCTTTAAATATGGAGCGTTATTCTCTTCAGCACAGTCAGCACCAATCGAGAGAAATTCAGACGCTAAACTATATTCTTTATCATTGGCATGGATTCTCTGAAATGTTGAATAAAATAGTTACACAATTATAGCTAGTAAAGAGGTGATCACACGTGATCGACCGAAGCGCAATTTGCTCGCACAAAATTCGAGTAGAAAATTAAATCCGAAAACTTAAAATATTTCAAACCCTTGAAATCCAAAATGGTGTCGGTTCCATATTCAGGAACTGTGCCGACTTGCCAAAATTCAGCTTTCATGAAAAACTCGGAAAATGCATGGAAAAATTTGAAAATGGGAATATTCACCATAAAACATCCTTATCTATCAAAAAAGTGTAAAAACGAATCAAAAAAAAGTTGCTCGTTGTGAGGCATGAACCAGCGACCTGAGGTTTGTGAGAAAAGTCACCTATTTAAGGGCTGCGTAAAATGTGCGTACGTAAAACGTAAGGTCAAATTTTTGAAAAAGTTGATTCCGGTGCTCCAATCATTCTGATTTTTTAGCCAGCTCTTGCCAGACACAATACAAATATTATAAGCCAAAAACCGCATCAAAAAAGCTTAAACTGGACAGACAAAAGAAAATGCGCTAAAAACTTAATATTATTGATTGACTTACAGCAATTTGGAACAATAGCTTCGAGTGCCAGAATATGTTATGCTGCGAGTTCTCAATTGCCTTTCGCAAAATGGTTTTTGCAGCATGAGACTGGTTTTGTTGCTGATAAAGTTGTGATAATGTATGGGCTGCATCAAAACGAATATCGTCGAATCCTTGAATTTGCTGACTTAACGTCCAAGCCTGTTCAATATGTGTCTTTGCCAAATCTATGAATTATAATTAATGGCATAGGAATATAAAATAAAGCAATCGTTTAATCCCGACTTTAATTACCTTGATTAGTTGTGTATGTGAACAGCAATTGTCCAAGTTGCAAATGAGTTCTGGATTCCACTTTCTTTGGAGGATTAAATGCAAATAATGCTTCCTGAAATATAGAAAAATGGCTTATTGATAGAAATATTAAATCTAGGTATGTGCATATGTTACCAAACATTGAATAGCTTTCTTAATATTTTTTGTTGTACGAAAGTGCTCTGCTAAGCCAAGTAAAGCCACATAGGCTCTATCTTGAGATTGTCCGGATACATTCATTCTCCTTTCACAAATCACAGTCTTACTTAAATTCTCAAAATCCAACTATTAGCACTATTTGAGAATAGAAACTTTAAACGTCTTGGAGCCAAATTATTGTAAAAACAAAAAGAACCAGATATTCTTATTATAATCACTCTAATTCAATAGATTTAATAAATTTAAATAGATTGAAATTGTTGTTGTTTTTAGCATATTATTGTAAACTAAGAGAACTTAACAATTCACTTTGTTCAAATCTTATAGAAGCTATATAAAAGAAAAATATCATTTTAATAAAATCCCCAAGTCGCTTCTTGACTGCCTCCCCCACCCAGAATCTTGTTATCTATTGTACATTGATCGATATCTCAAAACTGCACTTAAGTCACTCGATTAAAAACATGGCTTTTGTACTTTATTATTGTTTTTCGTTCAAAAACATTAACACCGTTAGACAAATCTACATCAGAAAACACAATAACTGCCGTAAAATTTCATTTTAATTCCATCGCAGTTCATCGAATGTTTATAAAAAGAATACTTAATAATTCCTTCAGAAATCTTTCAAATTTAATTAAAATGAGTATTGACGCACGATTAGATGCTGTTCCTTTGGTAGAGATTGATTCTGGAATCTTTAAGTATGTCTTAATTAAAGTGTATGGAAAGGAAGATTCCGATGGTAAAGAATCACAAAAATCTATAGTTCGGTAAGAGCTAGCAATGAATTAATATTTAATGAAGAACATTAAATCTAATTTGAGCTACTTACAGGGGATTTTTGCGAGCTGAATGGCATGGTAAGAATTTTAAATTATTCAACTATATAGCAATATTAAGCATTTCTAAAGCATTCTCAACCGGCTTTTTAGCGTAATTTTTGAAACTTGTTTCTTTTTTGCATTTTGTTCGGCTGCTCGTTCGGGTGAAGAAAAACTTTTTAACCAGACATAGTAGAGAGCTCGAATTTGCTTTATTAGCTCAGTTCTATCGAGTTATTGGCCGATCGAATATTTTTGAAGCATAAAACAATGGCTTTGTGCTATAATTAATGTTTTTTTTGTTTCAGTACTGTGCAAACTGTTCAATTTTTTGACTCCCTCTATAATTTCAACATTCCCTCTATAATTTCAAATTTTTTCTAGCCGTTGAAAAATTTGAATCTCAAAAAACCTTAAAATGATAAATCCTTTCTATATGGAAATTCATTGGAATTATTTGTTAATTACACTAAAATTAATTCTTTCCAATCTTCTCATGATCTGTAACTGAACGCAAAATAATTTGATAATCAAATACTGATTGCTAGCACAAAAATGCGCTTAAGTCCGTCGATCAATAACACGAGGACTTCTGTAATTTTTTAACTGGATTATGGGCTGTATATTCACTTCATTCTTCGAATTATTTTGCTCAAAATATCTAATATGACACTAGAGGAATCAGAGTTTGAAATAATCCTGAAAAGATTATTATTATAGACAAAATAAGGATCATACTCGAAGAATATAATGTTATGATACAAAAGACATCAAGTACTTCATATATTTTCTTTTTGGATACATTATATACCATATTATCCATCTTTTGGAAACTGAATTATTTGATTCGGAAAAATATATTTAAGATGAATGTTTCAATGCTTCATGAGTGTTCTTCTGGAAAGCTTAAAACATTGCTATAAAAGGAAAATAATATAATAATTTTTGTCTCCTACTTTGGGGAGGTTCATAATGTATTCCAAGAAATCTTTAATGTAAGCATAAGGAATAATAATGTATTATATGTCTTTTCTTTGTCCTCCATCAAAAAGCTGACATTTATGAGGAAGTTAGTACATCTATTCGCGCATTGGGATTAGATTGTGAATGCCTTGGAGGTGGTCGTATTGAACATAAAAAGAATGAAAAGAGAATTAAAGTCTATGGATATTCTCAGGTAAGTAGATTATGTTTGATCAAACTGATGTCAACAACAAATATTTTGACTATTTTTCTATAGGGATATGGCAAGGCTGATCACGAGGAGGCTAAGAAAATCTTGCTGACAAAGTATCGCAATTACGAAATTGAATGTTCTGATGAAGGCTATTAAATGTGTTAAAATTTAAAACTGATAACTTTGAAGTTTATTTCAATAAAGTAAAAATAATTTTATTAAGTTCATATTTTTTCATGCCAGCTTCTTTTACACTCTCAAAAATTAATGAAATTGTAAAATCTTTTGTATAAAGGACCACCTATAGCTACACTCCTGCCTTTGTTCTTTAATACAATTATTGACTTTGTTCGTGATTGTTGAGTTTCATCCTTTCCTCAAAGGAATAAAAAATTCAATTAAAGAACAAAGAAAAAAATATTAAAATAGATTTTTAATGTTAACATGTTTATAAAAGCTTTAAAGGATACATATCTTTAAAAACATAAAATTGTTGCTTTTCTAAGCTTTCACGTGCTGTGTTCATTGTATGATATGATAAGATTCCAGCATGGAATTTCCATAAAAAAAAAATCATCAAACATTGTAACAAGTTGGAAAACATTATTTACAATGCTTTCCTCAAGCTTTTTCGTATCAACAACATCTCCGTTTTAATTTTACATCCATTCCAGTCTAGAACGAGATTTCAATTACTTTGTACAGAAAATTTATAGTGCGGAACACAATTTTAATTTTTGCAAGTTAAAATAAATTAAAAATATGTTAAGTTGCAGTTTTATTGAACATCAAAGTTTTAAAATCAAATATTTACTTGATTATTTATAAAATAAAGTTTTACAAAACTAACTTAAACCACAATTCTTATTTACAACATGGCACCAAAAGGAAATTAAATCTTCTTCCAAAAAAAGGAAACTCCAATAAAATGAAAAAAATTCATGTTCTTATAAAATATTCCTGTGAATTGATAATTAGCAACAATCAATAATGAAAGTAAAAATAAACTTTGAAAAATTGACAAGGAATTAAACTTTTAAAATATTATAAAGTTCAACTCACAATGATATGATTTTAAAGATATTGAATTAAAATTATTGAATTTGCTTTGTTGCATCAAACTTTTTTCCATAGCAACTGACATACAAAGTGATCCAAAAATGAAAAGAAAAATTGAAGTGAACTATCTTTCAATGATGACTTTCAAGAAAATGGTGCAAAGTTGAACTAGAAAGTATAATGATTATTCATGAAACTATTTTCGAAAAGGCTATGAAAATATAGTCAAAAAATAATGAAGGAAAATGATGATGATATTATCTTGAAAGATACCCCATCTCCAAAGAGGCAACTCAATCAATTCGAGTGAGTTCATGCATTAATTATATTTAACAAGATATTTTATTTATGTTTAAAGCATCAAAATAAAACGTCATAACTGCTAATAATAAAATAGAAAAAAATATTGATTTTCAGATTTAATAAATTTATTTAAGGATTTTGAATCAAACTTTAAGGCAAATAAGTTTTAAGAAAATGTACGATAGATTCAAAGAATACCCAGAAAACCGAAAGTTTGTTTTAAGAAAGTTTATATCAATTTTAAATTCAAATGGATTAGATTAAAACTTACTTTAAACTTAAATTTCTTGTTCTGCTTAGGGCTCATTCACTTATGACGTCCAAAATGAACGGTCATTTTTTCAAAAAAGAACAATAGATTTCCAGGAATTCCTATTTTTCTTTTTTTGCTACCCCCCCCCCCCCCCCCCCCCCCCTGGACGTCATACGTTCACCATTCACTTACCCTTACTTCATTTAAAGTATACATTTTAAATTATCTCCAAATTGAATATGTTTTTCAAGCAAAAATTTAAAACCTTTAAACATGCTGAAAACTTGATAATAGATTTTATTATTGTAAGCATTACTGCAAGGCAAAAGAATTAATACAATAGAACTTTTTAATAATAAAATAATTTAAATTTTCTATTGAATTAATTATCATATTTAATTTTACATTTACCAACTTTTCTTCATATTCATATTAACACATAATGATTCAGCAAATTGAAGGATAATGACGATTCATCATTAGGTTCCCAAAAGTAAGTTATATCACAGGATGAGTGTTTGAAACAGTAAATAAAAAATATATTTATTTTATTTAAAGAGTTTACAAAAAAACATCCTCAAATCAATTATTAACACTCTACTTGGGTACTCGTGAATTAGTCTCCCGTTCAGGTGTTGTAGATCCTATAAAAGGAGTAGTTTACTTAGATGCACGAGTTAATGATTTGAATCAGAAGGTGTATTGCCAACTGACGCTTACTTTTAGGTAAAATGATAATTTCTATATTACAAGCTTTGTAGCTTAATAAATGTCATAAATTTTAAATAATAGGTATGGAAGAGAAGATGAGGAAGTAATGGGTCTGAAATTTTGCAACGAAGCAATTATAGCATTGCAGCAAATATGGCCTAAAAATGAAAATCAACAACGCTTTTCAATGACTCCGCTGCAGGTTTGCATGACTAAGTTATTTATTTTATAATAAACTTAATGTTTAACATAATATGACAATAGGATGCACTAGTTGAAAGATTAGGACAGAATTCAATTCCATTTATGATTGAAATCGGCTCAATAACTCCGCCGAGTGTTCAACTTCTTCCAGCAAAGAGATACACGGGTGCACCGATTGGTACTTCTTATGATATAAGAGTTTACACAGGTAAATAGATTTTTTATGTTCTCATAAATTAAAACTAATAACCTTCGTCTTAGTTCCAACAACTGATCAAAATGATGAAAGAATCCAAAGGCGGTCAACAGTAAGACTGGGTATTAGACTTTTACATAAAATATGTCCTGAAACGAATTTATCAAATAATGAATCATCACAACTACCACCTGTGCCACGATCGCTTCGCTTGCGACTTTCTCCAAAAGCACGAAAATTAATAAAACAGACAAGCTTAATAATTCATGGCACCAATAGCGCATCAAATAACTCCAATGGCACAATGACTTCTATCTCTACTGACGTCGATTCAACTGATAATGCAAATAAAGTAAGTTTGAGCTAATTACAAAGATTAATGATCTTAAGGTTTAAAATGACTAGCAATAGATCTTAGTATCATTTCGAGTGAATAATCTTAAAATGACTCAAACATCACCTGCTTCATATAACTTAATTTATTTCCGTTTGCCAATTATTTAAAATAAAATCTGTTAAAGTAGAAATGTTTGTTATAAAAGCGAATAGGTAATTATTTAATGGATATTTAAACAAATTTAAAAGAAGAAAAAAATTATTCTGAATTCTCTTGACTATGTTTATGTATTCAAAATTGATATTTTGAGAAGAAAAAAAAAATGTGGTATGAGCGTTGGGTTTCTATTTATAGATCTAAAAGAAGCGCTCGGGGCAATAGCAAACGAGTAATGAAGATGCTGCGTACATTTACGTACTGCTTTTTTTATACTTAATTTCTTTCTCTTTAATAATTAATGTCTTTCTTATGTACTTGAATTTTTTTTTTTTTTTTTATCACAGGGACCATATGGATGCGTAGATAAGCCTTTTTTGTGGACTGAAGGTAAAGTAAGCTTAAAGGCAGCTTTGAATAAGTCCGCTTATGCTCATGGAGAAAATGTTAATGTTACGATTGATGTGAAGAACGATAGTCGAAAAGTTGTGAGGAAAATTAGAGTAAGTAGATTGATTTATTTGTTTAGGATTTATTTTTTTGGTTTCCATGCTTAATAAGGGGTTGTTGCTTTATGAAATTCATTATCTAGAAGGGATTTTGTGACACTTTAAGTAAATAATTTTTTTTTGTATAGAACGCAAAGGGGGGGGGGGTCGAAAAATCTCAGTTCTTGTTAGACGTCATATGTAATCGACCCCTTAAGATGTTAAAGATTATTATTAAATTTCATATTTCATTCCTTAAACCTTATACCTAAGAGATATTTTAGTAAAAATCCACGTTTATATGATTAATAGATTTTCGCAGTGCAACATGTGGACGTTTGTATGTTTAGCAACGGAAAATTTAAAAATATTGTCGCTGAAGTAGACATAAGTAAGCAAATTGGACCGGGTGAATCAATTCACGGAGTATATTCTTTGCTTCCTGTCAGAGGTATGTGCAAGGCCTTGAACATATATTTTTTAATAGCTTTCATAAAATTTCAAGGTGGGGAAACAACATAATAGGAAATTATGAAAAATTGTTATAAATTTTCTACAAAAACTTCTTCCCATCATGCTGATTTCCCCTTGTTTAATTGTCAGGATACATAAAGATAATTTAATGAATGTAATTTCCAGGCTCAACAAAAAACTGGATCGCAGTTGAAGGTGCACTATTCAGTACAAGCAATTACGACACATCCTTGGCAGCTTTGAATTCTAAATTAGCATCGAGTGCACCACGAGGTTGTATATATCCTGCCATTCAAATACAACAGCATCAATATCAATTCCAGCAACAACAAACACAAGACTCAAACTTAATACATCAACAATCAATTACAACTCAGCACACATCATCCGGTGATGAAAAAAATGTTTTTGCAATATATGTCAGTTATTATGTTAAAGTAAAGTTATCATTAAGCGCTATGGGAGGTGAGGTTAGTTTGAAATTGCCATTTATACTTGGCAATTTTGATACAACAGATGGTACAAAAATAGACAAAATTAATATACCTCCAAATCATTCCAATGATTTACATCTTAATGACCATCAATGTCTTGATGATATAAGAAGACCTGACTTTGAACCTGTTGACAGTTTGAACGATGCAAAATTTGATGAAAATATAGATTCAAATATGCTATCACGTAATAGCAGCGTTAATTGCAAAAGCATTGATTATGAGGACGTAACTGCAACGAGCATTGGAATCAACAGCGAGGAAATTGAATTTATCAATAAAAAATTTAGCGAAATGAATCGGCTTGACTCAATCAGATCATCCGACTCGAGTATATCTGATGTTTGCGAAAGTGAAGAAATTAAGCATGAAACCAATGTCATTCAAGCACAAGTTCACTGTCAGAAATATTTAGAGAGTGACATTTAAAGAACTGATGAATTATTACTTAGACACATGTGAAATCACTATTTTTGATGTTAGCTTTTATGAAAATTAAAAAATTCTGAAAATGAAAAAAAAGTAAATTATTCAACGTTTTTGAGTGTTAAGTGAAACCTGCATGGACATCTGTGATTTAGAACCTAACAATCTAATCTAATAAAAATTATGAAATTACAGTCTCCCTACATGCACAAATATAATCGTTGTGGTATTTTTATTATTATCATCCATTAAAGTCATGCTGTTTATGATTTTCCAAGTATTTTATATATCATCAAGCAATGTTGCTCAATATTAAGAGTCGTAATGATTTTAGTTGGTACAATAATGCTCAAATATTAGGCTTATAACCCCCCACCCTCCTTCAATGCCTGTAAAAAATTCTGCCTGTAGATAAATTTATCTTATCTGTACTGTCACAACATCTAACACCCCTTACCTCCTGAAAAAGTTCCATATTGAATCTTTTTAAGCGACAGATTGCTATTATTTTGGGGATTATTCATAAATGATGTCCTTTTTTGATGGACGTCATTTATAAACGATCCCCAGCATTTTTAAAATTTTTGTAATAAATATTTATTTATATGTTTAACAAGTTGCTTAAAAGTTCACAAAACTATAATTTGACTAAAATCAATACTTCAATAAAAGCATTAATGAATTTAACTATAAATCTTAAGTAGATCCTTTAAATCCTTTGGTTCCGATATTGAATTCCCTACTATGACCTGTGTTTTCTTCAGTAGGCATGCTAAATTTTCTCGCATCTCCTATATTTGTATGAATATATTGAAATATGTTTGATAGAGAAAAAAAGAAAGAAATATATAAATTAGATTAATTGTGGCGATAACAATTTACCTAAAAGTCTAATAAAATGTTTCAAGATATAATTTAATTTTTATATCAAAGCAATTTTTCACAAGAGAAGTAAATTATTGACTGCAAAAAAAATAGTAATGAAGTGAATTTTGAGGAGATATGCATGCTGCATTTTAATAAATGGATCATTTCTTTATGACGTTAGCTTGATACAGTGCTAGAGAGTCTGAAGTTCTGTAACATTATAAACATTTTCATACAAAATGGGGGGGGGGGGGGGGGGTATTCACTCATCTAAATCAAGATTAATTGGTTTCGTATTCTTGGATTTTTAGCGCATTTTTGAAACTTATTTCGAAAAAGTAGCTTAATAATTCACTTTGTTCGTTCGTTCGTTCGGGCCGAGAAAAACGTTTTAACTAGACATCGTAACGAGCTCGGGTTTGTTTTATCAGCTCCGTTACTGGATTTTAAGAGCTCCAAAGCCGTAGCCAGGATTTTTCAAGGGGTGCCAAAAAATATTTTTTTTTAAAAAAATCAATAAAATCTGGATAAAATTAAATAATTTGTAAAAAATTTCAATCTGCTCGGGTACCTAAGGACACCCTTGGCTACGCCCTTGCCCCCATCCCCACTTATCTCAAATTTTCTATGGAAAAAAAATTACTTTTGTTTTTATTGTCACAAAAACTCAGAACCTCCTCCTCCTAAAAGTCGCTAATCTAATAAATGAACGATTCGAAATCGAATAAAGATATTGTCATGTCGAAACGATAAGAAAAGCAAAGGATATAAAATATATATCTGTAACATAAATTAACACTTACGTCATTCATTTCCTGTCCTTGAAGCTCTGACAATCTAATTTTTGTAATTGCTATTTCATGATAAAGAATCCCTTTCACAAAGCATTCACCCATGGTCAGCTTATCAATTATATTTAGTATATCCTGGCAGTATTTCTCAATATCCTGATAATCTTCAATTGTCATTATGTAATCCGACTCTTGCTTCATCTTTAAAATTATTTGTAATTTTAGTTCAATTGTGAATTGATTTCCGTCAGGCAAAAAATTTGCAAGCTTATTTTTTAAATAGTGATTGATTTTTGTCATTGGCTCGGTTGAGATACGATTAAAAATTTGTTTTGATAAAATATCCGTTATTTTTGAAGCGCGTGCATGATCAAGCTTAAAATTACACTTTTCACACTTCCATGGAGATGTAACAACCAATGGATTTATTGGAAGCATAATACTATCACATTGTGGATGAATACATTTAATACCAGATATATTTGAGTTGAATTCTGTTCGATCTAAGCATCTTTCACAATTACATAAGAAATTTTTCGAGTATCCTAAATGAACACGTCTTTGTAAGGTTCCCCACAATAATTTTGTGTACGAATTAAAGATTTGTTCACCTTTTTTGATTAATTTTGATGATTTAACAATCATAATTTTATGATCATTGTAGACGTAGTAAGTATTAGGGATGCAATTTTGGTTCATTACAGCACCAAGTGGAAAAAGACCCTAAATTTAAATAAACATTATTCGAAATGTATAAAATTGTTGTAAATTAATAATAAAAAATATTAGTAACATTAGAGCATATCTATGAGTTCAATATAAATTAATTAGTATAGCTTACGCGTAAACTTATTCCATGATCAGGTTGGGAGTCATGTGGAAGACCAACTTCGAAAGCATTTGTATTAAGAATCGATGAGATTTTCTTCAATTTTTGAACTATTTCAGAATCAGCAGTTAATTCATCAAATTCATCTAAAATCTTTTCCACTTCCATATTTTGTACTGATGAATTTTCATGACAGGCCATCATATTTATTAGTTTTGATTCCTCTTTTGTCAAAAGTAAACCACGAATAACGGTCAAGGCACGAAATAAATGTTTAGAATATTTATTTTCATTTTTAAGTTTCCAAGAACGAATCAATTCGCATTCAACACGATGTGCTTCAGTCTTTTCACATTCACTGCATACTGGAAATTTACATTTCTGACTGCAAAGTGTTAACTTATTTAAGACCTTATAACATGAAATGCAAAAGATCTATTTTTGTTTTTAATGAGTTCGTTAATATTTATTATGAAGCAGAAAAAAAAGTAGGAAAAGAATTGTTGAAACGTTAGTAAATATGAGAATAATTAAGGTTCATTAGAATTGATTTTAAAATAAGCCTTACTTGAAGTCAAATTAGTGGAACCAAAAATCTTTCAAAATTTCGAAATTTTTTGAAATATCAAAAATCAAAGAAATTTTTAAAAGTAAAATCAAAATTAAAATTTTTGAATCTTTCAAAAATTAATTTTTTCAACTTTTTTAACATTCAAAGTTTTTGGCGCCACTAATTTCATATTAAGTATGCTTTATTTTTGAAAATAATAAAAATTCATATAAAATTACTTTGATATAATTATTGACTCTTGGTCCAACAATAAGTGGATGGTCTCTGAAAATTTCCTCATTTGCTTCGATATCTCGTTTAGCAATTAAGCATCTGCCATAAACTGGCAATTCCTCTATATCCCAAGCGCACTTATCATCACCAGGATAAATATTCCCATTTTTTATATGATCAACTAAAGCACGTTTAAAGTCTTCACACATTTTATATATTTAATTATTTGGAAAACGTTTATAAAATCACAGGATGATCGCTACTCGATGAAGAACAGATTTTAAATGAAAATAAAAAGAATAATTTTTTTGTGCTAATTTTTTCTCTCTTTTTTTCAGTTTGTTTTTCTTTTATTTATTTTTTTGCCAAGAGAAATAGTCTCGTGATTCAAATTTCTACTGCAAAGATTTTCTCTTTTAAGTTAATTATGCTAGGCTTGATTTTTCACATGTACACTTGTGCCATGTATTTCAAAAAATAAAAAAAAAACTCACGTCTGTTTAACTCACATTGCTAACGAAAAACTATGAAAAATGTCTAAAGGAACTACGCTTGTGATTGAATTTTAGCGAAAAGTATTTTTGGCGGTAGTATTTTGTAAGAAAATTCTTTTCTTTCTATTTTTATTTTGCTTTTATTTTTTTATTTTATAGGAAGAAAGCAGGTTTTTTTTTCATTTCTTTTCATTTTATTTTTGGTTCAGAAGTTTTACATATACATGAGCTAGACAATGCACAAAACGATGAATTGCGATACAAGGAAATATATTGATCACTAGCTAACAATAGTTCTGTAATTTTTCATTTTTGATTTACATTAAGTTAGTGAAAATAAATGTCAGAGTAGAAAATTGAATAAAGCCTCGAGTAGCGACTGAAATAAACTGTAAGTTGACGCAATTTTGCTTTTTTAAGGGAAACAACATGTCTTTCAGGGAAGTCAAAAATCATAAAATAAAAGCTCCATAAAACTTTATTATATTTGAACTACAATTTCCTAGTCCCTGTTAAGTATATATACACAAAATGAGGCTTTCATCCATAAAACATGTAATTAAAGTAATATATGAAAATTTATTCGATAAAAAATAAACTTCTAACATGCATATTTACCTAACGGAATTATTACTAATTCATGACAAGTTTGTTTTCTTTCATTTGACGCTAGCTAGCAAATAGGAGAGAAATGTTTCGGAAAATAACATACCATGTTGCTATCAAAAATGGATTTTTCATGTTCATGGTCTGAAAATGCGACATTATAGTTTTTCCTTCACTTAACGACTAATGTTATTCTTTGAACTCAACTCTTTAATACATTCGTTTGCAGAACATATATTGCACTCTATTAAATGATACATATAATTAAATAAACTGTATTTCTCATTTTGGATACTTTTTCGTTTGCAGCTATAATGAGCCAAATGATGGTGTTTGAAAAGCGGGAGGGGGGGTCAGCAAAAAAGTTATCAAAAGCTAATTTTATTGTTCTTGCTTTAAAACCAATTAGTCTATGTTAATTAATAGCGGTTTAAAAAAAAAATTCAAAAAAATTGTACGAAATTTCAATTTCATGGGGGGGGGGGTACCTTAGGGTACCTTAGGACCCCCCCCCCCCTGGCCATAATTCAACGACCCCTTACTACGTCCAAAAAGTAAAGAAATTTTATCTTAGTTATTATTAATTCGAATTTTGATAATAATAGATCAGCTTGACCCTGAATAATTGTTTCAAAAAAGAACAAAACAACTTGTTGAAATAAATAGAAATTCGATATGTAATGAAAATCTTTATATTTTATCATCTGAGCAATCTTAGGATACAAAAAAGATCGCTTAACTTGAAAATAGCTCAAAAATTGTAAACGTAATTGGAGCATATTATTTATGCAGATGATTAATGACCGAAATTTCAATAGAAAAGATTTTTATTTTTTCAACAAAATTTCCTTCTAAAGTCACTTAACACATTCTTGATCAGTTCTCAAAAATTATTTTTAAATAATTGAATTTTCACCTAGCATGACAAATTGCTGAATTTATTTATATGCTATAGCAGTCATGCAATGATTTTGAGATTGTTTTCTTAGCTTTACATTCAGTTTATCCTTAAAATTGAGATATTTTGACGTCAGAGAAATTTTGTCTTCTTTATTGTTTCATTTCATGGCATTTCAGAAATTGAAATTTAAAATTTAATTGCCAGAAATTCGATTCTAAAGCTAAATCCCTGGATTAAAATTAAATCCAATGTTAAATCCTTCGATTTTATCAATGATGAAATTATCAACCAGAACAGCTCAAACATAGGTAGATACATTGAGGTTAATTTGGTCAAAGATACAGCTAGGAATCATTCAATATTTTGTAACAAACTTAGTTGTTTTCCCCTTTCAATTCAGATTTGTTTTATTTTTGTTGTCTGTCGCTGGTCACATCATTAAAATGATGGAAAACTTAATTTGTACGGTAGGCAAGAAAACAGACGATATTAGAGACGAATCTACATTTAAATACAATAACGATCTATATGAAAAATTAATGATATGGCAGGATTTCGAGCAGTTAATTGGTAAAGTTGTGAAATTAAAAATTCATTTGAAATCAAAACAATAAAAATCTTTTAAACTTACAGCAATTGACAAAAGTTCGGGGTTTTACTTACAACCGTTGTCGATTAACAACATTCCTTACTTAGTGTTGTGCTATAAAGAAACTAGACTCAGAGAAAAATTGACAAATGCTTTGCTAAATCAACGAAAATTTGTGATTGGTTCATTTTTTGAAGTCGATGAAGAGTTCCAGCAAGACACAAGCATTTTGGATATAGAATCAGACGAAAAAGAGTTCTTGACTATTGACAATTTCTATGATAAACTTAAAGAAGCACATGCTAGTGATGATCTCAGCTCATTTCCAGGCGTTCAACATCCAATGCTTAAAAGTACAACAATTCTCCGTCCATATCAAGTTAGAGGTGTCAAATGGATGCTTAAAAGGGAGCTTCAAACTGAATATGTACCAACAAACTTTATCAAAATGAAGTCAAAATTTAATGCACAACAAAAATACTTTTACAATAAGTATACTCAGGAATTTTACAGACACAACCCAGAACAGAATTTAGCCTTTCCAAAAGGAGGAATGTTATGTGATGAGATGGGTTTAGGAAAGACTCTTGAAATGATTACGTTAATATTAATGAATACAACAAAGAGAGGCAAGAAAAGACATTTTGAAGAAGACATGACAGAGGAAGTGCTAGAAAGACTTAAACCGACTAAGAAGCATAAAGTTAAGTGTGTCTGTCATTCCGATAAAAAGAAGAGCATGTCCAACATGATAATTTGTAAAAACTGTTTTAATGCACAGCACATTACCTGCGTATTCCAAAGAAACATAACTGAAGACGATAAATGCAATTATTTGTGTCCGCATTGCTGGAAATCTTCAGAAAAAATCATTCAATCTTCTACAACCATTGTCATAACTCCATTATCAATTAAGAATCAATGGACGAGTGAATTTAAGAGGCACATAGCTGATAAAAACTTTAAAGTTCTGTCTTATAATGGAATCTCAAATGGCTGGATCTCTCCAGACGAATTAGCAACTTATGACTGTGTAGTAACTGATTTTAATACATTATCGAAAGAGCTCTACTTTACTGAGACTATAGACAGACAATTAAGAGGAGCTAAGAAGTTTGAATATCCTCCATCGCCATTAATTCATGTCAATTGGTGGCGCGTGATATTAGATGAAGCACAAATGGTTGAGAACAAGAACACACGTCCAAGCCAAATGGTTAAGCAACTTCCAGCAGTCAATCGTTGGTGTAGTACCGGCACACCGATTGAAAAAGGTGCTGTTCATTATTTATATGGCTTAATTTATTTCCTCGATCTTCATCCATATGACAATTCTGAAGTATTTAATAAGCTTTGGCTAGACTATAAAAACGGATATCCAAAAAGACTGATAGAAATGCTTTCTAAAGTTATGTGGCGAACATGCAAGAAGGATGTTGAGCATGAAATTCAAATTCCAGAACAAAAGGAAATCATTCATTATGTGGAAATGAGTGACCTTCAAAAATGCTTTTATCAGCAAGTCCACATTAGTACAAAACCTGAATTCTTGAGACATGTCCAAAACTTCTTGATGCGAAATAGTCGAGAAATTGATCCATTTACAAATGAAAGAAGAATCGATCATTCATTGATGGACCGAAAAATTTATGAATTGGATAATACAACTTTAAAGTCATTAATGGAACCTCTGAGAAAAATTCGTCAGGATTGCACTATTGCCAATTTATTCTCTAACACTAATGATCAAACTCGAGTCAAGCAGACATTGCGAGCAGTAAGTAACTGCGACTTTATATCTATTTTAACAGAATGACTGATAACATCATTTTCTTAGGAACAATTACATGAACATCTAGTATCAAAGGCATCGATTGAATGTAAATCAGCACTAAGAACAATTTGTTCAAGTTTGAACGGTATGGCAGCTATAAAGATAGCAGAAATGAAGTATGATGATGCGATGTCTTATTATGGTCAAGTTTTTCGATTTGCTAGAGATTATACAGGAGTTGTCAGGTAAGATTTGTAGCACGAAAAGTTTGAGCAGTGCAATTCCATAGATGAGTGGAATTTATCAAAAATGAGTTGTAATTCTTCTCGAACTTGATGGTTCAAAATTTTTTAAATGCATTTTAACTTAATATCAGCTTGGCAAAAACTAATTTATCATCCACATTATCATCTTTATTTATGTAAAAAAAACATTCTAATCAGGCAATGGGTTGTTAATTACAGTATATTTTGCTTTTAAAATCATTTTCTCACGGATTTGGAAAATAAACGCTTTGAGGTCGCCCTATTTCAATTATTGGTTTACAATTTTTCATTTTTCTGCTAAATGACTGTATTTTAAGTCGATTGAAGTATACAGGGTCATAAAGGAAGACAGAATACACATTATACTGACAATGAGTATTTGTCTAGATACCTAGACAGAAGCATGATCTTGCAGTTTGTAGGATGAATTCAAACTCAGATTATTGCTGAACAAACCAATGCTAACACCCCTTTCTGACTTTTATGCATCAGTAAACACAAACATACAGTTATTATCCACCAAATCACAAGATTCAGCAGCATTATCTTCTGATACAACTACCTTAAAAGGTTTGTCAAAAACGTATTTTGACACTATATGATCCGATTCTAAGGTAAATAAACTTTCACTGCTTAGAAATCGATTTAATTCCATATGACCTGTAAAAATCCTGTCATTAACCCATAATTTATTAACCTTCAATTTGGATGCACTTGTTTGAGCTAAAGCTTCGATTCTCACTCGAAGTGGAGGAAGCTCAAGAAATCTATCCCAAGCCAGTTTTGGAGTAGTTTTCCAAGCACCTCAAACTGACAATTCTGCTATTCTTTGCAGTTTCTCAATTTTCTGAAAGGCAAAAACTTGTTTCATTTTATGCCACCAAACAACACATCCATACATAATTCTTGGTAGAATAACATGCTCATACAGCCAATATATCATATTGGGTTTTAATCCCCAGTTTTTACCAACAATTGATCTCCAAGCCCAAAAGGACTTAATCACCTTACTTACAACGAAATCTACATGCAACTTGGTGATAAAACCTTAAAAACTTATTTCGCCAATATTACTGTAAATAAACAAACTTATAACTTAAATTGGATTGTATTATGCGCTTAAATGTTGAATTAATCTATTATCGTAAGATTCGCCATTTATTTCGCCTTAATTAATTATTAAATCACATTTTAAAAAATTACAGAAGTCCTCGTGTTATTGATCGAGGGACTTAAGCGCATTTTTGACGCAGCGATCAGTATTTGATTATCTTACTAAGGGGCCATTCAACTTAAACGACTTTTTTCACCATCCCTCCCACCCTTGTTACAATTTGTTACAACTCACAACCTACCCCCCCCCCCCCCCCCTCCCCCCCTGAACGTTCATTTTATTATTTATATTGATAATTTTTTATTCTAAAAAGACGATTAAATTTCTTTTGTATTTTTTTTCTTTAACATCAAAATACTGTACAGCTAAATAGGTCATGTTTTGATTGATACTTTTAGTATTCTCATGAATTATTGGATTGAGATATAAAGCAAAAATTTGTTTTTTTTTTTGAAGAAAATTCAAAAATGTCTTGAACAGTATTATGCCCGATCGAATTTTGGAAAATTCAATCAACTTTGAATGTAAATTTCACAATGATAGAATCATATTAATCATCATATGAATTACAGATTTGGAGAGATTTACTCTTAAACTTATGATTAATTTAATTTTGATAATTTCCACAAATTATGATTGTATTTTAAAATCTTGTAAACCAGTTTTCTAGTGATTTGTTACTTTATAGAACAAAAACTATGTATTGCTTAGCTATCAAAAGATATCTGGACATTCATAAATCATTAAAAAGGTGGAAAAAATGTTTTTGGTGTGAATTTGTAAACAGTGTTGCAAATGTAGATGTCTACACTAGATGAAGAATGTAGATTCTTCAATAGTTTTCGTCTAGCTAAGAAACTTTCTTCATAAAGATCGATTCTATGTGAAGAAAGAAAATCTAATCTACACAAAGATTATTTCTACATAAAGATTCTGTCTACATAAAGATTCGATGTAGATGTTTACAATTCTACATTTTTTCTAGGTCTACATTAGAGAAGAATGTAGAATTGTAGACATCTACATCAAATCTTTATGTAGACAGAATCTTTATGTAGAAATAATCTTTGTGTAGATTAGATTTTCTATCTTCACATAGAATCGATCTTTATGAAGAAATTTCTGTCTCAGAATTTGTCTGATCCAGACAAATCGCCAGAATGCAACACTGTTTGTAAACAAATTTTCTTCGTGTTTGTTTACAATTTGTATATGAAAAAATTTTTTTGATTTTCTCTACTTTAGGTTGTTGTTTTGATATCCTGCTAGCTGTTGCTTGCTAAATTAAGCTTAGATTTGCATATTAAAACTACCAAATCAACAAAAAACCGCTTATTAAGTCTTAAAAATTCAATTGAAATCTGAGTATTTTTACAAAACTTCAACTATTCATAAGTTGAAAAGTCTTCTCTGAAACCTATATATATATATATCAATTGCACAAGCTTAAAATTGCAAAGCTTATGTAAAATATCCTTAAAGCATCAAATCAAAAAAAAAATTACAAAAACTTTTAATTTTCTAATGTGCCAAAAAAATATTGTGCTTATAAGTCCAGATACAAAAATCGTGCACAGAAAATTATAAGTCCAGAAAATCAAAGTCAATAAAGGTTTATAAGTCCAGATACAAATTGCACCTGGACTTAAAAAAAAAAAATTTTATAAATTTTACCTATAAACTTCTAGTGCGATTATAAGTCCAGATACATTTTTCTGGACTTATAATCCTTGAAAATTATTTGTGAAACTATTTCAATTTTTTCCTTTAAAGCAATTCTAAAAATGAACTTTTCTGATTTTTTTTCCTCTAAAGTACCTTATATATGTAGTACCTTATCTTCCAAATCATTGTTTAAATTAAATTTTAAGGAAGTTTTAGAAGATAAATCAATTTTTCTGATGTAAATTTACGCCTCCGAAAAACTTCAGCTTTTATTTTCCTAATACGTTTAAAAAATTTTTTTTTAAAAATAAAAATTTTATTTTATATAATTTGGCAAGTCAGCTAATCTTCGCTTAGCATATGGTTGATTGGGTGTCTTTCAAGACAATTTAAATATGCAGAATCATAGAAGATGATAAAATGAACGACAAAATAACCATTTTGATCGAAACCTATCTAGTGTCATAAGAAAAACCGAGATTGTTTGTCATGAAGCAAAAAAATCTCATCCATCTTGGATTTTCTACATTTGGGCGATTCTCCAGAACGGTGGGGTTTTCAAAATGAGCTTTTATAATCCGCTGTCAATTAAGTTTACATAAATATTCCGCAATTTCTTTAAATATAGAATAATTTGAAATTTTAAATTTTTCATCGATAATAATTTACTTTCATTATAAATGATGAAATTTGTCAAAAGTGTAGCTTGAAAGTTCAGAATTACAGTATTTTCGATCAAAAAATTTTGTAATTTTGAACGGATTTAACATTTCTAAACAGATCTTAATCTATAATTAAGTGTACATTTAATGCTGCAAAGATGAGGATTTGATATGAAATTTTTGATTACCCTATCGAAACTTTTACAAAATTCTATTTTTGGTCACAAAGCAACGGGCCGAAGAATTGAAATATCTTAATAATTAGGACAATTCATGCTTGGACAAATAATTAAAGAGATAGGAAATAAAAAATGACATCAGATAAACTGAAAAGCTTGCAAGGTTTAGTGAAAAATTTCGCCAAAAATTCATTCGAAGTCAAAATTTTTGCAATTTACCCTACTGGAATCGCCTATTGCATAATTTTTCATAATTAATAAAGAAAAAAAAATTGAAATAGTTTCACAAATAATTTTCAAGGATTATAAGTCCAGAAAAATGTATCTGGACTTATAATCGCACTAGAAGTTTATAGGTAAAATTTATAAATTTTCTGGAATTATAAAGCACACGTGAGGTTTATAAGTCCAGATATAAAATGTACCTGGACTTAAAAACCTCTCGTGCAGTTTATAATTGCAGCTGTATTTGTATCTGGACTTATGAACTGCACGTGAGGTTTTTAAGTCCAGGTGCAATTTGATTTTCTGGACTTATAATCTCTGGATTTATAGTTTCTGGACTTATAACCATCATTCAAATCTCTTATTACCGTTAAAGATTTTAATATTTTTTTCCACATTTTAATTAACGATTTTTAAAAATTCAAAATCCATTTTTCATAATTTTGAACTTTAATTCAAATTCTAACCTTCGGTTATTTTTTAAATTTTTAAATTCGGTTATTTTTTCAATTGCCTTAAATCATAAAAGTTAACATCACTGTTCCTACCTTCTTGAAAGACCGCTAATACATCTACTAATTCTATTAACAACTTATTTATCCATTTAGTGTCGATTCGATGCTTCAAATCCATTCGTACCATAACATGATTGAGGCTAAATTATTGTCAAGTAACTCGACAGACTTCCCAGAAAAAGAAGAATATACAAGAGAGATGGGAAAAATGGAATGGAAATACATCAGCAATTATTATGACAAAGTTGAAACTTTAAATAAGGAACTTGATGAAATTAAAGTGAGCCTGGTGTCAGCAACAAGAGAATATTCAGACCGTAATGGATTTTGGTGGCGTGACATTGTCGAATCTCAAAGAACAAGCGAGGAAGAAATGAGATTTTATGAGATGCTGAATACTGAATTGATGTCATCTGCTGGATCTCAAATAACTGGCGCAATAAGAAGCACTTATGGCATACAATTAGTAATAACGGAATGGATGGACAAGTTTGAACGGTTCACAAATGAAATTATGAAGAGATTCAAAAGTCTCAGCTATATCATTAAGAATCTACGTCCATCATATGAGTTATCAGATGAAGTCAATGAGAAAATACTGAACCTGACTCAAGCTGCACTTTATTGTCATTTAAATCTCGAGGAAAGTGACGACGACGGACCAAGAAAAATATCAGAACCGAAAGATCCAAGAAATATGTGTGAAATGTGCAAGTTAAAGAAGAAATTGGATGAATATGAATGCACACTGTTTAATAAGACACTTGTTGATCAAAATGTTGAAGGAACTTGGAATCCACGAGCTGAAGAACGTCTGCTTAATGCCATTTTGACGTATGCACGACGACATCGATTTGATGAAGAGAACATTGAAATGGGAAAGAACTTTTTTAAGTACCTGAAAGCATTAAAGGATAGATATAAGTTATTAGCACAGTTGTGGGTTGAGACAAATTACACAATTTGTGCATTTGATGAGATCCGAATGTGTAAAATGAGAATGCAAGTTGTGGAATCAACAGAGGAACTAACAGATGAAGATGTTAAATACAGATTGAAAATAACAAGACATCAAACTCAGGAACAACTGCAAATCTTTAAATCACAAATGCAAGAAGCTGAAATATTATTTACACGACTTCATGGACGAATTAAGTATCTTGAGCATTTAAAAGAGAAAAATGACAATGTGGAATGTCCAATATGTACAAATCAAGCTACAGAACGATATTATGTAACTATTTGTGGACATGTCATTTGTGCTCAATGCTTCATCATCCTTACAAAAGATAAAAGGCGCTCATTTATGAAAATAAATTGTCCTGTATGCAGAACGAGCCAGGAAATTGCTAATATCTATGCTGTAACTTGTAGTGATGCTCCATCAACATCTGGTGTCAAAATTACTGGAAGTTATTCACCAAAAATTGATGAGATTATTCGCTGCATCTTGAAACTTAAGGAAGACGAGCCTGATGTCAAAATTTTAATCTTTTCTCATTGGGACTCAATCCTAAGTGCTATTATTTATGGATTAAAAGAGAATAGCATAACTTATCGTTCTTCATTCGGTTCCAACTTCAACAAGCAAATTGATGAATTTAAAGACTATAATCAAGGAGTAACATGTATGATGCTTAACCTTAAATTTGGCGGAAAAGGTTTAAATCTGACAGAAGCAACTCACGTCTTTCTGGTTGAGCCAATTTTAAATGCGGACGAGGAGATGCAAGCTGTTGGAAGAATTCATCGAATCGGTCAAACAAGATCGACTTTTGTCCACAAATTTATCACCAAAAACACAATTGAAGCTTTTATTTTTGATAAAATTATCCAAGAAAAGGATTACTGGATTCATAAGCAATTTACAATTAGGGATCTTGAGGATGTCTTTTCAGTACAATATGATGGCAGTCAGAATAATCCTGTATCGTTGTATTAAGGACAGCTATTGCATTTTTCCGTATTATTTTCTTTTTAAGTCAAGTTTAATTTAAATCTGCAGATTAAAATTTTTAATCCAGAGTTTAAAAGATTCAATAAAGCTATTTTTGTGCGAATTAAGCAAGTGAACATGAATCAGGTTCCCGCATAATTATTCAAACTTTCAGGCAAGGACCTCTGCATGTCAATTATAGTAACATCCAGAGTCAATTTTGTTTGTAAATAAAGTGCTGTTCTTCTTATCGAGCAATAATAAAATTTATTTGAATCTCACGAGTATGAGCACTTAATTACTATCTTCTTCTCTTCGAAAATGAGACAGCAATTTAGCGTGGAAATCAAGTGCTCTTCGAGAAATAAGTCTTTAGTGTAAGTTTAGTCGTGAAATGGATGAGAAGGAACTTGACAACGTGCTGCAACAAACAAATGACAATAAAAAATGGTATCAAAAGATATCAGTGGAACCGACAATGTTCCTGTACATGATGGCATTTATGCTGACGTCTGTGGTTGAGAATGTCTTTTTTGTGTATAAATCATGCACTGTCAATCACGGATATTCGCATGAAATTTGTATAAATATTGAAAAGTACAATGAGACAAAAGCGGAAGTCCAACAAACGACAACAAAGTTCCTGCAGTATAACTCAATTGCTGGTCAAATTATTCCCATCATGCTTGCGCTTTTTATTGGTTCATTTTCGGATAGAAGAGGACGGTAAGAATCAAAATTGATTACAGAGCATATAAATTGACATTTGATGCCAATTTTGTCTGTTTTCAGCAAGTTACCGCTCGTCATGGGGTTAATTGGAAAGTTCGTTTATTCATCAATGATTGTTGTCAATAGCTTGATGACAACCTGGCCTGTTGAGTACATAATATATACAGCAACAATTCCAAGCGCAATGACTGGTGCAGACGTAGCTATTTTCGCGAGTGCATTCACATACATCGCTGATATAAGCACACAAAATGATCGTACAATGAGAATAACAATTTTGGATGTCGTTTATCTATCTACAATGCCTTCGGGAGTCTTCATCGGTATGTTGTAAACCTTCCTTCCTAATTATGGCACCTAATTAATCTCTGGCTTGATAACGTTAAATTGCAGGCAAATATCTTTACAACCACTTGAGCAAATCCTTTACTAAAATGTTTATAATCAATGCGTCGCTTCTATTCTTATCTATATTGTATTCACTCATCATGTTAGACGTAAGTGCATGAGATACAGCAATGACTAATTGAGCTTTGATGATCTTGACTCTTTGCGCATTATATAGCTTTAATCAATATTTTGTCCATCTGTCTGTATTGGTTTTTACTTAAAGTATGCACACATGCTGCTTTTAAGGAAGCAGGAACCAAATAATCAGTTCTTTTGAAAGATCCAGCGAAAAAACCGTTAAATTTTAAAAAATTTGAAAATATTTTTTGACAGTTATATTTCAAATATTTTTTGATCGTTAACTTTTAAAAACTTTAATTTTAATTGTACTTCCATCGAGCATGTGAATGACTCCACATATTCTAATATTTTTAATTGAACCTTTTCAAGTGGCAGACAACGCAAAAGCAACGACCTTTAACAGAAATTCCCAAACGACAATGGCTTACAGATTTCTTTGATAAGAAGCACTTCCAACAGTCAATAAGGTCATTGACAAAGAAAAGAGATTTTAATTACCGAACTTATCTAATTTTGATGATGGTTTCTATGGGACTTTATGCTATACAGCGTGATGAAAAGAGATACTTGTTCCTATTTGCACAGTACAAACTTAATTGGACGACCGATGTTTACAGTGATTTTAGAACGTTCCAGTCTGCTTCATATGTTTTAGTCATGCTGATTGCTGTTCCTATTTTTAACAAAGTTCTCAAATGGAAAGACACAATAATTGTTGCGATTGGAGCTTGTGGACATGCTTTTGGACGAATGTTTTTTGTTTTTGCACCAAGCACTGCTTTTATGTATGCCGGTGCAACTGTTGCTAGTTTTGGGTAAGTCTTGACTATTTAAAGTATGTTAAAGTAATAATTATTTTGATTCCAGCCCCATCGTCGCACCAGCCCTCCGTTCAATTACATCAAAATTAATTCCAAGTGATGAGCGAGGCACAGTCTTTGCCTTACTCTCCGTTTGTGATAATGCCATGCCACTAATTTCAGGGATCTTTTATTCTCAAATTTATTTAGCCACTATGAAAACATATCCTGCAGCTATTTTTTGGCTAACGATATCCTCACAAGTATTAGTATTCTCCTGCATAATGTACGTAATTATTGCTTGTATCCCAAATCTGCATAACAAGTGACTCACGTGCTAATTATAACTTTAATTGTTTCTATTTTAGGTTTATCCATTTCAACAGACGAAAGAGGGAGCACGATGAACAAAAGAAGCTCAATGATGATGCTTTAATTGAGCAGTCACCAGATAATGCAGAGAGTTTAGATAGTAAATAGTCTAGAACTTAATTTTTTACTAAGGTTGTCTAAAATCTGTAGCGATTCATGCAATTTCTAAAATAACAGTTTTTTAAAATTCAAAAAATATGTTTTCAGAACCTCACAACAATAGAAAATTTTTCCAAAACTTTACAATTGCAAAATTTTAACTGAATTTGTAGGGGTTTATACAGAAAACATTTATAAGGTTTTTACATATTCAAAAAAGAAATATCCGTTACAAATTTAAATATTTTAATTCTTTTCAACGACAATAAATTTACATCCTCAATTTTTAAAATCAAAAGTATAGTTTTTTATTAAAGCGAATTCCCGTCTTCAAAAGACCACACCAAATATTATTTTTCATACCAATATAGTCAACAAAATTAATTAATCTAGAACAATAAGTTCCTCAAATAACATGCAAAAAAATTAAATCTTGGAAGATTTTGGAATATCCAATCTAGTCAACAATTCTTTCCATGCCTTATCAGCTTGTAATTGAGAGTACTCATAACTCCATAGTGATGAAAAGATCACATTCGAATGATCCACAACAACAGAATTCTCAACTTGCGATGCTACTCGCGACTTTGCCTCATCCTCGCTTAAATTATTCCTATCCATGATTCTTTGTACAGCTACTTCAGGTGGGATGATCATTGACCATATTTCATGACATTCATTTTCCCATCCAGCTTGAATGAGAATTGCTGCCTCTAAAATTATAATTTGTCGATTTTCCTTATCATAAATATCTTTGATTATCAGCTTGGCTTTCTTTAAAAGGCTTGGCCATACAATTTCATTAAGTTTCTGAAGTCTGGTCTTATCAGTAAATACGATTGCACCTAATTTTCTTCTATCTATTCGTCCTTCATCATCTAAAATATCATTTCCAAATTCGTTGATAATTGTGTAGAAACATTCCTCGCCTGGCTCATAAATTGAATGTGCTAATTTGTCACAGTCGACGACACCTGCTCCCATTTTCTCAAATCTCTCACTCATTTTACTTTTCCCTGATGCGATTCCACCAATTAGACCTATGATGTAAGGATGTTTTGGGAGATTTGGACGTGCACGTGGCTGTTTAAATTGCGTTCCTAAAATGTCCATGCGTTGGTTTGACGAACTCACTTTTTGTTCCTTTTCCTTTAAAACTTGTTTAATTTCAACTAATGGAATGCTGTAAATCGCTAATTCATTAAAGCTCTTCTGCTTCCTAATCTCATTGACTTTATGACCACCTTTAAGTGTCTCGTCACTAACGACAATTAAGTCTAAATTTGGATCTGAAGCTGTTGGTCCGAAAGGATCTTGAATAGACACAACATCATAGCTTAATGAATCATCAATGTCTGTAAGGAAGTCTGTTACATCCTTCATTCTCGTCTTGAGCGGAAGAACAAGTTCAGGTAGCTTTTTGGCTAAAAATTAATAAGTTTTGTGGATTCCCTATTAAAATAACGAATTTCAAAATTTTGAAACTTCATTTTTACGAAAGCTAGCGGTTTTTTAAAATTTAAAAATTATACTAAGGAAAAATTTGTAAAAATGAAGTTTCGAAATTTTGAAATTCGTTATTTTAGATCATTTACATGCGATCATATTGACATCAGTTACGCCAACAACAAGTCGCTTTTGTGCTCGTAAAGCAGCCTCAGATAATAAAATTTTATGTCCAACATGTAATCGATCAAAAGTGCCTCCAAGTACGACATTATTATATTTGATTTCGCTATCATCGATAAGGCTCATTGACTGTCTGATAAATGCAAATGTGTTGTCTGTTGCCATGTTTTGAATGCGATCATCCACAAAAACTAAATCGACATTATGGGCTCTGGAAATGACATTTCCTTGATTCTTAATTGTTGACACTAAAACTCGAACATCAATATTTCCACACATTTCAATAGAACAGCTATAAATACTGCTTATTGCCTGCATTATATATGATTAAGCTATTATGTCTTGCTATTTATAATCTTGCTGGAATTACCTTTGTAAATTTTTCATACTTTAATGGCTCTTTTGGATGATAATGGATGTACAGGTATTGACCGATCTTTTTACTTGCTAGTGTTAAGGATGCTGATAATTTAGACAGGCAAGTAAGTATTAAAAGGCCTTTATTAGCCATCATTTAATTAAAAGTTTTAGGTGAATTAATTTTTTTGTCTAATTCAAAGGTCGACGGTGACTATTAGCGCACTATTCCGTAACTCAAATGAGTTATAATAGGATCCATTTGATGCAGTTTAGTAGCGCATGTCTCAATGCTGTGGATTAAAACTGTTTGACAAAAGTTTCACTTAACGGTTATTTAAAATTTAAATTTTAACGGTTTTCAAAAATTCAAAAACAGAATTTATTTTTTAATCCGAAGTTAAATCTTGAGATTAATTTTAAACCAATTTGAAAAAAGATCCAGTGGACAAAGTGAAAGCTTATCAAGTCAAATGGTCGGTTCCTCGGAAAGCAGCTACGAGATTACAACAACAATAAAAATCATTGTGAGAAAATTTTGTTTTTCTAAATTTTTGTGATGCTATATTAACTCGAATAAGTTCTAAATAGTTTATATTTATTAAAGTATATATAAAGTAAGTAATGAGCTATTAAGGACCAGAATTAAAATTCAGGAAAATTGAATTTTTCCGAATTTTTTCAGATTTTCTCGAATACATTTCACGAAAATATTTGCCGAATATCCAATAAAATGACAGAACAACAGAAATCAATCCATCAATTACTTAAGGAGAGCTCATCGTCGGAGGGATTTCAGCATGAAAGTAGTAGTAGCGTTGTTGTTATGAATGATATGAAAACAACCAGAATAATTCCAAATAATTTATCTCTTCGGACCAATCCATATAATCAAGGTATGCACATCCATTAAAGTCTGTGTATTAATATTTAATTGATCTCGCTTACAGATGCAGATAATGCATATATATCAAATCCCCATACACCTTTTAGTCCAGTATTAAGCCCATCTCAAGAATTTCTCAAGAATGGCGCTACGAAAATAGATACGATAAAAAATTGGGGTATATCAACTTATAAATGTACTCGACAGGTGATTTTGGAAAAAGTTGGCAAAACCGATCGCACAGCTAATACAGGTAGCCTGCCATAAACATTAATGGCTGTTTTTTATGTGCCCTGGATGTTATTAATTTTTAAGTACTCGCTTTCAAAAACAATGCTTATTTCGAATAACTGCGAGATAGACATCTTAGAAATATCAAAACATGGTTATGGACCCGTAACGGGCCCCGTTCAGTGTAAAACCAAAACCCTCTCAAAACTCTCCATTTTTTGAGACTAAGGTTTTTCAATTCTAATATAAGTATAATTTCAACCTTCAGAACCGTACAATTTCCTTCTATTTCATGATGCATATGGCTACAATCAAAACTCTCTAATTCAATGTAATTCCCATGCAATTTGCATAAAAAGTCAGGAAAAAATTAATTAAAAAGGATCCTCTTCTGCTTTTTGGTTGAAATTACATACTTCACAAATGCAAAAAACCAACTCGGTAGAAAGTGATTGAGTTTTAGCCAAAATTTTCTCATTTAAGCATTTAAGAGATATATAGTAGAGATTAATCTTTTTTTCAAATAATTAATTTTAGATGCTCTTGCGGAAGCCTTTTCAGACCTTGCACAAAAGTCGCCAGAATTGCAAGAAGAATTTCTGTACAATGCAGAAACTCAAAGGAATTTGACAAAAAATGGTGAAATTCTCTTAAATGCAATCAACTTTTTCATTTCGTCCGTTAATACTCTGTGTAATAAAACAATTGAAGACAGTAAGTATCTAGTGAACTAGTGACAATGTTCATGTGTAATTAAATAATTATCACTTTAGCGTTAATAACGATACGTCAGTTTGAAAATGCTCGAATTGAGTTCGATGCGTGGCGAGGAGATGTTCAAATGTCTACCGGACCAGCAAATGAGGACGTGCAAAGAAATTTTAGTAAGCATAAGGAGAGTTATGAAAAATTAAAATCTGACGTGATGGTTAAAATGCAATTTCTTGATGAGAATAGAGTAAGTCACATGCTGATTAGATAATCTTTAGACTATGTTTTAAATTATTCTATGTTCATAGATCAAAGTCATGCACAAACAATTGCTGCTTTTCCATAACGCAATCGCTGCTTATTTCTCCGGAAATGCTACCTTACTTGAAGCTACAATAAAGCAATTCAGCGTAAGTAGTTCTTACCAGGGGGAAAACTACTTGGATGGTAAAAATTTTTATGGAAAATTTACCATTTTTTCCCATTTTTTGTGGGAAGTTTCCTATCATAATGTGGGGAAAATGGTAAAAAATGGGGAAAATGAGAATTTTACCTTTTTTCCCATTTTTGACCATTCAAGTAGTTTTCCCCCTGGTTCGTACCTCAATTGTGAATTATCCCTAATATGACTTGACCCATTGTAGATCAAGAGCCCCAACTCAACAAGTTCATCATTTCTCGAACATTAAGATCTTAAAATATAGAATAGAATTGAATTCAATAATCAATGAATTGCTGCTTATTTATTAACATATAATTGAATGAATGGTGGACACATGGAATCATCTTGACATATATGAATCTTCATTTCGAAAGAAAGGGAAATGCTTAGATTTTCTATAAAAAAGAAGCATTTTATTTATTAATTCCATATATCCAATTTTTATGTTGTCGACACACAATGTAATTTTTATAATGAAATTACAAATACCAAAATGATGAGAAGAAATCATTGCTACGTACTTTTCACTGCTTTTATAAATCTATTATACACAATGTATATCCAATTTTTATCAAAGACATTTGGACTCTTTTTTAGTTATAGATAGCTTAGCTAATATTAAGAGCTACTTAACTTTTAATTTACACTAAATTATTGACAAAAAAATCGAAATTTCCTAGTCTATGCAATCCTGAATTATTATTTTTTTAATCCTTATTTAAATGATATTTATGAAATTTATGTAAAACAGTCTCTTTTGAGTTGAAGCAAATAAAATATCAATGTAACATATACACAAATTGCAACCTAGACTTCATCTGAGTGAGTTATTAAAAGAGTGTCTTAATTATAGCTTCAGATTATTACTAAGTGTGACAGATCAGTGATTCATCTGAAATTCATAATGAATGAGCATTTTGATTATTCACAATTATATTAAATTGCTCGCATTTAGTAAGTTTTTTTGCTCCATACAAGTTGTAAATGGGAGTCAGTTCAAATTTATAACGGACATTTTGAATTTAAAAAAGCTTTTATTCCCTTTCAAAAGTGCGCGAAAATCATCAAAATTTTCATTCTCTTCTCAATCATCGAAGAGATCAGACGTGTTTGCAGAATTGGTAAGTTTTATAATTGTTTAGAAACATTTTACATAAAGTAACTTATTTTACAGATGTTGTCCTCGTATTACGGAAAATAAGAGCGAATATAAAGTATGTAAACAAGAATTGAGTTAGTAAGATACACGAAAACGCAATTCAATAATCATATTTCATGTTTAGTAAATTTCGTCCTTTGATGACTATTATGAGCAGCTCTACTGAGTCACAAAGTAGAGATAATAAGAATAACGAGTAAAGAATATTCGTACTGAGCAACAATGAGCAATGACTCAGTCCGTCTGCTCTTTTCCTTCCCCCAAATATCTTGAGTTTTTTCTGCTGAGAAGATGTAAAAAATAATTTTATTAAAATTTTCGCGTTATATCGAAAGAAAAGCTATTGAAAATAGTCAAAAAGTGCGTATGAGTATACTAAGTTATGAAATTGAGTGGTTTTAGAAAGAATTTAATTAAATTAAAGGAATAAAAGTGAAAAACATGAATTGCAAAAAAATAACACACCCTTTCTCTCAACCTACGTAATTTTTGATATCTTCATTATTTGCACAATTATAGCTAATTATTTTGTCACTTGCCGATTATTTAGCTCATAAAAGTGTACTTCTGAAAATTTCATTAGTCATATTGATGAAAAGATTGGATTAAATTAATTTTTTCTTCACAGGAGGTGAAGTTTATGTATAAGAATGTCCAAATATATAGGTCATGTATAGTTTGACTATATAATAGGACAATCTCCAGAAACAAACAAGTCTCACTAGAAATTGAATCATTCAATAATAAAGCAATAATTTTAATTGCCCTCCTAGACACAATCAGAATTTTTTTCCTATAATCTAATAATCCAATTTTTATAATTCAATTAAATTTCCATTAAAAAAAATATCTTTATCAAAATTGATGAATGAAAAAAATGTTTAAGAGCAATGTTCTCTATGCGAATGCGTAGAAGATATCTTCTCCTTTTTTTATGATCAAGTATATATGTCGATGAGGATGAGGAGCACAACATAAAGGAAGAAAATGAAAATAAAAATAAGGAACATAAAAATCATTCATACATCTTGTGAGAGAAAGAAGAAACGTACGAAAGAAAATAAGAAGAGTATTTCCTTTGTGTTCCTCGTGATGTGCAAAGTGAATCAATGAAAAATTCTTTATTATTATTATTATTATCATCATGAGATACTTATGTGCAATTTATCTAATTTTTCTTCCTTCTTTCTATCATTCTGTCATTATAGTGTAGTTGAAAGTTTATGGGGAAAGGAGGTTTATTAATATAATGATGATAAAAAAATATATATGTATACACACATGAATAGATGAAATAATTTGTTAAATTGATAAAAGTTAAAAAAAAATAATAAATTTATATATAAAACGAGTTAAAAGAGAAGAGAAGAATATGGATATTCTATAGTGATCGTTATTATTGCAAAAGACATTTTGTGTTACTCGTTGGCGATTTTCAAAAAATCATTAAATTCAAAATAAGAAAAATTTATCTATTCAAAAATTTATTGGATTAAAAATCGATGAAACAAAAATGTCTCTAAATTCATTGGGTACATCGAATGGTGGACTGCCTAGCAGTCGAATGACACATTCACTTAGTACACCATCTGGAGTTGATGGATCAGCAACAACAAATCATACGCGTGGGGGCGGTAAGAAGCTCGCCGTTCGCGTTCAAATGCTTGATGACTCAATGACGTTATTTCAAGTTCAGGTATGTCGAATCATATTTGGTTATTTTTTTTTTCTTCGGTTTTTATTTTATTTCTGCGATGGCATGTAAAACGAAATTTATTTCAGGCAAAAGCACTAGGAAAAGTATTATTTGAACAAGTCTGTAGACAATTAAATCTGCTCGAAGCGGATTATTTCGGTCTAGAATATACGGAAAGTTCAACTGGCACTAAATATTGGCTAGACTTGGAAAAAACTCTTAATCGTCAAGTTGGATTTTCACTCATTGATCCCTTATTGAGATTTTGCGTAAAGTTCTATGCAAATGATCCAACACAACTCGAGGAGGAATACACAAGATTTTTATTCTGTTTGCAAATCAAACGGGATTTGGCTACAGGAAGTTTACAATGTAACGATAACACAGCAGCACTTATGGCTAGCTATATCGTTCAAGGTAGTTTACATTATCATTCCTTTTACCGACAGACTATTAATAATGATAATAAATTCACAGCATCTTGCGGCGATTATTCTTATGAGGACTATCCAGACCATACCTATCTATCCTCGTATAGATTTGTTCCTCAACAGGATCAAACATTGCAACGTAAAATAATGGAAAATCACAAAAAACATGGGTCAGTTATTTATTCATATAAATGCTCATAAAATTCAAAATAACCCATAAAAATTAATTAAACTTATAGTGGACAATCCCCAGCTGAAGCAGATTTGAATTTGCTTGAAACAGCACGTCGCTGTGAATTATATGGAATGAAAATGCATGCAGCAAAGGATCACGAAGGAGTTCCATTAAATCTATCGGTTGCTCATTTTGGTATTGCTGTTTTTCAGGGCATAACACGTATTAATACTTTCTCATGGGCCAAAATTCGAAAATTATCTTTTAAACGTAAAAAGTTTTTGATAAAATTACATCCGGAAGGATATGTGAGTTGTAAAATTTTAATTTTATAGACTTCTCGTTATTGATTTTATGCCTTCTATGCCAACTTCATTTAACAAAACAGGGTTACTATAAAGACATTGTGGAATTTTTCTTTGACGGACGAAACGAGTGCAAAAACTTTTGGAAGAAATGTGTTGAAAACCATGGATTCTTCCGATGTCAAGCAGTTCAAAGTGTTCCACGTCGAAAGACTAGAGTAAGATTGATAAATTTGAGCTCTCGAAAGGTTATTCTGAATTATTAATGAACCTTTTTCGTTTGCATATATTTCAGGTATTATCTCGGGGAAGCTCTTTTCGGTAAATTGAACTCATCAAATACTCTTAAATATTCATATCCATTACATAATATATATTTTGAATTGTCATTATCTTCTCAAAAAAAAAAAAACAGCTATAGTGGAAAGACTCAGAAGCAAATTATCGAGTTTGTTCGTGAGAATTATGTAAAGCGTCAAACTTTCCAAAGGTATGAAAAAATTCCTTCAACTAATATTCGTAGCCATCTTATCTTTATTACTTCTATATATGTAAACATCATTCTTATTTTTCTTTCTTATCAGAATTATTATGCCGCGTCTTATGTTGCAATTAATACATATTGTACTTGATAAAAATGAATTATAGAATTCACCCATATTTTTATTTGATACGACAAAATTTATGTAATGTGTTTTGTAGGCAGGGCTAGTGATTTATGTGCCAATTTAATTAACTTCTGAACTTTTTCAAACATCCATTTCCATTTTTTTTTTGTTTAAAACGATTTCACTTAACTCCTTAGTAAGCAGTTGAGTTAGGAGCCGTTCACTTATTGCGTTACGCAACCCCCCCCCCCCCCTTGTTACAACATGTTACAACTCACAACCCCCCCCCCCCCTGAACGTTCATAATTCAAATTTTTTTCGTGAACTTTTTTTAAAAGACAGACGACAGTTAGAACGTTACATACTTCTTGACAACCCCCCCCTCCCCCTTTGTTACATTTTGTTACAATTTTTCAACCCCCCCCCCCCCTCCCCCCTAAAATGCGAACGTAATAAGTGAACAGCCCCTTAGCATATACAGTAAAAAGATTTACGTACAGGAAGCACTAAAATGTGTGCAAATTTCAAAGAAATCCAGCTCTTAACTAAATTATTAGGAGATATTTTTATGGGTTTAAAATAAACACGTTTCAAAAGTGATAATAAAAATTTGGTATACAGTTGGTGATTCATGAACACATGCATAAGTATTGTCAATGATTTTGTTTATAATTTGAAGTAATTTTTTTATTATTCAATTTTTTTTATGGTTTATTTTATATGATTTTTAATGATTAAGTGATAATGTTGTGTGTGAAAGAAAAGAGAAGAGGATTTTTATATTCTTATTTTAATTTTTCAATGATCGATTAAGTTTGTTTCAAGCCAGATTAAAAATAAACTAAAATAAATCAAATAAATAAATAATAAGAAAATAGCTACGTCTAAATTTAAATCTAAATCGATAAAACGAAATAATAATAACAAAAATTAATTTAAAATGACGTCAGGATGAGAGAAAAATAAGATTAGATGGACATGAATTATTAATTAAGGCAAAGTTTCTTATTAGCTATTTTGTTATATATTTTTAATGCACATTTCAGTGACAATTTTATATCCTAAGGGGTCGATCATAATTGTTATATTTTTTCATATGTATCTCAATGTCCTCTTATCTTTTCTTGTCCCCGTAGGTCTCAATCGTTTCGTCAGAGTACATTACATGCAAGTAAAAGAAGTCAATCACAAAATGCTGTTAATACAAGCATCTCAGCACATCCTTTACTTCCTATTGAGACCGGTTTGTATTATTTATTTGTTTATATTTGCATTTTATAGCTGCTTATTTATTTTTATATGTTTGTCTCTCGTCATCATGTTTCGATATTTCCTTTAATTTATCATAAACTTTTGTTTTATTCATAAAATCAAAACTTATTGACTATTTCCTAAACTACTTTCTCATAGCGGAATGGGAGGCTCGCAAGAACAAAGACCAGAAGACGCCTTCTCAGAAGATGAAGATGGAAGTGGATACGGAGATAATTCACCAACAAGAAACTCCTACCCCATACAGTCGGGCGATCATCACAACAGCGGAGAGCTATCAGACGACGAAATCGGAGGATCTAATTCGCCGCCCGAGCCAACAAGTGGATTCGAGTCTCTCTGTATCTCCAGCGGTGACTACTCCCCCACGCAACATCATCAACAATGCGCAAGAAGTCGGTCGGGTTCATGTGCTTCCAGACGATCGCAACAACTTAGCCAATTCCGGTGAGTTTGTTCACTGTTCTTATCATCTTCATTTATTTATTATTTACTTTTCAAAACACACATATTTATTATAAATAATTAAGTTTAAGAGGAACAGACAAAAATTATTTTTAAGATCAATACACAATACATATAATTTTATGAATATATTTTCAAAAAAAAAATCATATCGGATAAACACGACAGATAATCGTTATTACTTTAGTTGATGCATCATTATCTCTCAATTGAGTACACACACTTATGATTTGACATTATATGTATGTATAATTAAGTGGCATTTATATCATCTTGAATGTGTATATATATACGAATATTAACATGCACTCACACCTTACTAGCACGGAGCTTCCATTCTCATGCCAACTCGTCCCCCAAATATACTCATCCCAACAATACATCCACCATCCATTATCAACGGCACCCACACTTGGTGGATCGCAACAATTCTACAGTGGAGACAGAAGCGTCATCGACCAGTCACGAGAGTATAGCGGACACTTCACACCATTACACGCTGGATCAATCAATGGATCATGCCACATTAGCCCGTTATAACAACACGAGTACCTATTCGATGTCTAATGCGTTAAGTAATAAATTTGACGTTAGTACAGGTACAGATCTTTCGGACATCGAAGACATCGATAATATAATTTATTCTGATATTAATGACTTACATAAGTTGCAAGAACAGCAGCAACAATTAAGTAGTAGTAATAATAATAATGCTAGTAATAATAATAATAATAATACTCATACTATTCAAACACAAACTTCAAGCGATATTAATAGCTATGAACGTGATCAAGTTTTAAATGATGATATGGATGATGATGATGACGACGATGAAATTCAACCGTATGTTTCAAGAATGTCTTTACAGAAAATGACGAGTAGTCAACCATTAATCATAAATAATAACGATTTATATGCCACGATTGATCGTAAAGCAAAAACTAAAGCAATTAAACCTCTTTTAGTGACAGACGATAGTGACATGGGTGACTATTGTGGTAAATCCGATATGAAAAATAATGCCAAAAATTATTCGAGTGAATTTATAGACAATAGTATTAGGAATATAACAAATGTACTTAATAATATTGAAAATTATCAATATGCAGCTAGTCTTAATTATAATAATGATGGAAGTTTGTCAAGTTATTATCCGAAAGATAACGATTCACAATTTCACTCAAACACGACACATTCTGACCATTTCTTAAGATACGATAACGGTTTTAATCGCGCAAATATAAATTCTAATTCCCTTCCACGTACCACTGAGATTTCATGCATAGAATCTTTAGATTCATACGATAGTCATTATTTAACACATAACGCTTCATTGGGTAATTTAGATACTAACTCTACGCTTCACTATGCTAGCTTAATGAAACCCGATAATCAAATTTCATATTATGAAGCACAATCAACGCCTCGAAATATTTATTCAACATTACAAACTGACGATTATGAGGATGATGTTGAATTCTCAAAAGACCATGAATTGTATGAATTAGAGTATAAGAAACCCGAATATGGATTTATGACATCGGAAAGAGAATTTCTTACAAGTGATCGAATTGATTCGCCAGTAACCCGTTATGATGATGATTTTCGACGTTCAAATTACGAAACGAATCGTAAGTTCTCCATGGATGTTAATGAAGACTTTGAATTACCTGAAACGAAAGTGTATTCGTCGAGCTATCCAGGAACAACTTATAATACAATTGATCAGCATTTCAAGCGTAACACTTATTCGCAATATGAATTCAATGGTTCACAAGATCTTTCTCATGATAGTTATGAGTTGCTTGAGAAGTCCGATGACGATTTCTATTATAAATTTAAAGGCAATGCAACGAATGACCATCATGCAAGATCGTGCTCATTAGATTCAGGAAATTTCATTTCCACTGATTACGAAAGTGATGCAGAAGAAAAGCACGGATATGGCAATAAATATCGAAATTCATTTGAGACAAAGAGTCGAAGTGCTGCTGATATTATGAATGATTTCTTTCTTTTTGACGACCCGAGAGATTTACCGAAGGAAAAGTTGTGCGTTAAATCAGACGGAAGCTTTTATAAACATGTTAAGGAAGCGATGGGAATTCGCACGTCTAGTCAAGAATCACACAGCGAATATCACGATTCAAAATTATCAAAAAGTAGCAATTCAAGCAAGAAATCAAAAGATAGCGTGTATCATACAGACAGTAATAAAAAGTCTAGAGAAACATTGAAAAGTAAGTCAGGATCTGACTACAATGCTTCAAGTCCGGAAGAAATTTTCCTAGTTGGTGAGCTGTTAAATCGAAATAACTACGAAATGCCAACAACAACAGCTAAAAAGACAAAAAGTCTTAAGAAAATGATTGAAAATAGTTCAAGGAACTCAAGTGTCGACTCTAGAAGTGAATATTATGAGACAAAAGGTAATTCACAGAGCTTTGATGATGAATCTACACAGCCAAAAGTTTTGTCACATGACAATCTCGTTATGGAAAGCTTTGATTCAGCTACAAACTTCGATAATCAAATCCACTTTTCAACATTTCCAAGTAACCATAAAAGTAATTCAACCGTTAAAACCAGTCACGTACAATCAATTAGCTTACAAAATGTGGAAATTGAACGAAATGTCAAAACTTATTCAACATTCAAAAATTATGCACAAACACCTAAGGCCACTACCCTCGATAGCTATACACCGAAAAAGACACACATTTGGCCCGAAGAAATTGAAGGCTTGCAGACAGAAGTATCTAGCATTGATCGAAGTAAAAATTATCGCAAGCGCTCTGACGGAGAAAATAACATATTTAGCTTCGATAAAGATAAAATTGAGTCACTAACGTCATCTCAAGATAATGAAAATGTCATATTTGATAAGCCAAAGAAGAGTCCGGATTATCCATTGACATCTGAGTTATTGTCAGAATTTGATAAACAAAAGATTGAGTCACCTAATGCTAAGCCTAAAATAGTAAGCAGAAAAGAAGAATTGATGGCAAAAACTCATTTTGAAGAATATAATCCAAAATTAATGATAGATACAAAGATTCAATTACCATATCCCCACGCAACTGTTGAGAGAACAAAAAGTGATCCGAATTCGCTTGCTAATCGACCTAGACTTACTGCTAATTCACGTCGTCATACGCTTATGCATCAAAAATCTATAGATTTAACTCCCGCTGATTCTAGTGAAGATGAATACCTTTATAAACAAATCCCAAGTGCCCCACCAGTCATTAGAAATCATCCTCATTTCGAGCTTCCACAAAAATATGATCCAAGTATCAATTTCGATTTACCACCAAACTTTATTAAAGATTTTGCTAAATGTAGTCAACTTAAAGAGGATATTCCTTATGTATTACACAAACGTCATATTATGAATGGAACAGCACCGTCTCCAAATCGCTTTCCAAAGCCTAAAAGTCCAAAGTCTCCAAAATCACCAAAGAGCCCGAAATCTCCTAAAATTGATAAAGCTACAGGAGAAGCTAAGTCCACATCCCAAGACTTTCTATTTACTAAAAATATTGATTTATCAAAAGTTGATATAAATACACTCGAGCAGAAGGAACCGACGACTGTTGTTAATTTGAGCAGCCCAAAACGTGGAATATCTAAGAAACTAGATCCTAAGACATTGGAAGCTCTCAACAATAAACTTAGTCAGATTGAGAGTGACTCAGCTACAAGCTCAAATAGTGCTCATAAAGTAATTCATATAAAGCCTGACATTGCTATCACAACTAAAATAGATCCAGCAACTATAAAGAAGGAAGCAATTTTGTCTGGTAAACGTGCTGTGAAACCACGAACTGGTCAAATTAAGAACAAAAATCATTTAAAGACTCGATCGAAGACAAAAACCAGAATCACATCATTCTCATCTGATGATGAAAGTATTGATTCCGATGATGTATTTGGATCTGCCGAAGCTATGCCAACAAAAATGGAATTTAGCCCACCTCAATCGAGAAAAGAAATTGAACCGATATTAAAGCATGAACACAGCAAGCTCTCACAAGCTGCATGGGCAAGAGGTCAAACGATGAGCTCAACTGAGGTTGAAGGCTCACCACCTCAAGTCCGTAAACTTGCTGATCTTGAAAATCGATATCATACTCACAAATTAGATACAAACTTTATGACTTCATCAGAATTAAGAAGAATATCAGAACGGTCTATATCCATACCAAGTTCTGAAGAAGATGCCAATCAGAGTACTTTGAAATGTGAGCCACAAACTGAAATTTATAGAACAACTGAGAACTTGGCAGAAATTGTAGATGAGGAAGAGCCAATAGCAAAGGAAGAATTGGTAGATAAAGAACCAGCTCCAATTGTCAAAAAAGAAATTGTTCCAAAAAGTAAAGCAAAGATTCTTGAGGAACTAATTGATTCATCTATAATAATGAGATCAAAAGGTCATGCACCTGTCTTATTTGCTCATGCGAGGTTAAATCTATCAGAAGGATCTGCATTTGCTTCATTGCAACGACAAACAGCACACGATTCCCCAACATCGGGTCGTAGAGCTAAAAGCCTCGATACACCTGTCATATCTTTACATCGCTTACCACCAATGAATGCATTCTCATCAAAAGATGACACAGTTGCATTTGAAGAAGAAGCAGAGACATTGGAAATAAAGCATTTAGACAGCAGTGGAAATGAGAAAGAAAGTCAAGATTTCCTTGTTTGTGAAAAATCTCTTTCACCAATGGAACCAAAGCTTGAAATCATCGAATCATTTGTTGTCATTGAAGAGGATGAATTGGAACTACTTGATAGATTAAAATATATAGAAAAGATTACACTACAAGGTGTGAAAATTAAGGAAAAGAGAAAGTCTCGAACTCAAACTAAAGGTGGGAATCAACTTATTCTGGAAATTCCAAAATACAAATTTGAGCCATTCAGTTCAGGAAATAGTTCGTTGAGAACATCTCCAGCTGTAAGTCGAGCAAGCAGTGCTGAAAGAAGCTCATCACAAAAGAAAAGTGATACTGCATCGCCTACAAATACTTCGAAAAAGCCACCAATAAAGCCTGGAAGAAGTGATGCAAGAAAGTCACCAAAAATTGATAAAACTGGAGACAAGCTTAAAGTTCCAGGTGATACTTTACAACAAGCTGGTACTAAAGAACGTTCAAAATCATTAGAAAAGGTTTCATCGAAACGTTTTAATATCGCAAAGGAACGAAAATCAATAACAGAAGAAACTGAACTTGAAAAAGCAAAACGTAAAGAACGTCAGCAAAGACTCTATGAATCAGCAATGAAACAAACAATCAATATGTTATCACCAGTTAAAGATCAATTACCTCCATTTCCATTGGTTGAGGATAAAATATCAGTTAAAAAGGAAGGTGATAAAATAATTATAGACACTGAGATGAAAAGTAAGCCAGAAGATCACGTTTTAATAGCAAAATCCCCTCGGAAATTAGATAGTTCATTAGCAAAATTTAGTCGTAGCTGTGAAGAAGGCAAGAGTATTGAGAAATTGGATAAAGCAAATCGAAGTTTTGAAGACAGGAATAAATCATTTGAGGATTCTGAAAAGTCTTCTGATAAATCTGAAGATGCAAATCAGAAAAGTATTCTTACCAAAAAAGAAGAATTAAAGCGAGAAATAGAAGGTGCTGTTGTACATAAGAAAATGACTGGCAAATCTAGAAGTTTAGAAAAGAAAACTGAACAAACTTCATTTATAGATGCAAGAAATAAGACAAAAAGCTTAGATAATTATGCAGATACCTATGAACCTAGTTTTAGATTAGATCTTACAAAAATTAATAAAGAAGTTAAGGAAGCACTTATCAAAAAAGAAACAGAACAAAAGCAGACAAAAGAAGAAAGAACAGTCGTGTCAAAAGCAACAAGCGTGGATAATGGGAAAGTTCAGCAAACAAAGCAGCATTATATTGATAAACGTGCCATATCATACCCGGATAATTATAATGATATTGACATGCAAGCAGTTATATCCGAAAGAAGAACCTTAGATTTTATGAAAAAGCAATCAGAAATGGATGAAGAAAGCTCATTGACAACAGTCAGTGAAATTAAGGAACAACCGGCTGACAGCTATTTCTTTTCACGAATACCAACAATTGAATGCAAAGGCCCATCTATTGAAGAAGAGGAAAGATCAATAGAAATGCCTCCTGATGCTCATGACCTTGTTAAAGAAATGGACGAGGATGAAGAAGAAGATGACGATGACGATGAAGAAAATGAAAATAAATCGCAAAAAAACAATGAGAATAGAAAAAGAACTGGTTCGGATGACTTGTCAGATTTAACGAAATGTACGGACGAGAAAAGTAAACAAGAGCAATTGCTTTATCAAGCACAAGCAGCCAATAGAAGAAATTTCCTTAAACTAAGCATTGAAAAATCAAAAAGTTCTGATTCAAGTATTGATAAAGATAGAGAAACGACAAAGCCTGAAAGACAGGATTCTAGTACAAGCAATAAAGAAAAAAGTTCGATTGAAGAAGAATCAAGTGTAAGCTGCTCAATAGCAAAGCCTTTGGGTATTTCTGAAGACTTTATTGATCCCAATGAACAGAAAAGGTGCAGAGAGTTGTTTGACACAATGCTTAAACTTGAGAAAATCGAAGAAGAAAGCAAACTTCCGAAAAAATCGTCACCAACTTTGGAAAAGCAATTTCCAATTGATTTGGGATCTGGTTCAGATTTAGACTATACAGATCCTGTTGAGGAGAGGATTTCAAAAATATTGGAAAGAAATGACCATGAAATCAAACTAGTCAAGCCTAAGATACAAAAGCCACCGAGAGATTTGTCAGCATGTAAGAAAGTAACAAGAACAATACCATTTGAAGACCTATCACAGCCACCTGAGCAGCTACAAGCGAAATTAAACAGTCATAAATATTTAAATGCTACAAACAGCGGAAGTTCATTGGAATCAAAATCAAGTGTGGATTCAAAAAGTTCATTGAGCGTTGAATCGAAAGAATCATTTGAAACAGAAAGTAGTTCAGGGTCATTAGGAAAGGCACAAAAGCGCGGAGATCTTGTACAAATGCAAATGCAACCAACTTTCAAGTCGTTTCAAATTGAAAGTTCAGGCTCATCGAATGAAGATCCAAATTGGCATCCTGATAAAGAAACTTATGAAAACTTTGACATTGTGGAATCTCCATCAGATACAGGTGGTGAGGAACATACAGCTAAAGAAAGTGACTCTGATTATCAAGAAGATCCAAATGATTATCAGCAGCCATATGCTTGTAGTTCCGAAACATCCAGCACTTCAACTTTGAGTGTTAATGCAAACTCGTTAGGAACTCTTGGATATGGAACAGGATTTGCTATTGGACGGACACTATCAAGGATATCAGAAAGAAGCACAAATTCAGAAAAATCAAGCAACGAAGAGGAAAAGACAAGTATCGAAGAAGACATTAGTAACCACGAGGAAATAATTGAGGAAGAAATGGAGGAAGAGGAAGAACATTCTGTAGCATCAAGTGATCATCAAGCAAGTATGAGTTCAGACATTCAAAGTAATTCACATCAAGCTTACATATCAGATACGGATCGTAGAACCTCTGCAGAAATGCCCGACATTCCTTGTGATACAGCTGCTGCTGAGAGACTTGCTGAATTATATTACAAAAATAATATGAAAAAGACAGGCAGATTTTCTGTATCCAATGTTGAAGAAAGCGAAAGTAGGAATCGATTGAAAACTGATATTTTAGCAGGTTCAGGAAGTAGTCAAGAGTCTGAAGATTGGCCATTGCCAGAGATCCCAGAAGATTTACAAAGAGAGCAGCAAAGCTTTTTGGAACGAATGGGTGATAAACCCATACCAAAAACATTCTCTTGGAGAAATAGCACATCTGGGATTCAGTCGCAAGACTCTGAAATATGGCCATCACCGCCATCAAGTGTAATTGAAACTCCTGTAATCGAAAATGTTCAAACGTTTTACATGAACGAACCTCAAAAGGCACAACCAGTTATGATTGAGTCATTTACTGATACACAGAATGACGATGATGATGATGAACCGGACTATGCAGAAGTTGCAGAAATCGCACCAGATCCACCACGTAAAGATTATGAAATAGTAATTCCAGGACCGAGTGTTCCATGTGATCCCAGAACTTCTCCAAAGATTTCTGTCATTCAACCTTATGAAGATTCATTTTTCATGTCTACTGAACCATTTAAAGCTTCCCCCAAAGAAAAGAGTGGATGTTTCGAGTCACAAATGGCATCTGCAAATTGTTTGAAATCAACATTGAGAATCTGTGCCCCAAAACCTTTAACTGGATTAGGTCAGCAGCCTAGAAGTCCAGATAAAGTAATTATTACTCAACCAAGTCGAAGTAATTCTAGCGCACTTCTAAGTCCTTTGTCGGAAGATGAATTCATGCTTTCAGATGAAGTTTTTAGTCCTGGCACAGTAAAGATTGAAATATCACCAGATAATGATGGTCGACTATTGGACTTTGGTTTCCAGCAAAAATTCTCTCGTGGCTCAGATACATCAATTGATGATATGCTTTCAGCGTCATTAAGTACTTTAGATGATTCACGTCGTGGAAGTTTAGAACCAAGAAGATTAAGCAGTGGATCTTGCAAGAAATGCAGCGGTGGAAGTCACTCTGAAGAAGAAACAAGTTCTTTCGGAACTGATCTTGATGGTACAGTTAAAATGGGAATTCCAGCAAGAAGATGCACTCATAGCTCACACTCTGAAGACACGTCAATCGGATTAAGTTTGTCTGAATGGTCAACGGGAACAAATACAGTTCGTCAATATGCAAATTTGTCTGGTTCCGATAGTATTTCAGCACAATCGAATCCATCGAATGCAGTTAAAAGCGAAAAATCAAATAATACAAAATCGAGCGTTAGTTCTATCAACAAATCAACAGAAAGTTTGAATGAGAAAAGCATGAGTTTATCATGCGGAAAAAATCTTGCATACTCATTCGAAAACAATCTCTCTAAAGACCCAAGTTCTGACACTGATAAAATTACTTCATCCGGAACAAATGATGAATCAACATTAACACTGACCGAAATGGTTCACAGTATGACTTCAGAATGGTCAACAAGTACAAGTCAAACACTTGTTGAACATGATTTCAATAAAAAGCAACAAATGGATCAGAAATTTGTTGAAAAGGGAAAAACAGCTATTGAATACATGCCTTTAAAACCACCGAAAAATGTCAAGAGAATTGTTCCATCATCAAATGATAAAACAAATGATAACATTGCAGGAATTCATCAAACTGTTTCAAAACCAATTATTGTTGCCGAGAAACCAAAACCACTTGTCAGTTCTAAGCCAATGATTAAAATACCACCAAAAATTGTGGATGTAATTGAAAAACCAAAAATGTATCCAAAACCAAAGATTCCACCTCCACCAGTTGATAGTTTGGATAAACCAGATCTAATTCCTGAAAAGTTCAATCAACCACAACAATGCAAAAGTCAAGAAGTATCTGAATCTGAATCGTATAGTGATAAATTATACAATCAAAGTGACAAACTGACTGAACGATATCAAAGTCAAGAGTTTTTACCATATACAGCAACACCTAGCACGTCAAAACCACTAACCAAACATCATAGCTACGACGATAAAACATTGTCAAAATCACAAATTCGTGAATATAAATCTTCAAAGGTGCGTCAAAGTCAATCATTCCATGAACATTTATTATCGTCTGATTTAAATAAAATTGAAGAAGAAAAGTTGAGTTCGTCAACCACGACTCATACAAGTGAGACGACAAGTGAATCATCTCCAATGTTCTGTCGTCCTGGCAAACTGATTAAATGTTCACCATATTATTCGAGTAGTTTAAGCTCGGATACACCATCAATTCATCAAGCAATCCTTAAACCACCACGAAAAATCTCAATTCCGAAAACTTTAGAGCCACAAAGTTCAAATGATACAGATAGTTCAATGGATTTCCATCAGATGGAAGCAGCAAGAGCTCGAGGATATCGTAAAAAGAAACAAATTCCATTAACAAAGAGAATTAAGATGGATAGAGCAGCAGATTACTTAGAAAGCTCTGAATGTTCTGATATTCCAGACATACATTCAAGTAGTTCTGATAATGCTCGTCGCTATCCTGACTTTGAGGAAGAAGATGAAAACTTACAAGAAGAATGTGAAGATTATGGATTTAAAATTGACGGCTCATTCCCAAGCACATCAACGAAATTCGAAACGCTCGATTTATCAGAAAATGTTGATGAAATGGGATTTCCTAAATACGATAGACTTCGTCAAGTATCAAACATTCCACCTCAAAAGCCTGCACGACAAAAGAAGAAAATTCAACAAAAAGTCGTCTATCCAAGTGTTCATTATTATGGGCAGGACAGCGGTAGTGGAACAGAAACAAAGGCTGGATTATCAGATGATGTTTACTGTTCAAGTGAAGATAGCTTCGCAGCAGGCTTTAAACATTTAAAAGCAAATTCTAATACTTCATATAAAAATATTGAATTACCTTATCCTGATTTTTTGTCTGATTACGATGATAATGAAATGGGCGCGGTTGGGTATAGCAAAAAGAATGATTCCGAAAAGAGTTTCGATTCCGATGACGAAGAATTGAGTGAAAATAGAAAGTATTAAATAGTTTTCGATCTAATTAAAGAATTTCAATTTCATTATACCGATTTAATAAATTGACAACTTCCTTATAGTAAGTATTTAGTCGCATCAGTCACGCATTAAGCACATAATTAAGATATATTTAAAAAATCTAATTAATTGAACAATTTTCTTATATTTATATGAAGAAAAGATTTTTCTAAAATATTTGCAACGATTTAAAAATGACAAGATAAGATTTAGTAAAATTCGAGATCTCATTTTGATTTACTTAATAAATATAGTTATTTTAAATGCTACAGAGACATACGTTATAGATTCAGCATAAAAATAAATTTCTAAAACCAAAAGAATGGTGAAAAAAAAATCAAACATAAAATGAAATCAAAAAAAAAATTTAGATAAAATAATAGAAATAGAGATATGAGCAGATGCTAATTGAGTTTAATTGCCAAATATTTGCGGAAGCAGACTTATTTAACAATTTAATTGAATTCTCATCTGACAAATATAATAATAATAATTAAATATATTCTTATTGATTCTTTTTTCATTCAAATTTGAGCTCAAATAAATTAAAATTTTTTCTTTAAATTAACTTTTTCAATCAATTATACATCGTACACATATTTAAAGAAGTGCCAAATTTTAATTTTAACATTTATTTAAGAATAAAAGTTGCTATCAACCTCTACCTAGTAGAACTTACTATGATATAGATCTGCCAAAAAAAATAATAAATTTATTCTGAGGGTTTTAAAGACTTTTGAATTATAGAAATTATTCTAGTGAGAATCTTATTGATTGTATGACTTTAAAAAAAATTATAACTGAATGTTTAATATTTAAATGAGAAAATTTTATGAATAGATTGGATGACAAAAAAATTTTACGTTTTAATTGTTTCGTTGAACGAAAATTTAATTCATGTTGAAAATTTTGCGAAAAAAAAATTTAAAAAAGTTCTTGTTTTTGTCGGCATTTTTGTGCACAAAAGTAAAAAAAAATATATTAAATTTATTGATGAAATTTTTTTTTCTTTACATATAGCTAAATGTAAGTGGTGAAGAAATTTAAAAAATTTACATGTTTAACTGTAAAATTTTACTAATGAATAAAAAAATTTATTGCAAATTTCACGTTGCGTAAATAAAGTTCTTTAAAAATATCCATCAATATTCTTTTATCAAGACACAATCAATCATTTATGTCTAACCTTACATAAAATAAATACAATTTTTTGTCGCTATCGTGTGGGAATTAATGTCGGTATAGAATTTTGAGGTAATTTCTAATTCATCAATAGACGTTGTCATAGCTTTTAAATTCAATTACGCATGATGAAAAATTGTTTTAATTTATTTTTTTAAGTTGTTAATTATTTTTGTAAATATTATAAATTCATAAATTCATATTGGAATTGATAAACAAACGTAATTGATTATATTTAATTTTTAAAAATTTATTTCGTGGGTTGAGTAACTGAATTTATGCTGTAGCATTGTTAAAAACTAATCTTAAGGGTACTGGATCACTTTTGACTCCTAGCTAAGATTATACTTGAGATAGAGACTAGCTTGGTCTGGAGATTGATACTTTTAATACTCATAACCTCGCTTGTCGTGAAAAAGTACTCCAAAACATGTCAAAAGCATAATTTCAGCTACGCAACCCACAAAAAAAACCTTTAAAAAGTTGAAATCAAAAAAAATTTTCATTTCTTTTTGTAAACTAAAAAAATTTATGTTAAGCATGATGTTCAAATCTATGTATTGGAATATTTATTATATTTTCCAAGTTTAATCCAATTTATCTATAAGATCAGCATGAAAATATTTATTTAACAAACCATAAGCAGCAAAAAATTCAATTTAACTTAATGTTATCACATTTTCAATTTTCCAATAGATTATCATGGCATAAATGGATCATTGGATAGAAGAAGCGAACCTCCTGCCTCACCTTTGTCATCAACAAATCGATATGACCTGACAATCGGATCAGATAAATCAATGACATACGATGTAGCGGAAGCAGAGAGAAACAATCAGAACAATAATACGATAACATCGCCATTATCAATTGTCTCAACTCAAACCCACAGCATTATAAACACATTAGAGAGGAGTGACACATTAAGGAAGAAATTGCCATCTGATAAAGCTTACTTTATAAGTAAAGAAATTCTTATGACTGAAAGGACTTATCGACGAGATTTAGATGTAATTAATTTGGTATGTAATTGCTGTTGTTAACTTATTGGATCAATTTGATAAAGGTTAATTCCTGTACTTTATAGCGTTATCGCAAAATGATTGCACCTGATGACGTCGAGAATCTGCAGCCATTATTCGATTATTTCGAATCGATGGTTCAACATCATTCCATTTTCTTAAGAGATTTAGAACATCGAATAGTAATGTGGGAATCACGTGGTGATGATGTTAAAATTAGAATTGGAGATGTAATGCTTAAAAATATGGTTGTGTTGCCAATTTATGAAGAATATGTTGAGTTTCATCGAGAGATTATTCAGCGACTCAATGACCTCTATTCAACTGACGATCGATTCCAACAAGTTTATAAGGAATTTGAGCAGGAGAAGGTACGGTTCTTATGGCATTTAATAATAAAAATTTACTTACATGCTGCTTCTTTTCAGGTCTGTTATCTTCCGTTATCTACATTCTTATTGAAGCCATTGCATCGATTGCTGCACTATCAGAAATTACTGGAACTTTTGCTTGAATATTATTCTGATGATATTGATGATAAGACAGATGTGCAAGGTTCATTGGTTATGCTGTCTCGAACGAATGAAATAATTCGTGAGCATATTGTCGAGACAGAGAACTATGTTCTTTTATGTGAAATTCAACGTGATTTAGCTGGATTTGATAATCTAGTGCAAGAAGAAAGAAAGCTCATAAGACAAGGATGTTTATTAAAGCATTCACGAAGGGGATTACAGCAGAGAATGTTTTTCCTATTCACAGATGTTTTAATCTACGCTAGTAAGCCCCAGTTTTTACAGACATTCAAAGTCCTTGGTCACGTCCCAGTTAGATCATTGTTAACTGAAAATGGAGAGCATAATAGCTTCACAATATTTGCTGGTGGTATCAGTTGGACTTTATCAGCAGGTACGACACACGAGAAAAATTTATGGATGGACGAATTGCAGAGAGCAGCTGCGAGTCTCAAACATAAATCTCCACAACTAACAGGATTTAGTGGAATTAAATGCTGCAGTAAGTTCCTTAGAGAATTCACTTTAATTCTAATTTATTTCAATTTATAAACTAATTTATTCTAGCATCGTCTGAAGAAGGACTTGAAATGTGTGGACTGAATTCAATAACACCAGCAAATGTTAAGACTCCAGTATCAAGAAACAATACATCACTTCATGTCTGTTGGCATAGAGGCATCACAGTTAGTCTAGAGGATCACATTAAATCATCAGATGTGAGTTTAATGGAACTAAAATAATATTTTTGAGACTATAATGATTAATTTCTATTTTAGAGTCAAATATCCGGATATTTATTAAGGAAGTTCAAAAACTCATCAGGATGGCAAAAGTTATGGGTTGTTCTTACTCAATTCTGTCTCTTTTTCTACAAGAGCTATCAAGATGAAATACCTCTAGCATCACTACCGCTTTTGGGATACTATGTTGGCCCACCATCAGCGCAAGACGCAGTTCAAAAAGACTTTGTTTTCAAATTATCATTCAAAAATCACACATACTTCTTCAGGTCCGAAAGTGAAATTAGTTATCAACGTTGGATGGATAATTTGAAAGGAATTTGCGTAAATAATCAAAAACTAGTTCGATAAAATTTAAAAAAAATTCGAGTACGATTTAAAAACGTGAGTGACGATAAATAAAATTTTCAATAATGGTAGCTACATATCTAGTTATTCATAGATTTTTTAGACTATTGAAACAACTCTTTTATATTAGCAATATTTAATACAAAAAATACGGTGTTGAACAATAAAAAGAAAAAATTATTTTAAATATTTATTCAGTTTGTCTTGTTTATTGCTTACTAGCAACTATAGGAAAGTATCCCAAATACTTTATTACTGCCTACTAAAATAATATCATTTCATCATAAATAAATGTTGAATACATTTAACTAAATTCACTTTGACCACAACCTAATCAGTTTTAATTCAAATTCATGTTGACTGCCTTTTAGGTACAATGAGATTAGTTTTGTGTGTTTTAAAAAAGAGGAAGTAAATAAACTTTGATAAAAGACCTCAACATGACTGAAAACCTCAATATGACTTAAAAATTATTGAACATTGCTTGATAACAGATGAAATCATCCTCAATATCAGTCAATGAGACTTTCGGACCAACCTTTGATGCCAAGAATATGACTGATCCTCTATGGATTTCCAATGTTTCCATTCCAGATCCTGACAATTTTGCATTTCCAGAAATGACGAGAACAATAGAACCAAATTTACTATTCACGACTTCATAGTCGTTGACATCACTTGGAAGTTCAATTTTACAGACAGCAAAGTCATCAATTGGTGGCTTGAACAAATACGTATGAGGATGACTGGCATCCAAAACTGTTGGTTTAAACAACTTGTCATCAGCTTTCGATCCGTCATAGATCAACATGCTCAATAAGTTCTCGACATCCTTAAATTTCGGAGTCAATCCAGCTCGAACGACATTATCAGAGCAACTCATGCACTCAATCTAAATTTATAACTTATTAATTTATCACTCTTAATGACTAGCAATTTAGAAATACTTACACAATCACCAAAGAGATAAGCATGAGGAATTTTTGCAGCTAGGTAGATTGAATCTCCAGGTTTCATTTCGATTAAATTGAGGAAAAATAATGACAAACTGCCAACATCGTAAGGAAAATCAGCCTGAATTGTCCTGAATACTTCAGCTAATTTACTGTCATCATTTTTAAATTTCTCAGCGAGTCCATCAATGCATTTACGAATGCTAGCGTCATCGGATTTCATCAATTTACTATAGCATGTTTTAAGACCTTCCGCTCCATTCGTTTTGATAAGATCTATATTAGATATTCCAAGTAATTCAACTAGTTCATTATGAGATTTAAGTTGCGCATAGATTTCAGCATGTGGACGAAAATCACACAGTGCGAGAAAGGGTGTCAATGCAATTGCAATCTAAAAGTCAATAAAAATGATTTTAGAATGTTAACTAGTTTATGACCTCTAGCACTTTACCTCAGGTTTATGATTTGGATCTTTATAAACATCTGGGTACAGTCTGTGCAATCGTTCAGCCTCTTCTTTATTTGGATGAACCTGGATGCTCAAAGCCTTTCTGATACTCAAAACTTTCAATAGAAATGGTAGTTTTGGCTGTCCACCAATAATTGACTCACAATCTTTCTGAATGAAGGAAGCTAGACTCTCCCCAGTAGATTTTACTTTCGATGGCCCAGATACATGATCTCCCATCCATAATTCAGAATAGGGCTTATTGTTTTCAACGACAAATGAGCTATCATTCAACTTAGCTAATTTCACAACTTCACTAGATTCTCCTAACTTCCCCCAATCATAATTCTTAATGTCACCGAGAATTTCCATAATTACGAACTGATTCTTATTGCTTATGATTAAACACTGAGTATTACGTGGCTTATGCTGCAATACTAAGGAATTTTCTAAATATCTTTCTGTTTACGTTGTCGGCTATAGATAATGACATTGTTCAAGGAAAATCAGACACGAATTAGGAGAAAAATAAACAATTTTTTGTACTTACAGTTCGATTCTGACTTAAAATGATTTAATACTGATTGACTTTCACTTGCCACTACTGCAGTTGAGCATTTAATACACAAACTTTTATGAGATTCGTGATTTTTGTTTTGTTTTTATTGAGAGTAAAAAATAAATATTAAAATTTCAATGTTTTCTACGATGAATGTTTTAATGCAAAGTCCTCTGAAGTTAGGCAACATATGAAACATTCTGAATTTGAAAAAATTGCAACAATAACGACTTTTTATATGACCAACACGTGCTGCTTAAAACGTGAATCAATTGATAATGACATTGGAAAAGCTTACACTGAGATGCATGATTAAAGCATGAAATTGGATAATAGCATTAAAGGATGGAATAATTAATTACAGGAACTGGATGAGATAACAATTAAAATGTCATACAGAAGGAGAAGAGCCTTTTTGAGGTATAAAAGGGATGAAATGTCCAATGTTTATCATCAGTAACATTCAGAACTTTATTCAGGACTGCAGCCGAAGAAAGCAAATTATTATTTAAATTCTGTCCAAAAAAATCAGTAGCAAGTGATTGAAATAATAGAAAAGTAAGAATGAGATCAGAAATAGAAAGGAAACAACTTTCATTTCGCGTTCTCGATCTATTTTGCAAACGTAAATAAAAAGTAACGAGTTAATTGAACTTGATAGTGAAAAGATGAATTTTTTTTGTTCCCACATGTTCAGTAGTAGAGAGAGAGTTTGTGATCTTACAAAAGCGGTAACATCGGTCATCATCACACACGCATAACATGTCAACATAAATCATAATTCCTGTAAATTGTTCAAAATAGCATCGATAGTATTTCTTAAATGATAAATGACGGTATGAGACCGTTATGAATAGTAAGCAGTTGAATAAATTTGGTTTTACAATCAGATTAGAGTTAGAAGCAAATTAGTCATAGATTGAAGTATGCGAAATACCTGTTGCATGATTGTGTGTCGTACACCGGAACAATTTGTGCTTTGGGGGCATTAATCTTATTTGTTTTTAGCCAGATAGAGTCAGTTGAGTAGCTGTAAGGTGGATGTCCAGTGGTCTGAGACTATAATGGTTTAAAATTGAAGAATTGGTCCATAAGATGACAACTAGCGACACAATCACATTGTCATGGCTCTTTTAAAGTTACTATGCTTAAGAACAATTAACTTAAGAAACTTGACAATGTCTAAGCTCGGCAGAGCCACGAAGAAACGGCTTTGCTGTTACAAAATGACCCGGGAGTATCCTGAAAGTCCTGTACCATCATTGAGACAGCTATTTCAGACCAATTCCGACTAAAATTCAAGAATCTCTTAGTAAATCACTCAGACAAGCTCCCAAGCACTCAAAACACCTCCCAACTCCACTGTGCAATGCACAATTGACACCAGTCACGTCATCATCATCAACATCTTTTCGTCATTCCTTTTTAACCAATTGAAAGAAATGGGGTTTTTGTGTCAAATAAAAGCGAAAATTGTGCCACATAAATATAATGCATCGGCATTTATGAGGCCATAATGGATATATCTTTAACAACTCTTATAACCTTGAAAAATATTAAGAAAGAAGTGAGAGAGACGGAGACAAAAATAACAATCATATTATTTTTTTGGGTATTTCGGGAGAAATTTCAAAAACATAGCCATGCACAAACAATGGTGAAAGTCTCGGTCGATCGGATTGATCGTGAGGTGAGACAATGACTTTGATATTTTATTTAGCGTATTTTCCCTAATGAGATTGCGTTATCGGATGTTAATCGACGCTATGTCCACTCGTGTACAAAGAACGAATGGCTTAATTCAGCAGGCAATTTGTTGACGGTAAGTTTTGTGTAACTGAATAACTTAACATGTTAAGTAATGAATTTTAAAAAAAGATTAATTATGAAAGAATTTGCTGTTCATTTTGCACAACATGTGGACGTGTGCCGGAAAAAGAATTTGCTTCCAAAAAACTTCCTGATCAAAAAACATATGATTTTGGGGATTCCTTTGCATTAGCTTGGATATCTTTATGAATGAATTTGTTTACTGATTTTTTTGGGGTCATTAAATTGTGTTGTTACTGTCATCTTGTTAAAAAATCAATAGTGGATGCGTGTAGGTTGTGGTTCCTTAGGGGGTTTAACCAAGATAGATCAAATTGTCTCTAAGGTAGCCTAACCTGTTTGACAGGGGTTAAAAAAATTAATTCTTGTCAACAGATTTTATTACTGGGGGTCTTCGATTTGAGTAGGTATTTTGTTCCAGAAAAATCCTATTCAAATCGAATCTACTCAAATCGAGGACCCATAGTAATTAAAAACAATCAACAACATGTGCCATGTTATACAATTTGCTGTTCTTTTGCAAAAAATTTTATACTTAATTTGAACTTAATTAATATTATTGAATTTGAAATAGAAAAAAGAAATGAAAGAAAATTAGTTATGTATGTTGTTCAGACGCTAATGAGGATTCGAACCATCAACTTCCACAAGACTCTTAACATTATTAACAGAGTTTATTATTTAATTTTGAAGTTGAGTGGCAAAATTTGATGTTAATACTAATTTCAGTACGAAACTTCAATTATTACCCAACCCACATTTAAAAGGAAGGGACTGAGACTTTTTGTCCCAATAACGAACTAAGCAGGGGCATAGCCAGAAATTTGAAGAGGGGGCAATTTTTTTTTGTATATAAAACTTTTAGGGTAGGGGGGGGGGGTTCGGGTTTTTCCAGTTTTTCATAAAAACTCTAGCAAAATGAAGAAATTTCTCAGGACGAAGGCATTTCCCCCAAATCTTCCCCCTGGCTACGCGCCTGGAACTAAGTATATTTTCTCAAGCTTAAATTTTGTGTCAGGAAGGTCTAAAACTTCAGTATTTATTCGGAAACATACTCATTGAATTGCGTCAAAAAACCAAGTTCTAGTAAAATCTGGAAACATCATTTTGCCAATTAAAATTCGCTATCGAGCAATGACACTAATCTTTATAAACATTTCTCACTTGCATTTCTTCTTACTCTTCCAAGCTCCATATTATGTAATCGACAATTAAGCAGCCACTTAAACTTAAAAAAAGATTTGCAAAAGTTTCGTCAATTCAATTTAGTTTAAACATTCAGCATCTCTAAATGGAGTAGCATAAAATATTTTTATGAGTAAAACATGACAAGAATGAGAATAATTTGTCAATAAATGAACTCAAATAAATCACATTAATCTGAATGCCCATGTTAGAGGCATGATGAGACGAAAAAATGTTGTAAAGTAAATATTTGTATCTATCCATCTATCTACAGCACATATGTAGAAGGAAACGTCAAAGTAAAAAAAAAGTTATAATCCGAAGAACAAAAGATAAATGTAGGAAGCAAATTTTGCAAATAGGTGCGAGATCTTGAATAATCAGCTTATTAGAAGTATGTAGCTAAGGAGACTAGACACAATTTTCTTGTGCACGTGAAGAATTTTGACTTAACCGCTGGCTCATTAATATTTTTTTTTGCTCTCTCTCTCTGTCTCCTTCCCCACTTAAGTACGAATATTATTGTTGCTGGTGGCTTTTTATTTTAATATGCCTTAACTACTGTACTCTGTGTGGCGATAGAAAAACGATATATATTTTGTTTAATGCTGCCAGATATTTCTTCAGTTTACATTTTATCGACAAGCAATGATGTACGGCAAGATAGTTTACGCTACGTGAGATATTTTTGCATACTGTTCGCTTTTGAATTAATTAATTAATTATTATACAGTGAAATTTAGTGAAGACATTAAAATAAATCCTTAAAAAAATTTCACAGCTTGAAAAAATTCAGTGACAAAAAAAATTAAATTTGAACATTTTAAAAAAAAAAAAATGCCAAAAATTTCATCGATGAAGAAAATTTTACTCATATTTAGTATTGTGCTAGTGCTTTCACTCATAGACTTTACTGCTGGTAGTCCTTACCCCAGCATAGGTAAAGGAAAAACAAAGAGACTTGGTAATTCTTATTATTTATTATTCAACATTTTTTATCTGTTTATTCTATCTGTTCATATTTTCATCCTTGTTACGGTTTACAGTGAATTGAAAAATATTTTTTTGTTCTTGTTTTGAAGATTAAAGCGCATTTTTGGAGATAACTAAAAGGTGATAAATTATAAATCATCGAAAATCTTGATTTTTTTTTCACTTATGACATCCAAAATCGACGGTCATTTTTGAAAAAAAAACAAAGGATTTCCAGGAATTTCTATTGTTCTTTTCTTGCTGACCCCCCCCCCCCCCCCCCGGACGTCATAAGTAAATGGCCCCAGAGCATACCTATTATACATGTATTTCAAATTTGATAGGTCTTATTCAATCTAGTCTTATCCTAATGATAGACCGATGTTTAAGTCCAATTTTAAATCGCGATATGGGGCTGTTCACTTATTACGTAACGCGAAAAAATGACTTCTTAGACCCCCCCTCCCCCTCGTAACAAAATTTGTATGAAAAAAAAAATTTCCTTGTTTGAATCGTAACAAAATCTTAGACCCCCCCCCCCCCCCTCCCCCTAAAAGCGTTACGTAATAAGTGAATGGCCCCTATAGGAAAATTGTGATAATAGTGTGTCTAGTAGCACTGTTGTGTTCTGAATTGTTGAGATATTTTGCTAAAATTTCGTTGTAATCTGTTGGGAATGGTTAGTATTTGACGCTAGTTGATGACGTCTTGCCTTAATTTGCCCTCAAGATTAAATTTTTTTTTTTCAAAAAATCATTTCACTTTCATAAATAATTTCCAAAAATAATTGAATGAAAAATTTTCTAAATCTCTAAAAGTGTGTCATGACTTGAACTTTTTATAAGTGACGAAGCACTTTTGATTGAAGCATTTGACATTGAATTGTTAATTTGTCTGGCCAAAAATCATAACTTTCTCCCATATGATGCTTACTCATCGTATGCTGCGGTGTTGATTTCTTGATAAAAAAAGTGAGTTGAATCACATGTTGAGCAGGAACTAGAGTAGAATTCAAAATATTTCCAATACACTGAACATCTTAATTGAATTTCGTTGGTTACATAATCCACAAAAAAAGCTATGTAACATCTGGATGATAACTGTAT